ATTTAGCATTTGAAAGGGTTGAATGACAACTATAACTGATAAAAGCTGGCGAATGAGGCATGACAAATCTTCTGGTTCTCATAACCAGAATATGCCGAAAAGCCAATTTGTTTACAAAATGTCAAAAGATTAACCTAGTTTGATAATCTTGTCCAGATTCTATTATTTACATGTCGGTGTCATATAACTCGAATATTGCTGGGTGTGGCAGTAAAACAAAAAAATATTTTGATATACATATTAAAGAAACACCAAAAGTCCTTGAGTACCTGAGAGCGTATTCGCTTTTGACGACTGGCAGACGCCATTCCGAGAGTGGGCCTTCAAACACAACTTTCTTATCCATTTCCAAATGAAGCAATAGTCAGTGAAATATGCCTAGCACAACGAGGTCTTATCCTACAGATTAAACTCCATCAGAAACAGATACCCAGACACAGACACAGACACATCTGTCAGGAACAACACAAATGCTTCTGTTCGCAATGTTTGTAGCCCAACACAGACAAGGAATCTTCACAGCCTGCACTATTCCTTCTTAACAACATTTGTTACAGGCGTATAACTGGGATCTTTTCATACATATTTGTCCAACTTTCAGCATTGTCCAGCCAGTAGTTTATAGTTCTGCCATGTCACTCGTTTATATCCATGCTCATACAATTCCGCCAACTCTCTAAACCTTTACAAATCACTCCATTCATCTTTCATGTCTTTCCTGCAATTTCTATGGTAATCTAACGTTCACGGGTCTCTTCATTCTCACTGGGTTGTATAAATGAATGACCGAGCTTCAAAGCCGTGATTTGTCAACAGTCAGAATGCTTAATTTTCTTAGTTTCAAAGAAATGTTATTATGTATTACCATACATTGCATGTGGTATGACAATCTTTGACGTGACTTCAGTGAGAAAAACATCCCGAACAAGCTACAGTTCTCATGACTTTATGCCATATAGAAGAACTACTATTAATATATATGAGGCCTTGAAAGTACAATAGTCAATGTATCTTATTCACATTTTGACATGAAATGAAATATAAGAGTATTTCAACCAAATACAAAATGTAACATTGTTTTGACTGCGATCATCAAATCTGGAAGACCATACTATTTAAACTACTAAAGTTATTTACACTAAAATACCATTTTTATTGTAAAATATTAATATTTGACAATGATACGGCTATTTTATAAGTCAACATTATAATGCCAGCATCAATTCTATTTATTACCTGCACCTTGAGTAAGTGGCATTAGAAATTGGCACTAGTCCTGTAGTCCTTGCCAAACTGCCCAATAGTTAAGGTGTCATAAGGACTAGTAGAAATTTGCTCTTTTCAAGGGTTTCGCTATAGGTTATCATTATAAGCATGATAAGGAATAGTGGACTAAAACTGTTAGTTTCTTCTGCTGGAAGTGATTTGGAAATGTGTCTGAATTGTATAAATATATATATCAGGGAGAAAAGTCACCTCCGGTCAATGATAATTTCTTTTTCTTAAATAGATATTTTTGGATTGAAACAAAAAGCAGGAGAAATTCCTTCTCACTAATTGTAATGGTTTCAGAATGTAACATGCTCGTGAGGTCTGTCATTTTGCAAATGTGCCTCACTAAATACAGCCATAATGTTAATGGTTCACTCTCCATTAAGCATGCTAAGTGTGCATATTACATAGTTGAAGCAAGATAAACTAAATTTCTTCCTGGATAGCTGTCTGCATCATACAGATGTTATTTAAAAAATAATTTATGATAAATTATTACCTCATTGTGCTGTTTATCAGACACATTATATGCCCATGTTAGAGACAATAAAACTGAAATCAGTTATGAGAATTCAGTTAGACACAGACAAATTTTGTTTCCGAAAAATATATTTAATTGCAGTTTTTACATATATTAGGGCATTTGATGAATCAAGAATAAGTAACTATATGTACTAGAGATGTAAAAAAACTAAAGGAGACCAAAACGGCTTAGTATTTCTTAATGAGGAACTTCAGAAGAACTTATCAACAAACTGAAACAGGAAACAATCTCATTAAAATTAGATCTTAGTTCTCACTACTGTTAAACAAAGATCTTAGGACATCCCATTACGGGTCATGGTAGCAGTAGCAAGAACTAAGATCTGATCTTAATGAGACTGAAACAGGAATGAGTTCATTGGATACACGTACTGCTCAGTTTACAAGCAATTCTTTTTGTATTTCAGTGCCTGTTATTGTTAAATTATCTGAGAGTAAAATACTCATTGAATTAATACACACATTATAGACACAATTTTATGGATAACAACTTCTTTATACTGTGAAAAGCGACGTTTCGGTATAGATCCTTATACCGTTGTCAAGCAAGACTTGTCAGTCTTGCTTGACAATGGTATAAGGATCTATACGGAAACGTACAAGTCTTGCTTGACAACGGTATAAGGATCTATACCGAAACGTCGCTTTTCACAGTATAAAGAAGTTGTTATCCATAAAATTGTGTCTATCTTGTCATCCGTCAACTTCTAAGTAATGCCTATCAAACAATTTAATACACACATTATTTCAAAATAATAACGATTGCACAGTTTATACTGTGTGTTTTATGTTTAAGAAATGTTACTTGTGAGTGACATATAATATGTAAAGAGTATAAAAACACTGAAACAGATACGTTACCATAAATAACAGATAATGTAACAGATAATTTCAGACAGGCAACTACTTCTTTACAATGCTTCAACAATCATACGAAGCATTTACTTCTAATGAGGAATAAATATCAGTGAGACCACTTTGGTAACGTTCTCGTGGTAACGTATCTACTGACACACATGATATTGATATTAATTGTACAAGCCAAGGGTATGACGTACCAAGTGTTCGCAAGTCATGTCTGCTTTAGGTACATAAGCACTGGGATATGGAAGGAATCACTTTTGCCAAAGGTGTGCCATGTAGGGTAACGTATCTGTTGAATATTTAAGTACCCCACTCAAGTTGCAAGCTTCAGCTGGTTAACTTCAAACTATATAATGTATATGGTGTGACAAAGAGATTTATCATCCAAAACTGACTCCCACAGGAGATATCCTTGGGTGAGATCAAGCGATATCTACACTGTAGATATCGCTGCAATGAAATTGCATCACAATGCTTTGCAGGCCATTATGATGTCATTGGTTACCATGACGTCACAATCAAATGACATCACTAATGGCTCTGCTACTGAAGCTGTTAGCAGTACTTTTTACATTAAGACACTGCTTATTACTGTCTACAAACTGACAAAGTTGGAAGAATGATGTTGGATGATAAATAAAATCTCACCCTTGTGTCTTTTGATATCAAATATATCAACACTCGTTGATAAAAGTGGAAAAAATCCTCGGCAAGCCTTGGAGTTTTTCAACTTTTATCAACTCGTGTTGATATATTTGATATCAAAAGACACGAGGGTGAGATTCTCTAAATGTTTCAGGGTGGATTTGGGGAGTATACTCTACTCTATTGAAATAACATGGGACATGAAATTTGTTTAATTTTCACACTTAGTGGGGAAATTAGTGAAGAAATAACATATTCAGTATTCAGTTTTCACAGAATACATGCATTTTGTGTGGTATAAATGCTTCCTGAAAATCCTTATGGCTTTTAATCAATGCAGCGGCCATAAAATTTCCGAGTCCTGTGATGGGATTCAAACCACGGACCTTCTGATCCGAGGTCAGACACCTTGTCCACATGACCAAAGAGGTTAACCCCGTCAGCAAGCTGACAAGGTAAGGATGTCATCTGTGGGATGATTCCACATCCTGCTACATACTCCCCCATCAACAGAAGGCACGTCCCGGGCCGCATAATAAGGTACTGAGGCTTATTTTGCTCAAATATAATATGAACGTGCTCAGCCCCACGTTGGGTAATGTGGCGGCCATAAAGTTTCCGAGTCCCGTGATGAGATTCAAACCACGGACCTTCTGATCTGAGGTCGGACGCCTTGTTCACATGACAAAAGAGGTTAACCCCGTCAGCAAGCTGACAAAGTAAGGATGTCATCTGTGGGACGACTCCACGCCCTTATACATTAACATGGTATGAAAAACATATAAAACATCTCTATAAGAAGGACTAAATATTTTAGAAAGCCATTAAATTTGTCATCAATTATCCAGTGTATTAAGATTCTCTTACGAAAACAATCTGTGGAAATCTGACAGGGATAGAAATTCACCAAGAAAATCTACTAGCTCAAATAGTGATATAGCAATACCCCCCAAAATGGTTGAAATTGAACTAGCCCCGAGGATTTATTGATTGAATGTAGGCTTCAGTTATTCATAAACTCTACCACAGTGTATATTGTATAAAAGGCTATGTCTCGCTGTTGTGAGCTGGTGAGACGTATGACACACTTGGGGCAGCACATGAACAGCATCGAAGTAGATTTATGTCATAAAAGTCTCATTCGTTTAAAAATAATCTATATCCAAGGCAGTCAAAATATATTGGACACCGAAAGAAAACTAACAAATAACCAAAGTAAAGGACAACCTATGACTCAATACTCAATGGTTAAAAACTTTCGTTTGGAGATCTGGAGAATGAAGAGGTGACGATGGTGACTTCTCTTCCTTATCAAATTGTAGAGAATCGGCCCAAAGTAATAGAAAGCAGATAGCACAGTGGGTTGTTGAAAAAGCTGTGCATTATACAGACTCTTAAATCAAGCAGATTTTCCCAACACCACTTTATCGTCCTCCAGGCCAGAGGAGCTATCCGTCTATGTAGGGCAAGGATATATCTAGGATTCCAAAGTAAGTGTCTATGGCAGAAAAATTGAAAGAAAAACATTTGTGATATTGTATAAAACAGTATTTTTTAATTTCAAATTTTGAATTTTTACTGTCATTTGTTTTAGACTTGGGGTTGAATATCGGCCTCTGAGCAGGTGTAGATAAATCCCTTATGGTCTCTCAGAAAAAATCAGGTCTCTCTCTTACCTTGACTCCAAATTCCTGATTTCCGCCGTCACATCTGTGTATGCACTAATACTAGCCGGGGTGTTGACCTTCGCACGAGACAATGGGGCATCGGTTTCACATCCACTAGTGGCTGGCCGCCTTCCATGTTGGGCAACATCCACAGTCGTCACCCCATCCTCAACACAAGATGGCTGTGACAGTTCCTCAGCCTCATCTATATTGGACAAGGCTGATTCAATTCGACTTTTACGAGTGGAAGTTGCAGATTTACTTCCTTTTCTGAGCATACTGTCTATCAGCTTTTCCCCCAGAATTTCTGGTTCAAGTTCCAGGTCAAGGTCAGCCACTGCCTCGTCAAAGTCAGATTCATCCTCATCTTCATACACCCCAAGGTCACGTTCCTCCACACTCAACTCTGCACTGTCCTCTGATTGGTTTTTGATAATATCTGATTGTCTGGCTGCAGTTTCCTCATAAACCTGTGATTCCGTAATGCCCTTCTCATTGTCACTGGGTCTGTTCTCATAATCAGGTAGCTCATCTTCAGTTTCATTCATATTGGCAGATTCTGATTGGTCAATATCCTGAATACTGGAATCTGACTGGGTTATCATGTTCATGTCTGGGGCTTGAGAATCCGATCTGTTTGCAGTAGCTTTCTCCGAACCATTTTGAATAATTTTGGAGTCACCTTCATCTATGACCTTGACCTCAATTTCATCCCCATCCCTGCTTTTTCCATCATCCATGGTCCCTGTCATAAATAAAATCATGATTCCATTAATGAACAATTATGAAGCAACTTCTGAAAAACATTTTGAGAGAAAATGTTCAAAATACATACATAAATTCAACATGTACAATCTGTTAACAAAAACACATAACCATATTTTCTTGTTCCAAAAAATACACTTCGTAGAGGGTGGGTGCACAGAGTTGTGCTGTTTTTCCCCCAACGCAAATCATTAAACAACAAAAAACACTGAACATATATTGTTTTGGTGTACATACTTACAAAACCATATAGATCAATGTCTGTTGTAGGAGAGGTTTTATCATCTGCTTATAAACGACATGCAATACTCCAGTGTGCCACCAGGGGCTGCTGTCGTGACAAAGTACTCTGTCAACTCGCACTGTATTCAGCTTATCCTGTCCTGTATAGCACACAAGGGCCATACATCTCATCCTTCCCCTGTCTCGGAGATTACATACATTATGCATGAATCTAGTGACCATGTTATGTGGACCTATACCATTGCAAATCAATATGAAGTGCTAAGCATATACAGGGGTACAATGTGTGAAGCCCATTTATGGTGTCCCCTGCCGTGATATTGCTGTAATATTGCTAAAAGCGGCGTAAAACCATACTCGCTTGCTCGCTAAGCATATATCAGAGGTCCCTCTCTGGAAAACAAATTTAGTTGAATTAACCATTAGTATTCAGAACCCATTATGCAGCGATAAGGCCACACATTTTTATATTTTATCACATCAATTTTTCATAACCAATAAGCTTGAAAAAATCTAAAAGAAAAAACGTACATTTTATAGTTTTATGATTTATTTTGTTTATTTGGCTTTGGGTTGTTAGGGTTTTGGTTTAGTGGGAATAAGTTAAACCTAATGTTGTTTAGCAAGATGTTTAGCAATTTAAGAATTTTAAAATTAATATGTGTATTTATTTACTTGTTTTAAAGTTTGTTCTATTTACATAAGAGGTTGGCAGTGAACAGGAACATCATGCAATACATTTAATGATTTATTATTAAAAAGTTAACATATGTAGTTGTATCTTTATATTTTCAATTAAAGTGGAGCAGCTTGAAATATAAGTTATTTATATTTTATTCTCTGACTGATGATTTTGGCTCCAAATGGTTGAATCTGAAAACAAAATCTTTTAAAAATCTTGTAAACGGCCTTGTTGGTTATCAGAGACCAGTGAGGGGTGGAAAGATTTTGTTTTCTTCTCCAAAGAACCCTTTTATTTAGATTTTTTATTAATTATGAAAAAAGTGAATAGGCAATCGGCAAAAATAAACAACTTGTGGGAATTTGGTGAATCCTGATTTGGGTCACATAAATCCCCAATTGTCAATGCCTTCTGTTATGTCTACCCTGACAAGTCAAGAATGTTAATGTTTGTACATGTATAGGCATTAAAAGAAATATGTATGGAGAATATCAAAGATACGGGGGAAATTTGAAAAATTTGTGGCTTCAAAGATACTGCTCTCTGTAATGTGAGATTTCAACATGTGTATGAAGAATATCATCGCTTGGAAGACATAACGCCAAGTTACAGACTGATAACTGCATTTGTGTTCGAGAAGTCATCTGGAGATATGGAGAAAACAGAACCGAGCAGTGAGTGAGTGAGTGAGTGAGTGAGTGGAGTGAGTGAGTGAGTGAGTGAGTGAGTTGGGTTAAACGCCGCTTTTAACATTATTCCAGTTATATCACGGCGTGCCAGCTTAATGTGGGAGGAAAGCCCAAAGTGAAGCAGGTCTCAGACGTCTCACTTCGGTGAAACCCTCAAGCACGGGTATGGTGCTGACAAACCTAGAAACATAACCGGGGCAAAACGGGATTAGAACCGAAAATCATAGGTTTCTGGCGTGCCCAAGGGACGCAACTCTGCACAGTGAATCACGGCGCCTAAGACGACAGACACCTTCATAAAAAGGACATGTCAACAATGCATACATGAAGAAACGAAAAGCATGTTGGGGACGACTGCTCTTCATATTCAAGTGTTAAATAGAAGCGAGGCAGAAGTAGCACAGAAGATGACCCTAGACTGGTCACCCTGAAGATGTCAAGTCTGACACTCAGTTGGAGGCTGTCCACTGAATGGTTATGGCCGACCGATATGTTACAATTCAGAAGGTCACTGCCAAAAATTGGGTCAGTTTGGGGTCAGAACAGACGTTGCAAATTGGCAAGAGGTCCACAAGATAGGTTCCCAGAATCCTGACACCAGATCAGAAGCTGACACAACTGAACATATCCAGGAATCTTTAGACCAGTTATCAGCAGAATCCTATCATTTTTTATGCAAATTTTAACCTAGAATGAAACCTGGGTCCATCACTTTGATCTTGAGTCTAAACTTGAAAGCAAACAGTGAACCAAGTTGCATCATGTCCACAACAGATGTACAAACGGATTGCATCAGTTGGCAATATCATAGCTTCAGTTTTCTGGGACAGCAAGGGGTTAATCATTATGGACTATATGCAACAGCAACCTATGGGCAAAACCCAGGTTTTAAATATCATTAAAAAAAACTTAGACGTGCTTTATCCTACACATAATGTGGGAACAATTTTGATTCTGAACAATTTTCTTTGTGAGGCCTTGGACCACCTGATTTACACTTGTACATTACCTTTTGTATTTTACCGTCAACGTTCCTATGTGTGGGAGTTTCAACAGGAAAGAGGTCCCCAGTAATAAATACTGGAGTGTCACAAGAAGGGATTAGATGGACCAATGATTGCTAAGCATGTTCAGGTCTTGGATGAGTGACCTGGCCGATTACATGTCATGGTTCACCACTCACTACTATTCCAGGCTAAATTACCTTATCTTGGATCTATCTAGAATTCCAAACCATGTGCCTGTGGCATGCAAACTGGGAAAATAATAATAAAAATAATAATAAATAACTATTTTAACATGATATAGGAAATTTTAATTCAGACTTGTTTTTTAAAAGTTTTTTTAATAATCTTTTCCTGAAAATGTTGGAAAAAATAGTTAATCATCAGGTTTTACCCAAAACAAAAAAATAATTCACTGTAGATGCTGGATGTTCTGAAAAATGAGGTGTTTGTAAATTTAGATGATTTTGTAAATTTAAGATAATTAGCGGTGTGTATTGAACCACTGATTAAAATAAAATGTAAAAAAGATTGATAATACAATACTTCATCAGTAAATACACCAGAGCTCCAGATAAGCTGCGTATCTGCATGAAATATGCATCAGAAATGCAGAAATATGCAGTAAAATAAAATCCAAGCGTATCAAATACGCAACGAACATTACAGATAAGCTACAAAAATAAAACTTGTGCGTATCATCAAAATATTGTGAAGTAACCCTGCGTATTCGATTAGCAAATCAGCAACTTATTTTGAAATTATAAACGGGCATTCCGTCAACCTTGCCAAATTCCAAGATGACAGTTACATCATGATCATTTGCCATCACACTTTCTTGTGGAAGTATCGTGGTATTTTTGAGTCCTATAAAGCTCTTGAACCCACACAACACCAGTTTGCAGGGACTAGATGAATAGTGTTTTAAATATTTAACTTAAATACCCACATGTGTAAAAACTAGTGGGTAACAGAAATTTGAATACCCAGATAGAATTACTGATACCTAATGATTTTAAAATGCATGGGTAAAATACCCACAACACCAAAAGCTTATCTGGAGCTCTGTATACAATCAAAGCTGACCCTGAAATGAGAAGAATTGTTTCCCTATCCAGCCTCATTCATTCAAGCAGGTCACTCCAACCAAGGAGGGGATTAAAGATCTTTCGTGTCCAAGGATACAAAAAAAAATTTAGTTAACTATTAGGTTTTCATTGAGCATGTTGAAAAAAGATCATTTGTAGGAAAGCTTTGTTCTGACAAGGGTCTAATCAAGCACATATTGAATACATAGTAAAAGGTGATTACATAAGGCGGACCACTGACACATATGTACACTATTGACAGATCATATCCCCAGGAGATTAAGTTATTAGGGGATTATCAGCATGATCCTTTACACCTGCCCATACTTGAGCCCTTGGGAAGTATTAGAGCTAACAGATCCAGACTGTTGGTTCAATACAATATGCCACCACCAGGTGTTACATGTAGGAAATGCACTGATCTGCATTAACATACTGACCAACTGACCGCCAATACAAGTTATTTTTTGCATTAGTGCTGTGTAATATATCTTTGCTAAAAGTGCAAAGAAGTAAAATTGAGAAAAGTTCTTAATTCTTTTTAAAGGGAGACTACTCTGGTCTGGTCTGGTTCTGATTCCAATAATTCAAAATCAATGTTGGGTGAATGTAAGCTCTATGTTAATGGAGTATATCCGGCAGTTGATGCTTACCCTTAAACACATAGACAATGTCTCTGTACGAGGGGCCCAACCCCGACCCTCTAGGCGTCCGGCATACCACTTTGTCTTGGCATCCAATTAAAGAGTGTTATTTTACGCCGCTTTTAGAAATATTCCAGTAATATCAAGGCAGGGGTCACCTAAATAGGCTTCACACATTGTACCCATGTGGGGAATCGAACCCAGGCCTCTGTATGATGAGTGAACGCTTTAATCACTGGGCTATCCAGTTTAAGAACTCTTTGAGTCATACCAGTGTTCACAGTGTAAATTAGACTGGGATATTCACATAGATGTATGACCATGCATGCTCACAAACTTAGAGCTACTGGGGTAAATATTTTATTGATTTGACACTCATTACAAGTAAAAGAAAGACGGAAAGTTTATACACTGTAATACTGGCATCCGCGTACTAGATAAACATTTCATGTCATCCAGAATACCTCTTCACAGGGCTTGGCGTCCAGCGTACCAAATGTTTTGGTTTGGTTAGGTTTGTTGTTTTACGCCACACTCAGCAATATTCCATCTATATGACGGCAGGCTGTAAATAATCGAGTCTGGACCAGACAATCCAGTGATTAATATCATGATCATCAATCCACACAATTGGGATCGATGACATGCTTCAACCAAGTCAGCGAGCCTGGCCAAGCATACACCGATCTTACAAAAAGGATATCGCCATAGTCGCCTTATACGTCAATCATGGGTTGCTGAAGACCTGCATACCAAATTAAAATGGCACCCTCTCAGTATTGCACAAGTCACTAGTTACTATGTCTGGAACTTGATTGGGCATATGCTCAACTGATGTTTTTTGCATGATGTCTTATCATGATTATAGATGGGGTGGGGTGGGATGGAAGTTTTGCTTGTTTTTTTGTTGTTTAATGCTGCACTCAGCAATATTCCAGCTATATGACGGTGGTCTGTAAATAATCGAGTCTGACCAGACAATCCAGTGATTGATATTATGAGCATTAATCCCGCAATTGGGATACGATGCTATGCATCAACAAAGTCAGCGAGCCTGACCACACAATCCTGTTAGTCACCTCTTACGACAAGCATAATCGTTTCTTATGACAAGCATGGGTTGCTGAAAACCTATTCTAACCCGGATCTTCATGGGACTCGGATGGAAGTAATTAAGAAGTCAACAACATGACAAGATCGGGGGAGGGTCCACAAAAAACAAAAACATGTAATGAAAATAATGGACAAAATATGGTTAAACTGTTAAGGAGTTTTATAATATATTACATTCACAGTTTGCATGGTCATAATCTTCGGCAGTTTGCTTGATTTTGGACTGTAAAAAGAATGGACACGTTCTTATGGGTAGCCTAAGTTCGCCATCTCCCGCACGGTTAGTCATGTTAAAACTAAAGGGCATTGATATCAAGTCTGACTAAAATAAGTCCACGTCCATGTCAATAAGTCACTTGAAGTCAGTGTTATTTACACACAGCGATAACCACACATACTTCTTAGAAGTTGCCAATTTGTTATAAATGATCCAATTTACTCGATAGTATCGTAAACTCCACAAAGAAGTCGCCCGAGAGCTCTATATGCCAGGGTATCAAACTTTACCTCAGTTTGGGGGGATAGCATTCCGTTCTGGCTAACGGTATGTTAGTTAATGGACTGATAACCCCCCACTTTGTCAATCAATGACAAGCTCGCACCTGTTTCGATCCCTCTCGCTCACCTGAGTCGCGTGCAGGTCGCGGCGTCTTTGAAACACCGTCACCATCGGCATGCACTGTGCGCTAAACGCATGAATAACGGCACTTCGAGTGACAATGCGTGGAAAGTTGTATGTACCCACAAATAACTTACCCTGGCTGTCGTTAACCGCAGTTGTTTACTGTGGTGATATACCATAATGCAGTGCGAGTTTTTCCCGCCAAATTCAAAGTGTCATGCCATTGATTTTTTTGGCTAACTGGCATGCATAATTTAAATTGATTCGTTTTTTAATAAACCTGTAGTAAATGGTCTTTTCTTAAATAACGCGTACACCTACATTTACAGTTCGTGAATACTTCGTCATGTATCGCCCATATAAAACATACGGAGCAATCGAAAGATCGACAACAAAACACAAGTGATATCGTTGGGTATTATGTAGGGACTGGTAATATATATATATATATATTTGTTTTTATATTTTTTTTATTAATATTTTTTTGGGGGGGGGGGGGGGGGGGGGGGGGGGGAATGCTCATGACGTTAATCACTGGAGTGTCGGAGATGAGGGGTCGGATCCCCCAAAATCCCCTACACACACACACAAGTCCCTTATAACACTTATGCAGACTCACCGCCGTCATATAGCTGGAATATTGCTGAGTGTGGCGTTAAACAACAAACAAACAAATATGCAGACTCACTCACCGTTATAACTGTATTTCAGTTATGTCAAGTTTTAAGAAGCAGGAAAGACCAGAGTGAGTGAATGAGGTGGGTTTAATCCCGCTTTGAGCATTATTTCCGTTGCAGGACATTGTGTCAGCAAATTTGATTTTAAATAAGTTTTTTTTCGTTTTTGTGGTTGCTGTTGTTAACGCCGCACTCAACAATATTCCAGCGATATGACTACAGTTTGAGCTCCGAGTCCAGGCAACCAAGTGAATGATATTATTTTTGAAATAGATGGCATGTAATCAATCATGTCGCCGAGATTGACCACTCGTCTGCTTAGTCACCGCTAACGACAAGCACGTGTTTCTGGGGACACGTGAAGATAGTTGATTAATAATATTCGAATTCAACTATACTGGTCTGGAATATGGTATAGGGCGGTTCGATGCACGTGTGGGCTTAGTGTGATTGAAATGTTTCGCTTTAGTGCTAGAGTTTGGCAAGCATACATAATTTTCTTCTTTGATAGACTTGTCAATGACACCATACAGTGTCTGCAACGGTCTTTTGATGAAGCAGGTTTCATGTGTTCTTGTTCGGTCAAGACTTCATCGTACAAATGTTTTATGATAGTTTTATACCAACAAAACGACGAATATTGGGAAAATTAATGTGCAAGATGGGATTGTGACAAAGACAACTGACATCAGTCAACTATATTCCAACCATACCACGTCGGGATATAAATATTTCGCGTCTGGGCAGACACCCACATGATCTACTGGTATCTATTATGACCCATTCTGTCTGAACACATTAATTCGAAGTAAAGATAAGATATATGTACTTGTCAACCATACTCTGTACATCACTTGCTTGATAACGGTGTTAGAACCTACACCGAAACGTCGCTCCTAATTGTAATAAAGTTGTTCATCCATATATCTTATCCTTACGTTGTACTCCAACTTCTAAATGCCCCTCAAAGAACATTAATTTGAAGATACAATTCTGAACGCATTTCTGTAAGGTGGGTACTTGGGATCTGACGTCACCTATTGTGATATGACGTGATTGACGTCTTTACGTTACAATTATCATTTGGTTTGCTTAGTTCAAATTGTCATTTTTAACATACCAATAAGCAGCTGCTATCTCAATACCACTTCACTGAATAAGATGAAGTGGGGCATCACTTTTGAAACATCGTCAACCTCTGCAGTAGATTTATCTGGTAATGATTCAGACAGATCATAGCTGTTCAAATGTGATCACGTAACTTCAGTAAAAAGCGTATCCCAATCGTTTTTGGAGTCGTCAGAAATCCTTTTATGAAGTATGTAATAGTAATTTATTCTCACTATGTTTGGGACAAGGATCTCTGTTGAAACATATAGGTGAATAACATAACTTGCTGGAATAGTTAGCTATATAAAATGGTTTCATCGTATACGGACATTTTGTGCTGCAATATTATATGCAGTATCAGTCCTTTGAAGAAATGTATCGAAAACATGTTCAATTTCCACTACTCTGAACAATATTGATCCTAGCTAACATCACTTGGTATTTACATTACATACAATTTATACATTTTCAATTTGAAATTTCTTCTTAAAATGGGGGGCACGGGTGGCCCAGTCGTCTAAAGCGCCACGATTCGCTGTGCAGAGTTGCGTCCCTTGGACACGCCAGGAACCTATGATCGTGGGTTCGAATCCTTGTACACCCCGATTATGTTTCTATGTTTGTCAGCACCATACCCGTGCTCGTGGGTTTCACCGAAGTGGTAAACGTCTGAGACCTGCATCACTTCGGGCTTTCCTCCCACATTTAGCTGACACGCCGTGATATAACTGGAATACTGTTAAAAGCGGCGTTAAACCCAACTCACTCACTCTCTCTTCTTAAAATGACGTTTAAAAAAAATAACTTATCTGACTAGTTTGAGACAAATTCCAAATGTTTCTATTGGATACATTGTTTGTATACTACACACAGCTGGTTGCCATGCGTGACTGCGACATAGAGTTAACATACTGTAAAAGATTCCTTGTTTATTTTGCAATCGTATTTTTTATCTCCCGAGCAATTCCTTTTAGTATTTGTCACTTCCAACAGGTTTTAAAACAGTAACTAATTTATAAACAGTGTGCTATGCAATTGACATAATGTTGTTGACAGTGAACTTGCCACTTCCAAGTCATAATTTCTGTCTCTGCGCATTCGCTTCCAGTCGTTTTGTCAGAATCACGGCATTGAAAACAAACGAACTGGTTATGTATGAAATTATTGGCGATACGTATAAAAAATGGAAAAGAGGTTCTTTATTGCATGAAAGTACACGTCTATTCAAGGCTTTGATGGTCTATACAAAATATTTGACAATTTAAACAAATGTCTGGTCGACTTTTGAGAGCAAGCTGAACCCGAAAACCGAAATTTAAGCACAATGTGGAAAAGGATCTAAGATTCACTGTAAATTTACGAACAAGGTAAAAACCGTCTACACTGGTTCAGATCTAGATTGTTTCTTAGATAATATGTTTTTATTTATTAAATTAGAATGACAGATGGACCCGATCCTGGTCGACGATCTGCGACGTTTTTGTCATAGTCAAAGGGAGATAATTCAATCAATTTTATTTCCATGCGGGAAATTTTGTGGTCAAAGGGAAGTAACTCAGCTTTAGTAATTAGACTGTGCTCCTGTTAGGCTAGAAGCGCTAAACTTGCAGCGCTTGCTGTAGAACTAGTTTACTTGGTAATTTCAAAGGTACAAACTCACATCAAGGTCTACATTGCAACTTCAGACACTACGTTGTACTTCATCAAAGGTAAATAACTTGTGTGCTTTGCGCATAACCCAACTAAGTTATGACGTCATTCGACCTTGCAACAAGGGAGATAACCAGTAATTTCTAAACTCCTTCTCAGTGCATGAATGGGCTATCTTTGTGAGGAGCTTTCATTTCCCCATAGAACACGGAGAATTCCACAGGATGTGAGGAGTTTAAGTTAACACCCTGTATGGAGCTCATACAAGGGACCTTACTCTTCTTAAGCATATAACACGACCATTAACTGCATTCTGCACTCTAATTCTGGACGTTTATTAGAGGAAATAAGTAAATACTTGTGACAGAACAAGGTCTCAGCTTGGCTACATCTATGTTGGGGTTTACATGTGTCCTGGCCCAGGCTCTCTTCACGGGGAGGTGTCCAGATCTCCACACTGCAGAGTGAACATGTTACTTTAATCAGTGTAAGGTCACATTATTTTTCCGTTTTTCATTTCTCACTGGTCCTCCATTATATATATCATGCCAACCTGGACAATGCTGGAAATGCTGGAATTTGGGACGAGTCCAAACTTACTACCCGGATACCCGACCCCTTATTACCCGACCCTACCAGGGTACCCACTACAGGTCTCAAGATGTCTGATTGGGGAATTGTTCTACCGCAGCCCTGGCCAAAAGTATTTAGATACATATATCAAACGATCAGATCATGCATAAACTGAAATTGACTGAAGCTTTATCTTTACTCAAATATATACAAGTCCAAAGGAATGTGTGCTTCGTCAGAAAGAAATGCGAACATAAGCAACTTGTAGTGTAACCACTGAGCTATGGTGAGTTTTTGTTATTAATCTGACTAACCGTATGGGTTTGGGTAGTCCTGTGGGTACCCGGGTCCTACTCAGGACCAACACGACCCGAGTACCCAAGTTACTCGTCCCAGCCCTACTGGAAATAATAACAATTTTTCCGTTTCATACACAAATTTGCTGAAGAAATTTTGGGTAAGATCCTGTCTGTTGCTTTTTATTTTCAGAGCCCTACTATTTCCTTCTTTACAACTCCCAACTAGAATACAACTTGTTGTACTTTGACTATACCACAATAAGGTTCTCAACCAAACGTTGTTTTTTTTTATCTTTTTCTTCTGAATGCCTGCTCCCGAAGCTTGGCATCGAGTTGAGAAACGCCCTTAGTAATATAGGTGAGGTGAAATGGGGTAATAGATTATTGCATTTATATAGTGAGGTGCATGCATGTGTGTGTGGCCGCTTGTACTAGTCCAGACTAATGTCGGTTTTATAGTGCTAGCCCACTGAGATACCATGCCGCAGTATAACTTGTGTACCCTTCTGAGACACAGCATAAGGACTCTGAGCCAGTCCTTGTTTCATATCACCTTATTGCCAAGGGCAGGCAGGGAAACAACAAGTATCATGTAGTATGACTGGGATCCAACCACCGACCCTCCCTCTAGCATGTCTAGGGCAGATGCTGTATCCACTAGCCTACGGAGGCGGTCCCTAAGTAATATAGATGACTTAACCAGAAATGAGTAGTCTTTAGAAAACGCCAAACTTGATGAAATGAAAGTCATGTAATCCTGTAAGTTTGTGTGTTGGGTTTCCTGGTTATTGTCATGAGAGAGTGATGTGAACACGGGTATATTTTCTTTTGATCGGATAGTTCACACAAAAGTGCATATATCTTTATTTCTTTCCAGGGTATTCAGTCCTTACAATATGCAGCCTGACAGCATAGCAGTATCTGTCAGTACAATAACTTGGAATAGGGCACCACCTATACACGACTGTAGACACTTTCACACAGCTGTGCAAGAAATGTGTGTACATATACTGTCACCCATGATTCACAAGCAGCCTGAGTGTTTGGTAGGACCACATGTATGGGGTATTTAATCAGGTTCAGGAACATTGCAACACACTAACAGGTTTGTCTGTGGGAACACCATAATGATGCGAGGTGGAGTATCCGATAAAAATAAAGTTAACAATTGATTATGGCCTTATGTTACTGTACATATATCTATCTTATTTTGTACAGTATACTGCCCCGGCAACCTATCCATATGCCAGGATTAATAGTCCACAAAATTCGTTTTTGAATTACAGCAACCCACTGAAAGGTTTTATGTGTTACGTAAGCAATCACGGCAAAGGTTACATGACAGGTGACTCAATCAGGAGCAAGTGCCAACAAAGCCTCGTATTCCCTGTTATGCTTATGGAGTATTACACGATGGCTCTTCCTCAAAATAACAAGCAGAAAATGTAATGTCTGGTTCCTGTTTAATAGCAGTTGCTGCATACAACAAATGTACTTAATGAAAAATCGAGTTACCTCCCTTCGTTTTGTCTGCATATTTTGACTCTTATAGTATTGTTACTTTGTTGTTGCTCTGCATAGGATACTTGATGGAAACAGAAGAGATGCAATAACATGGCGAGATGGGCAATGACAATGACAACTTTGTTTTTTCTGTAAAGGAGGTTTTGTGAAACAGTCAGTCTGTTCACAAGGGCAGATCCATATCTTTTCTTAAGTTAATATTTCTTTAATTGAGCAGACCGAACCTACATAAACTCGCTCACACTTTCTTATATCAAAAGTGCTGACCAGTAACCATGGTAACAGCATTGCCTCGATACCAGACTATGAGTAGTCTATCATGGCTTATATTTTGATCATGGTATTCTGGTCCTGGCAAAGTCTTTTCTCACAGACAAAAACGTATCAAACTTTTCTTATTCACATACTGTTTTCACTTACAGTTTCATGCTCTCAAACACCTCTTTATATATAAATATATATCAATCTAGGCCAAAGTTCTACTTTCCAGAAGTCTGTGGAAATGATCAATATCCTTCCAATGGAACTTTTCACTTCAATGTCAACACATATCTGTCACACTTCATGTTGTCCTGACACACACAGTCGCCACCATCAATTCATTCCTCAGGTGGTCAGTGACACAAGGGAGATAACCCTGTACACCCACTGACACATCCATGTCCTGTATCTGAGCTGATGAAGCACCACACTGATGTCCGACTCCGTGCTCGGGGTGATGGAGACGCTGCTGTCTGTGTTATGGTCCATGTCACTTCAACCATGCTTTCTTTCTATCAGCTATCTTGTCAGTCTCCTTTTTCCTCATCTCTTCCTGAAATACAAAACAAATAGAACTAATAGAGTTAAGTCTTCAGTAGATCAAAATAAAGCAAGGAAATACCATTACTGTCCCTCTGGGGGATATAGGAACGGAGTGTCCGTCCGTCCACTTCTCAATGTTGACAAATTTTCTCAATAACTATTCAAGTTAGAAAAATGAAAGTTTACACACTGATGTTACTGGTCACAATCTCAAATGAGTTCGCAAAAATGGTGTTGTACATTCATTTTTAACAGAGTTATGGCCCTTGTTCCATGCTTTTCAACTAAGTGCATACTGCGTGAAATGGGGTTGTTACTGACCTCTTCTTGGGCTTGCTTGGTTTGCTGGTGATGGAGGGTGGTGACAGAATGTCCGACACAGGGATGGAGCCAGGGTCGTTGTCATCACTCAGCTGGTCTGTCACAGTCTCCGATACACTCCCAACTTCTTCGTACCCATCCTCGGTCTTCACTCTGACACACAAGCATACAGTCAGTGCATGTCTCTGTCAGCAGCACTACAGCTATGTCACAGCAATATGCAATTATATATGAAATAGGAAGGCCAGGTACACATGGTAGACACCTTCAGTTGAATCCAAATAGTCCACAGCTCATTTGATATCACCCAGTCCAGATTTTCACTAGTCTCAGATTACCAGGCGTGAGTAGCCCTGATTACACAAATATTATGTAGTTCACAAAGGGTAGTGAAAGTGGCATGAGTAGCATGATTAAGAAGTGAAATCTGTCAACGAATGACATGTCAAAGAGTTATTTCCCTTCCAATACTGACTTTGAATGTTCTTAATTACTGAAGGGATGGATTAGAAAGATGTGTGTATATGGATGAGAACTAGACTTTGTTCATTTCAAATATTGAATGTTTTGGACTTGTAACAAGCTAAAAGCATAGATAAGGCTAAAATGTGTCAAAAAGGGTAAATTTAGAGGATTTTATGGAGTGTTTTTCTAGTACTTGAACATGAGCAAATCTTTGACCCAAACTGATTTTAATAGGAGATATAGATAGAGTATAAACATATGGTAAAAAAAGCATGTTGTGTCACAGACCTGCTCAGTTCCATGTCAACCATTTCAATAATCTTAGCCACACTTGATTATTTTATGAGGTCGAAGTCCAATACTTCGGCCTAATGTCACCCATTGGAACATGTCAGAATATTTAGTATTCAGTTTGTCACATTTTAGTATTTTGGGCCAATGAAGCAGACAAAAAAACTAATACAAGAGCCGTTCCTTACTTGGCATCATTAGGATCTGATTTTCCCGCCATGGCCTGTGACCACTTGGACTCCACCTCTGTCGTCAGCCCCTCCGCCGTCTCCAGCTCCACAGTGATGGCAAACCCAGCAGCAAATCCTGCACACAATCCACAGCACAGTGAGTGAGTGAGTGAGGGTGGTTTTACGCAGCTTTTAGCAATATTCCAGTTATATCACGGCTGGAGATAACCAGAAATGGGCTTCACACATTGTACCCATGTCGGGAATTGTGAGTGAGTGAGTGAGGGTGAGTGAGTGAGTGAGAGGGTGGGTTGGTGAATGAGTGAGTGAGAGAGAGTAGGTGGATGAGTGAGTGAGTGAGTGAGTGAGAGAGAGTGGGTGAGTGAGTGAGAGTGGGTGAGTGAGTGAGTGAGCATGGTTTTACGCAGCTTTTAACAATATTCAAGCTATATCACGGCTGGGGATCACCAGAAATGGGCTTCACGCATTTTACCTATGTCGGGAATTGTGAGTGAGTGAGTGAGGGTGAGTGAGTGAGTGAGTGAGAGGGTGGGTTGGTGAATGAGTGAGTGAGAGAGAGTGGGTGGATGAGTGAGTGAGAGAGAGTGGGTGGGTGTGTGAGTGAGTGAGTGAGTGAGAGGGTGGGTGGGTGGTTGAGTGAGTAAGGGAGAGGGTGGGTGGCTGAGTGAGTGAGTCTTGTCATATTTCAGTCACATCATGTGGGTAAGGCAGGGCTCACACATTTACCACTTTGGTGAAGTAAGGATATGGTGCTGACAAACCTACAAGCAAAATAAGCATGAATCTGGGATTCAAACCAATGATCACGCCCAACTGTGCATAGTGAGTTCCAGTGCCACCTGGTCTCATTTAGCATAGATCTTGAGCATAATTTCCTGTTCACACTGACTGACTTAATCAACTCTCTCAATGCCACTAGGATGGAATAATATCCTTCAGTGATGATGGTAATAGTAGACATGGTGTCGTCATGGCAACACTGAAGCATTATGGGGCAGTGAAGTCGGGTAGAAATGTATCTTCATCACTTCATCATAGGCCCACATTGTTTGTATACTACACACAGCTGGTTGCCATGCGTGACTGCGACATAGAGTTAACATACTGTAAAAGATTCCTTGTTTATTTTGCAATGGTATTTTTTTTATCTCACGAGCAATTACTTTTAGTATTTGTCACTTCCAACTGGTTTTAAAACAGTAACTAATTTATAAACAGTGTGCTATGCACTTGACATAATGTTGTTGACAGTGAACTTGCCACTTCCCAGTCATAATTTCTGTCTCTGCGCATTCGCTTCCAGTCGTTTTGTCAGTATCACGGCATTGAAAACAAACGAACTGGTTATGTATGAAATTATTGGCGATACGTATAAAAAATGGAAAAGAGGTTCTTTATTGCATGAAAGTACACGTCTATTCAAGGCTTTGACGGTCTTTTCCAAATATTAAAAATTTAAGAATTTAAAATTTAAAAAAATGTCTGGTCGACTTTTGAGAGGAAGCTGAACCCGAAAACCGAAATTTAAGCACAATGTGAAAAAGGATCATTGTTAATTTACGAACAAGGTAAAAACCCTCTACACAGGTTCAGATCTAGATAGTTTCTTAAATACCGTATTCGACGTAATAAGCGCTCCGCTCTAATAAGCACCCACGGCGACATTTGCTAAGATATTGGCTAGTGAACAGTACCAATTAGCACCCCTTCCGATTGATCAATGTACTCAAGACTTATTTATTCGCGTATAATACGCACTAGTGTGTTATATGCACACTTTATTATGGGCATTTAATTCTGGAAAAATATATCTGTCGTACATAAACATTTCAGGCTATCAGCATAAACCACGAAATCTATCTTTAAACTCTGTTTTTTCCCACCAAAATAACATTCTAATTTTGAGAGCGCCCTGGGCGCTTATTACGTCGAATACGGTAATATGTTTTTATTTATTAAATTAGAATGACAGATAGACCCGATCTTGGTCGACGATCTGCGACGTTTTTGTCATAGTCAAAGGGAGATAATTCAATCAATTTTATTTCCATGCGGGACATTTTGTGGTCAAAGGGAAGTAACTCAGCTTTGGTAATTAGACTGTGCTCCTGTTGAGCTAGAAGCGCTAAAGTTGCAGCGCTTGCAGTGGAACCAGTTTATTTGGTAATTTCAAAGGTACAAACTCACTTCAGGGTCTACATTGCAACTTCAGACACTGCGTTGTACTTCATCAAAGGTAAATAATTTGTGCGCATAACCCAACTAAGTTATGACGTCATTCGACCTTGCAAGAAGGGAGATAACCAGTAATTTCTAAGCTCCTTCTCAGTGCGTGAATGGGCTATCTTTGTGAGGAGCTTTCATTTCCAAATAGAACACGGAGAATTCCACAGGATGTGAGGAGTTTAAGTTAACACACTGTATGGAGCTCATACAAGGGACCTTACTCTTCTTAAGCATATAACACGATTATCTCCCTTAGACCATTCACTGCATTCTGCACTCTAATTCTGGACGTTTATTAGTGGAAATAAGTAACTTCATGTGACAGAACAAGGTCTTAGCTCGACTACATGTTGGGGTTTACATGTGTCCTGGCCCAGGCTCTCTTCACGGGGAGGTGTCCAGATCTCCACACTGCAGAATGAGCATGTTATTTAAATCAGTGTAAGGTCACATTGTTTTTCCGTTTTTCATCTCTCACTGGTCCTCCATTATATATATCAGCCAACCTGGACAATGCCTGAAATTAGGAGTGGGACAAGTCCAAATTTACTACCCGGATACCCGACCCCCTATTACCCGACCCTACCCGGGTACTCACTACACGTCTCAAGATGTCTGATTGGGAATTGTTTTACCGCAGCCCTGGCCAAAATTATTTTGATACATGTATCAAACGATCAGACCATGCAAAAACTGAAATTGACTGAAGTTTTATCTTTACTCAAATATATATAAGTCAAAAGGAATGTGTACATCGTCACAAAGAAATGCGAACATTAGCATTTTGTAGTGTAAACACTGAGCTATAGTGAGTTTTTGTTATTAATCAATATATCATATGTGACTAACCACGGGACTGGGTGGTCATGTGGGTACCCGGGTCCTACTCAGGACCCACCTGACCCAAGTTACCCGTCCCAGCCCTACTGAAAATAATAACAAACTTTCCGTTTCATACACAATTTTGCTGAAATATTTAGAAAGATCCTGTCTGTTGCTTTGTATTTTCTGAGCCCTACTATTTCCTTCTTTACAGCTCTCAACTCGAATACAACAATCATTGTACTTTGACTAGACCACAATCAGGTTCATTTTCTCCTGAATGAGTTGAGTTGAGAAATGACCTTAGTAATATAGATGAGGTGAAATGGGGTTTAACCTCGCGTTATAGCTTATTGCACTTACATAGTGAGGTGCATGCATGTGTGTGTGTCTGCTGGTACTTGTCCGGACTAATGTCGGTTTTATAGTGCTAGCCCACTGAGATACCATGCTGCAGTTTCACTTGTGTACCCTACTGAGACACAGCATAAGGACTCCAAGCCAGTCCTTGTTTCATATCACCTTATTGCCGGGGCCAGGCAGGGAAACAACGAGTATCATTTGGTATGACTGGGATCCAACCATCGACCCTCCCTCTAGGGCAGATGCTGTATCCACTAGCCTATGGAGGCGGTCCCTAAGTAATATAGATGACTTAACCAGAAATTAGTAGTCTATCAAAAACGCCAAACTTGATGACATGAAAGTCATATAATCCTGTAACTTTGTATGTTGGGTTTCCCGGTTATTGTCATGAGAGAGTGATGTGAACGCGGGTATATTTTCTTTTGATCGGATAGTTCACACAAATGTGCATATTTCTTTATTTCTTTCCAGGGTATTCAGTCCTTACAATATGCAGCCTGACAGCATAGCAGTATCTGTCAGTACAATAACTTGGAATAGGGCACCACCTATACACGACTGTAGACACTTTCACACAGCTGTTCAAGGCATGTGTGTACATATACTGTCACACATGATTCACATGCAGCCTGAGTGTTTGGTAGGACCACATGTATGGGGTATTTAATCAGGTTCAGAAACATGGCAACACACTAACAGGTTTGACTGTGGGGACACCATAATGATGCGAGGTGGAGTATCCGATAAAAATAAAGTTAACAATTGATTATGGCCTTATGTTACTGTACATAATATCTATCTAATTGTGTACAGTATACTGCCCCGGCTACCTATCCATATGCCAGGATCAATAATCCACAAAATTCGTTTTTGAATTACAGCAACCCACTGAAAGGTTTTATGTGTTACGTAAGCAATCAAGGCAAAGGTTATATGACATGTGACTCAATCAGCGTGCAAGTGCCAACAAAGCCTCGTATTCCCCGTTATGCCTATGGAGTATTACACGATGGCTCTTCCTCAAAATAACAAGCAGAAAATGTAATGGCTGGTACCTGTTTAATAGCAGTTGCTGCATACAACAAAATGTAGTTAATGAAAAATCGAGTTACCTCCCTTCGTTTTGTCTGCATATTTTGACTTTTATAGTATTGTTACTTTGTTATTGCTATGCATAGGATACTTGATGGAAACAGAACAGATGCAATAACATGGCGAGATGGGCAATGACGATGATAACTTTGTTTTTTTTTCTGAAGGAGGTTTTGTGAAACAGTCAGTCCGCTCACAAGGGCAGATCCGTATCTTTTCTTAAGTTAATATTTTGTTCATTGAGCAGACCGAACCTACATAAACTCACTCACACTTTCTTATATCAAAAGTGCTGACCAGTAACCATGGTATCAGCATTGCCTCGATACCAGACTCTGAGTAGTCTATCATGGCTTATATTTTGATCATGGTATTCTCGTCCTGGCAAACTTTTCTCACAGACAAAAACGTATCAAACTTTTCTTATTCACATACAGTTTTCACATACAGTTTCATGCTCTCAAACACCTCTTTATATATAAATATATATCAATCTAGGCCAAAGTTCTACTTTCCAGAAGTCTGTGGAAATGATCAATATCCTTCCAATGGAACCTTTCACTTCAATGTCAACACATATCTGTCACACTTCATGTTGTCCTGACACACACAGTCGCCGCCATCAATTCATTCCTCAGGTGGTCAGTGACACAAGGGAGATAACCCTGTACACCCACTGACACATCCATGTCCTGTATCCGAGCTGATGAAGCACCACACTGATGTCCGACTCCGTGCTCGGGGTGATGGAGACGCTGCTGTCTGTGTTATGGTCCATGTCACTTCAACCATGCTTTCTTTCTATCAGCTATCTTGTCAGTCTCCTTTTTCCTCATCTCTTCCTGAAATACAAAACAAATAGAACTAATAGAGTTAAGTCTTCAGTAGATCAAAATAAAGCAAGGAAATACCATTATTGTCCCTCTGGGGGATATAGGAACGGAGTGTCCGTCCGTCCACTTCTCAATGTTGACAAATTTTCTCAATAAATATTCAAGTTAGAAAAATGAAAGTTTACACACTGATGTTACTGGTCACAATCTCAAATGAGTTCGCAAAAATGGTGTTGTACATTCATTTTTAACAGAGTTATGGCCCTTGTTCCATGCTTTTCAACTGAGTGCATACTGCGTGAAATGGGGACAAGTTGTTACTGACCTCTTCTTGGGCTTGCTTGGTTTGCTGGTGATGGAGGGTGGTGACAGAATGTCCGACACAGGGATGGAGCCAGGGTCGTTGTCATCACTCAGCTGGTCTGTCACAGTCTCCGATACACTCCCAACTTCCTCGTACCCATCCTCGGTCTTCACTCTGACACACAAGCATACAGTCAGTGCATGTCTCTGTCAGCAGCACTACAGCTATGTCACAGCAATATGCAATTATATATGAAATAGGAAGGCCAGGTACACATGGTAGACACCTTCAGTTGAATCCAAATAGTCCACAGCTCATTTGATATCACCCAGTCCAGATTTTCACTAGTCTCAGATTACCAGGTGTGAGTAGCCCTGATTACACAAATATTACGTAGTTCACAAAGGGTAGTGAAAGTGGCATGAGTAGCATGATTAAGAAGTGAAATCTGTCAACGAATGACATGTCAAAGAGTTATTTCCCTTCCAATACTGACTTTGAATGTTCTTAATTACTGAAGGGATGGAGTAGAAAGATGTGTGTATATGGATGAGAACTAGACTTTGTTCATTTCAGATATTGAATGTTTTAGTATTTTGGGCCAATGAAGCAGACAAAAAAACTAATACAAGAGCCGTTCTTTATTTGGCATCATTAGGATCTGATTTTCCCGCCATGGCCTGTGACCACTTGGACTCCACCTCTGTCGTCAGCCCCTCCGCCGTCTCCTGCTCCACAGTGATGGCAAACCCAGCAGCAAATCCTGCACACAATCCACGGCACAGTGAGTGAGTGAGTGAGTGAGGGTGGTTTTACGCAGCTTTTAGCAATATTCCAGTTATATCACGGCTGGAGATAACCAGAAATGGGCTTCACACATTGTACCCATGTCGGGAATTGTGAGTGAGTGAGTGAGGGTGAGTGAGTGAGTGAGAGGGTGGGTTGGTGAATGAGTGAGTGAGAGAGAGTGGGTGAGTGAGTGAGTGAGTGAGTGAGTGAGTGAGCATGGTTTTACGCAGCTTTTAACAATATTCAAGCTATATCACGGCTGGGGATCACCAGAAATGGGCTTCACGCATTTTACCTATGTCGGGAATTGTGAGTGAGTGAGTGAGGGTGAGTGAGTGAGTGAGTGAGAGGGTGGGTTGGTGAATGAGTGAGTGAGAGAGAGTGGGTGGATGAGTGAGTGAGAGAGTGGGTGGGTGAGTGAGTGAGTGAGTGAGTGAGTGAGTAAGTGAGTGAGTGAGAGGGTGGGTGGGTGAGTGAGTAAGGGAGAGGGTGGGTGGGTGAGTGAGTGAGTCTTGTCATATTTCAGTCACATCATGTGGGTAAGGCAGGGCTCACACATTTACCACTTTGGTGAAGTAAGGATATGGTGCTGACAAACCTACAAGCAAAATAAGCATGAATCTGGGATTCAAACCAATGATCACGCCAACTGTGCATAGTGAATTCCAGTGCCACCTGGTCTCTTTCAGCATAGATCTGGAGCATAATTTCCTGTTCACACTGACTGACTTAATCAACTCTCTCAATGCCACTGGGATGGAATAATATCCTTCAGTGATGATGGTAATAGTAGACATGGTGTCGTCTTGGCAACACTGAAGCATTATGGGGCAGTGAAGTCGGGTAGAAATGTATCTTCATCACTAGTTGTTATGATGTAAGGCCCACATTGTTTGTATACTACACAGCTGGTTGCCATGCGTGACTGCGACATGGAGTTAACATACTGTAAAAGATTCCTTGTTTATTTTGCAATCGTATTTTTTTTATCTCACGAGCAATTACTTTTAGTATTTGTCACTTCCAACTGGTTTTAAAACAGTAACTAATTTATAAACAGTGTGCTATGCACTTGACATAATGTTGTTGACAGTGAACTTGCCACTTCCCAGTCATAATTTCTGTCTCTGCGCATTCGCTTCCAGTCGTTTTGTCAGTATCACGGCATTGAAAACAAACGAACTGGTTATGTATGAAATTATTGGCGATACGTATAAAAAATGGAAAAGAGGTTCTTTATTGCATGAAACTACACGTCTATTCAAGGCTTTGACGGTCTATACCAAATATTAAAAAATTTAAAATTTAAAATTTAAAAAAATGTCTGGTCGACTTTTGAGAGGAAGCTGAACCCGAAAACCGAAATTTAAGCACAATGTGAAAAAGGATCATTGTTAATTTACGAACAAGGTAAAAACCCTCTACACAGGTTCAGATCTAGATAGTTTCTTAAATACCGTATTCGACGTAATAAGCGCTCCGCTCTAATAAGCGCCCACGGCGACATTTGCTAAGATATTGGCTAGTGAACAGTACCAATTAGCACCCCTTCCGATTGATCAAGGTACTCAAGACTTATTTATTCGCGTATAATACGCACTCGTGTGTTATATGCACCCTTTATTATGGGCATTTAATTCTGGACCCTCGTACATAAACATTTCAGGCTGTCAGCATAAACCACGAAATCTATCTTTAAACTCTGTTTTTTCCCACCAAAATAACATTCTAATTTTGAGAGCGCCATGGGCGCTTATTACGTCGAATACGGTAATATGTTTTTATTTATTAAATTAGAATGACAGATAGACCCGATCTTGGTCGACGATCTGCGACGTTTTTGTCATAGTCAAAGGGAGATAATTCAGTCAATTTTATTTCCATGCGGGAACTTTTGTGGTCAAAGGGAAGTAACTCAGCTTTGGTAATTAGACTGTGCTCCTGTTGAGCTAGAAGCGCTAAAGTTGCAGCGCTTGCAGTGGAACCAGTTTAGTTGGTAATTTCAAAGGTCTCACTTCGGGGTCTACATTGCAACTTCAGACACTGCGTTGTACTTCATCAAAGGTAAATAATTTGAGCCCATAACCCAACTAAGTTATGACGTCATTCGACCTTGCAAGAAGGGAGATAACCAGTAATTTCTAAACTCCTTCTCAGTGCGTGAATGGGCTATCTTTGTGAGGAGCTTTCATTTCCAAATAGAACACGGAGAATTCCACAGGATGTGAGGAGTTTAAGTTAACACACTGTATGGAGCTCATACAAGGGACCTTACTCTTATTAAGCATATAACACGATTATCTCCCTTAGACCATTAACTGCATTCTGCACTCTAATTCTGGACGTTTATTAGTGGAAATAAGTAACTTCATGTGACAGAACAAGGTCTTAGCTTGACTACATGTTGGGGTTTACATGTGTCCTGGCCCAGGCTCTCTTCACGGGGAGGTGTCCAGATCTCCACACTGCAGAATGAGCATGTTATTTAAATCAGTGTAAGGTCACATTGTTTTTCCGTTTTTCATCTCTCACTGGTCCTCCATTATATATATCATGCCAACCTGGACAATGCCTGAAATTAGGCCTGGGACAAGTCCAAATTTACTAGCCGGATACCCGACCCCCTATTACCCGACCCTACCCGGGTACTCACTGCACGTCTCAAGATGTCTGATTGGGAATTGTTTTACCGCAGCCCTGGCCAAAATTATTTTGATACATGTATCAAACGATCAGACCATGCAAAAACTGAAATTGACTGAAGTTTTATCTTTACTCAAATATATATAAGTCAAAAGGAATGTGTACATCGTCACAAAGAAATGCGAACATTAGCATTTTGTAGTGTAACCACTGAGCTATAGTGAGTTTTTGTTATTAATCAATATATCATGTGACTAACCACGGGACTGGGTGGTCATGTGGGTACCCGGGTCCTACTCAGGACCCACCTGACCCAAGTTACCCGTCCCAGCCCTACTGAAAATAATAACAAACTTTCCGTTTCATACACAAATTTGCTGAAATATTTAGAAAGATCCTGTCTGTTGCTTTGTATTTTCTGAGCCCTACTATTTCCTTCTTTACAGCTCTCAACTCGAATACAACAATTATTGTACTTTGACTAGGCCACAATAAGGTTCTCAACCAAAGTCATTTTAAAAAATATTTTGCATCATTTTGTCCTGAATGAGTTGAGTTGAGAAATGACCTTAGTAATATAGATGAGGTGAAATGGGGTTTAACCTCGCGTTATAGCTTATTGCATTTACATAGTGAGGTGCATGCATGTGTGTGTGTCTGCTGGTACTTGTCCGGACTAATGACGGTTTTATAGTGCTAGCCCACTGAGATACCATGCCGCAGTTTAACTTGTGTACCCTACTGAGACACAGCATAAGGACTCCAAGCCAGTCCTTGTTTCATATCACCTTATTGCCGGGGCCAGGCAGGGAAACAACGAGTATCATTTGGTATGACTGGGATCCAACCACCGACCCTCGCTCTAGGGCAGATGCTTTATCCACTAGCCTACGGAGGCGGTCCCTAAGTAATATAGATGACTTAACCAGAAATTAGTAGTCTTTAAAAAACGCCAAACTTGATGAAATGAAAGTCATGTAATCCTGTAAGTTTGTGTGTTGGGTTTCCTGGTTATTGTCATGAGAGAGTGATGTGAACGCGGGTAGATTTTCTTTTGATCGGATAGTTCACACAAAAGTGCATATTTCTTTATTTCTTTCCAGGGTATTCAGTCCTTACAATATGCAGCCTGACAGCATAGCAGTATCTGTCAGTACAATAACTTGGAATAGGGCACCACCTATACGCGACTGTAGACACTTTCACACAGCTGTGCAAGGAATGTGTGTACATATACTGTCACCCATGATTCACACGCAGCCTGAGTGTTTGGTAGCACCACATGTATGGGGTATTTAATCAGGTTCAGGAACATGGCAACACACTAACAGGTTTGTCTGTGGGAACACCATAATGATGCGAGTTGGAGTATCCGATAAATATAAAGTTAACAATTGATTATGATCTTATGTTACTGTACATATATCTATCTAATTTTGTACAGTATACTGCCTCTGCTACCTATCCATATGCCAGGATCAATAATCCACAAAATTCGATTTTGAATTACAGCAACCCACTGAAAGGTTTTATGTGTTACGTAAGCAATCAGGGCAAAGGTTACATGACATGTGACTCAATCAGCGTGCAAGTGCCAACAAAGCCTCGTATTCCCCATTATGCCTATGGAGTATTACACGATGGCACTTCCTCAAAATAACAAGCAGAAAATGTAATGTCCGGTACCTGTTTAATAGCAGTTGCTGCATACAACAAAATGTAGTTAATGAAAAATTGAGTTACCTCCCTTCGTTTTGTCTGCATGTTTTACTTTTATAGTATTGTTACTTTGTTATTGCTATGCATAGGATACTTGATGGAAACAGAACAGATGCAATAACATGGCGAGATGGGCAATGACGATGATAACTTTGTTTTTTCTGTGAAGGAGGTTTTGTGAAACAGTCAGTCCGTTCACAAGGGCAGATCCATATCTTTTCTTAAGTTAATATTTCGTTCATTGAGCAAAATGAACCTACATAAACTCACTCACACTTTCTTATATCAAAAGTGCTGACCAGTAACCATGGTTACAGCATTGCTACCAGACTCTGAGTAGTCTATCATGGCTTATATTTTGATCATGGTATTCTGGTCCTGGCAAAGTCTTTTCTCACAGACAAAAACGTATCAAACTTTTCTTATTCACATAGTTGTCACACGCAGTTTTCACATACGGTATCATACTCTCTTTGCTTAACAAAGTCAAAACCTAGGACAAACACCTCTTTATATATAAATATATATATCAATATAGACCAAAGTTCTACTTTCCAGAAGTCTGTGGAAATGATCAATATCCTTCCAATGGAACCTTTCACTTCAATGTCAACACATATCTGTCACACTTCATGTTGTCCTGACACACACAGTCGCAACCATCAATTCATTCCTCAGGTGGTCAGTGACACAAGGGAGATAACCCTGTACACCCACTGACACATCCATGTCCTGTATCTGAGCTGATGAAGCACCACACTGATGTCCGACTCCGTGCTCGGGGTGATGGAGACGCTGCTGTCTGTGTTATGGTCCATGTCACTTCAACCATGCTTTCTTTCTATCAGCTATCTTGTCAGTCTCCTTTTTCCTCATCTCTTCCTGAAATACAAAACAAATAGAACTAATAGAGTTAAGTCTTCAGTAGATCAAAATAAAGCAAGGAAATACCATTACTGTCCCTCTGGGGGATATAGGAACGGAGTGTCCGTCCGTCCACTTCTCAATGTGGACGAATTTTCTCAATAACTATTCAAGTTAGAGAAATGAAAGTTTACACACTGATGTTACTGGTCACAATCTCAAATGAGTTCGCAAAAATGGTGTTGTACATTCATTTTTAACAGAGTTATGGCCCTTGTTCCATGCTTTTCAACTGAGTGCATACTGCGTGAAATGGGGACAAGTTGTTACTGACCTCTTCTTGGGCTTGCTTGGTTTGCTGGTGATGGAGGGTGGTGACAGAATGTCCGACACAGGGATGGAGCCAGGGTCGTTGTCATCACTCAGCTGGTCTGTCACAGTCTCCGATACACTCCCAACTTCCTCGTACCCATCCTCGGTCTTCACTCTGACACACAAGCATACAGTCAGTGCATGTCTCTGTCAGCAGCACTACAGCTATGTCACAGCAATATGCAATTATATATGAAATAGGAAGGCCAGGTACACATGGTAGACACCTTCAGTTGAATCCAAATAGTCCACAGCTCATTTGATATCACCCAGTCCAGATTTTCACTAGTCTCAGATTACCAGGTGTGAGTAGCCCTGATTACACAAATATTACGTAGTTCACAAAGGGTAGTGAAAGTGGCATGAGTAGCATGATTAAGAAGTGAAATCTGTCAACGAATGACATGTCAAAGAGTTATTTCCCTTCCAATACTGACTTTGAATGTTCTTAATTACTGAAGGGATGGAGTAGAAAGATGTGTGTATATGGATGAGAACTAGACTTTGTTCATTTCAGATATTGAATGTTTTAGTATTTTGGGCCAATGAAGCAGACAAAAAAACTAATACAAGAGCCGTTCTTTATTTGGCATCATTAGGATCTGATTTTCCCGCCATGGCCTGTGACCACTTGGACTCCACCTCTGTCGTCAGCCCCTCCGCCGTCTCCTGCTCCACAGTGATGGCAAACCCAGCAGCAAATCCTGCACACAATCCACGGCACAGTGAGTGAGTGAGTGAGTGAGGGTGGTTTTACGCAGCTTTTAGCAATATTCCAGTTATATCACGGCTGGAGATAACCAGAAATGGGCTTCACACATTGTACCCATGTCGGGAATTGTGAGTGAGTGAGTGAGGGTGAGTGAGTGAGTGAGAGGGTGGGTTGGTGAATGAGTGAGTGAGAGAGAGTGGGTGAGTGAGTGAGTGAGTGAGTGAGTGAGTGAGCATGGTTTTACGCAGCTTTTAACAATATTCAAGCTATATCACGGCTGGGGATCACCAGAAATGGGCTTCACGCATTTTACCTATGTCGGGAATTGTGAGTGAGTGAGTGAGGGTGAGTGAGTGAGTGAGTGAGAGGGTGGGTTGGTGAATGAGTGAGTGAGAGAGAGTGGGTGGATGAGTGAGTGAGAGAGTGGGTGGGTGAGTGAGTGAGTGAGTGAGTGAGTGAGTAAGTGAGTGAGTGAGAGGGTGGGTGGGTGAGTGAGTAAGGGAGAGGGTGGGTGGGTGAGTGAGTGAGTCTTGTCATATTTCAGTCACATCATGTGGGTAAGGCAGGGCTCACACATTTACCACTTTGGTGAAGTAAGGATATGGTGCTGACAAACCTACAAGCAAAATAAGCATGAATCTGGGATTCAAACCAATGATCACGCCAACTGTGCATAGTGAATTCCAGTGCCACCTGGTCTCTTTCAGCATAGATCTGGAGCATAATTTCCTGTTCACACTGACTGACTTAATCAACTCTCTCAATGCCACTGGGATGGAATAATATCCTTCAGTGATGATGGTAATAGTAGACATGGTGTCGTCTTGGCAACACTGAAGCATTATGGGGCAGTGAAGTCGGGTAGAAATGTATCTTCATCACTAGTTGTTATGATGTAAGGCCCACATTGTTTGTATACTACACAGCTGGTTGCCATGCGTGACTGCGACATGGAGTTAACATACTGTAAAAGATTCCTTGTTTATTTTGCAATCGTATTTTTTTTATCTCACGAGCAATTACTTTTAGTATTTGTCACTTCCAACTGGTTTTAAAACAGTAACTAATTTATAAACAGTGTGCTATGCACTTGACATAATGTTGTTGACAGTGAACTTGCCACTTCCCAGTCATAATTTCTGTCTCTGCGCATTCGCTTCCAGTCGTTTTGTCAGTATCACGGCATTGAAAACAAACGAACTGGTTATGTATGAAATTATTGGCGATACGTATAAAAAATGGAAAAGAGGTTCTTTATTGCATGAAACTACACGTCTATTCAAGGCTTTGACGGTCTATACCAAATATTAAAAAATTTAAAATTTAAAATTTAAAAAAATGTCTGGTCGACTTTTGAGAGGAAGCTGAACCCGAAAACCGAAATTTAAGCACAATGTGAAAAAGGATCATTGTTAATTTACGAACAAGGTAAAAACCCTCTACACAGGTTCAGATCTAGATAGTTTCTTAAATACCGTATTCGACGTAATAAGCGCTCCGCTCTAATAAGCGCCCACGGCGACATTTGCTAAGATATTGGCTAGTGAACAGTACCAATTAGCACCCCTTCCGATTGATCAAGGTACTCAAGACTTATTTATTCGCGTATAATACGCACTCGTGTGTTATATGCACCCTTTATTATGGGCATTTAATTCTGGACCCTCGTACATAAACATTTCAGGCTGTCAGCATAAACCACGAAATCTATCTTTAAACTCTGTTTTTTCCCACCAAAATAACATTCTAATTTTGAGAGCGCCATGGGCGCTTATTACGTCGAATACGGTAATATGTTTTTATTTATTAAATTAGAATGACAGATAGACCCGATCTTGGTCGACGATCTGCGACGTTTTTGTCATAGTCAAAGGGAGATAATTCAGTCAATTTTATTTCCATGCGGGAACTTTTGTGGTCAAAGGGAAGTAACTCAGCTTTGGTAATTAGACTGTGCTCCTGTTGAGCTAGAAGCGCTAAAGTTGCAGCGCTTGCAGTGGAACCAGTTTAGTTGGTAATTTCAAAGGTCTCACTTCGGGGTCTACATTGCAACTTCAGACACTGCGTTGTACTTCATCAAAGGTAAATAATTTGAGCCCATAACCCAACTAAGTTATGACGTCATTCGACCTTGCAAGAAGGGAGATAACCAGTAATTTCTAAACTCCTTCTCAGTGCGTGAATGGGCTATCTTTGTGAGGAGCTTTCATTTCCAAATAGAACACGGAGAATTCCACAGGATGTGAGGAGTTTAAGTTAACACACTGTATGGAGCTCATACAAGGGACCTTACTCTTATTAAGCATATAACACGATTATCTCCCTTAGACCATTAACTGCATTCTGCACTCTAATTCTGGACGTTTATTAGTGGAAATAAGTAACTTCATGTGACAGAACAAGGTCTTAGCTTGACTACATGTTGGGGTTTACATGTGTCCTGGCCCAGGCTCTCTTCACGGGGAGGTGTCCAGATCTCCACACTGCAGAATGAGCATGTTATTTAAATCAGTGTAAGGTCACATTGTTTTTCCGTTTTTCATCTCTCACTGGTCCTCCATTATATATATCATGCCAACCTGGACAATGCCTGAAATTAGGCCTGGGACAAGTCCAAATTTACTAGCCGGATACCCGACCCCCTATTACCCGACCCTACCCGGGTACTCACTGCACGTCTCAAGATGTCTGATTGGGAATTGTTTTACCGCAGCCCTGGCCAAAATTATTTTGATACATGTATCAAACGATCAGACCATGCAAAAACTGAAATTGACTGAAGTTTTATCTTTACTCAAATATATATAAGTCAAAAGGAATGTGTACATCGTCACAAAGAAATGCGAACATTAGCATTTTGTAGTGTAACCACTGAGCTATAGTGAGTTTTTGTTATTAATCAATATATCATGTGACTAACCACGGGACTGGGTGGTCATGTGGGTACCCGGGTCCTACTCAGGACCCACCTGACCCAAGTTACCCGTCCCAGCCCTACTGAAAATAATAACAAACTTTCCGTTTCATACACAAATTTGCTGAAATATTTAGAAAGATCCTGTCTGTTGCTTTGTATTTTCTGAGCCCTACTATTTCCTTCTTTACAGCTCTCAACTCGAATACAACAATTATTGTACTTTGACTAGGCCACAATAAGGTTCTCAACCAAAGTCATTTTAAAAAATATTTTGCATCATTTTGTCCTGAATGAGTTGAGTTGAGAAATGACCTTAGTAATATAGATGAGGTGAAATGGGGTTTAACCTCGCGTTATAGCTTATTGCATTTACATAGTGAGGTGCATGCATGTGTGTGTGTCTGCTGGTACTTGTCCGGACTAATGACGGTTTTATAGTGCTAGCCCACTGAGATACCATGCCGCAGTTTAACTTGTGTACCCTACTGAGACACAGCATAAGGACTCCAAGCCAGTCCTTGTTTCATATCACCTTATTGCCGGGGCCAGGCAGGGAAACAACGAGTATCATTTGGTATGACTGGGATCCAACCACCGACCCTCGCTCTAGGGCAGATGCTTTATCCACTAGCCTACGGAGGCGGTCCCTAAGTAATATAGATGACTTAACCAGAAATTAGTAGTCTTTAAAAAACGCCAAACTTGATGAAATGAAAGTCATGTAATCCTGTAAGTTTGTGTGTTGGGTTTCCTGGTTATTGTCATGAGAGAGTGATGTGAACGCGGGTAGATTTTCTTTTGATCGGATAGTTCACACAAAAGTGCATATTTCTTTATTTCTTTCCAGGGTATTCAGTCCTTACAATATGCAGCCTGACAGCATAGCAGTATCTGTCAGTACAATAACTTGGAATAGGGCACCACCTATACGCGACTGTAGACACTTTCACACAGCTGTGCAAGGAATGTGTGTACATATACTGTCACCCATGATTCACACGCAGCCTGAGTGTTTGGTAGCACCACATGTATGGGGTATTTAATCAGGTTCAGGAACATGGCAACACACTAACAGGTTTGTCTGTGGGAACACCATAATGATGCGAGTTGGAGTATCCGATAAATATAAAGTTAACAATTGATTATGATCTTATGTTACTGTACATATATCTATCTAATTTTGTACAGTATACTGCCTCTGCTACCTATCCATATGCCAGGATCAATAATCCACAAAATTCGATTTTGAATTACAGCAACCCACTGAAAGGTTTTATGTGTTACGTAAGCAATCAGGGCAAAGGTTACATGACATGTGACTCAATCAGCGTGCAAGTGCCAACAAAGCCTCGTATTCCCCATTATGCCTATGGAGTATTACACGATGGCACTTCCTCAAAATAACAAGCAGAAAATGTAATGTCCGGTACCTGTTTAATAGCAGTTGCTGCATACAACAAAATGTAGTTAATGAAAAATTGAGTTACCTCCCTTCGTTTTGTCTGCATGTTTTACTTTTATAGTATTGTTACTTTGTTATTGCTATGCATAGGATACTTGATGGAAACAGAACAGATGCAATAACATGGCGAGATGGGCAATGACGATGATAACTTTGTTTTTTCTGTGAAGGAGGTTTTGTGAAACAGTCAGTCCGTTCACAAGGGCAGATCCATATCTTTTCTTAAGTTAATATTTCGTTCATTGAGCAAAATGAACCTACATAAACTCACTCACACTTTCTTATATCAAAAGTGCTGACCAGTAACCATGGTTACAGCATTGCTACCAGACTCTGAGTAGTCTATCATGGCTTATATTTTGATCATGGTATTCTGGTCCTGGCAAAGTCTTTTCTCACAGACAAAAACGTATCAAACTTTTCTTATTCACATAGTTGTCACACGCAGTTTTCACATACGGTATCATACTCTCTTTGCTTAACAAAGTCAAAACCTAGGACAAACACCTCTTTATATATAAATATATATATCAATATAGACCAAAGTTCTACTTTCCAGAAGTCTGTGGAAATGATCAATATCCTTCCAATGGAACCTTTCACTTCAATGTCAACACATATCTGTCACACTTCATGTTGTCCTGACACACACAGTCGCAACCATCAATTCATTCCTCAGGTGGTCAGTGACACAAGGGAGATAACCCTGTACACCCACTGACACATCCATGTCCTGTATCTGAGCTGATGAAGCACCACACTGATGTCCGACTCCGTGCTCGGGGTGATGGAGACGCTGCTGTCTGTGTTATGGTCCATGTCACTTCAACCATGCTTTCTTTCTATCAGCTATCTTGTCAGTCTCCTTTTTCCTCATCTCTTCCTGAAATACAAAACAAATAGAACTAATAGAGTTAAGTCTTCAGTAGATCAAAATAAAGCAAGGAAATACCATTACTGTCCCTCTGGGGGATATAGGAACGGAGTGTCCGTCCGTCCACTTCTCAATGTGGACGAATTTTCTCAATAACTATTCAAGTTAGAGAAATGAAAGTTTACACACTGATGTTACTGGTCACAATCTCAAATGAGTTCGCCAAAATGGTGTTGTACATTCAATTTTAACAGAGTTATGGCCCTTGTTCCATGCTTTTCAACTGAGTGCATACTGCGTGAAATGGGGACAAGTTGTTACTGACCTCTTCTTGGGCTTGCTTGGTTTGCTGGTGATGGAGGGTGGTGACAGGATGTCCGACACAGGGATGGAGCCAGGGTCGTTGTCATCACTCAGCTGGTCTGTCACAGTCTCCGATACACTCCCAACTTCCTCGTACCCATCCTCGGTCTTCACTCTGACACACAAGCATACAGTCAGTGCATGTCTATGTCAGCAACACTACAGCTATGTCACAGCAATATGCAATTATATATGAAATAGGAAGGCCAGGTACACATGGTAGACACCTTCAGTTGAATCCAAATAGTCCACAGCTCATTTGATATCACCCAGTCCAGATTTTCACTAGTCTCAGATTACCAGGTGTGAGTAGCCCTGATTACACAAATATTATGTAGTTCACAAAGGGTAGTGAAAGTGGCATGAGTAGCATGATTAAGAAGTGAAATCTGTCAACGAATGACATGTCAAAGAGTTATTTCCCTTCCAATACTGACTTTGAATGTTCTTAATTACTGAAGGGATGGATTAGAAAGATGTGTTTATATGGATGAGAACTAGACTTTGTTCATTTCAAATATTGAATGTTTTGGACTTGTAACAAAAAGGGTAAATTTAGAGGATTTTATGGAGTGTTTTTCAAGTACTTGAACATGAGCAAATCTTTGACCCAAACTGATTTTAATAGGAGATATAGATAGAGTATAAACATATGGTAAAAAAAGCATGTTGTGTCACGACCTGCTCAGTTCCATGTCAACCAGTTCAATAATCTTAGCCACACTTGATTATATTATGAGGTCGAAGTCCAATACTTCGGCCTAATGTCACCCATTGGAACATGTCAGAATATTTAGTATTCAGTATTTCACATTTTAGTATTTTGGGCCAATGAAGCAGACAAAAAAACTAATACAAGAGCCGTTCCTTACTTGGCATCATTAGGATCTGATTTTCCCGCCATGGCCTGTGACCACTTGGACTCCACCTCTGTCGTCAGCCCCTCTGCTGTCTCCTGCTCCACAGTGATGGCAAACCCAGCAGCAAATCCTGCACACAATACACAGCACAGTGAGTGAGTGAGTGAGTGAGTGAGTGAGAGGGTGGTTTTATGCAGCTTTTAGCAATATTCCAGCTATATCATGGCTGGGGATCACCAGAAATGGGCTTCACACATTGTACCCATGTCGGGAATCGTGAGTGAGTGAGTGAGTGAGTGAGTGAGAGGGTGGGTGGGTGAATGAGTGAGTGAGAGAGAGTGGGTGGATGAGTAAGTGAGTGAGTGAGTGAGAGTGAGAGAGAGTGGGTGAGTGAGTGAGTGAGCATGGTTTTACGAAGCTTTTAACAATATTCCAGCAATATCACGGCTGGGGATCACCAGAAATGGGCTTCACTTCATGTCAGGAATTGTGAGTGAGTGAGTGAGTGAGGGTGAGTGAGAGGGTGGGTGGGTGGGTGAGTGAGTTAGTGAGTGAGTGAGTGAGAGGGTGGGTGGGTGGGTGAGTGAGTAAAGGAGAGGGTGAGTGAGTGAGTCTTGTCATATTTCAGTCACATCATGTGGGTAAGGCAGGGCTTACACATTTACCACTTTGGTGAAGTAAGGGTATGGTGCTGACAAACTTACAAGCAAAATAAGCATGAATCTGGGATTCAAACCAATGATCACGTCCAACTGTGCATAGTGAATTCCAGTGCCACCTGGTCTCATTTAGCATAGATCTTGAGCATAATTTCCTGTTCACACTGACTGACTAAATCAACTCTCTCAATGCCACTGGGATGGAATAATATCCTTCAGTGATGATGGTAATAGTAGACATGGTGACTGTGTCGTCATGGCAACACTGAAGCATTATGGGGCAGTGAAGTCGGGTAGAAATGTATCTTGATCACTAGTTGTTATGATGTAAAGCTTCTTTGAATACCATTCTCACAAAACAATCAAAGCGCCTCGACTCGAGTGAATGAGTGATGTGGCTGCTTAATAAAACTTTATATGACATCCATTAGTTCAGAACTACATATAGAGCTAGTTGGTTGTGTGCGGACATCATGACCTCGGTGACCCCCCCCCCCCCAGACAGTACCTTCCAGCTGCAGCAGCTGCTCAGCTTCGTTCACCTCATCATTCTCATCGAGCGTGGGAAACTGGATTTCAGCACACGGCTCATCCTTGATTCTGGAAAATACACAAAAATATGTTCAAAGAAGATTCCCCTGTATCATGTACACCATGAACCAGGAATTGTGAATATAGCTTACTAAAAGTAGGCCATGTGTTTTCAGGAATAAAATGCCACAAATGTCTATAGATGTTTTTCACTCTACAGCTGCTTGTACTAGACCTAAATGAAACGAACATCTGGTAAAGATGTCTTTCAATAATGTTTCAAATTCCTAAGCAGTCCTAAGTAGAAATTGGCACTAGTCCTGTAGTCCTTGCCAAACTGCCCAATAGTTAAGGTATCATAAGGACTATTAGAAATCTTCCCTTTTCAAGTGTTTTGCTAAATGTTCTCTTTATAAGGACTAGTGGACTAAAATTGTTAGTTTCTATCGCTGCTGACCGTGAAATCTCTAGAAATGCTATTTTGTTTTTTAAACTGTGTGATTACCTGATGACATGGAAAGTGTCTGGCTGGGAATCCTTTGACTTTTGTTTGAGCTTCTCATATTCCGCCAACAGCCCGCGACATGTGTCCTGCATGTTCTGATGGTGTGCGATGACCCGTGTCTGGTAGAAGTCGTGTAGCGAAGTCACGCTTCCAATGCTCATCTCATGGAACACCTGCTCGACTATATCCTGAGATGTGTGAGGGAAATGGAACGTTATAGTCACAAAATAGACATAAATCAGTCGTTACGGATGAAGAGTTGATGTGAAAAACAGATCAAGAAGCTTCTTGGATTCTTCCAAGACAGGCTACTGCAAACGATAAACGTGACGGATTTGGTTGCTACTCATGAAGAAAACATTATGTATACTGAACAAACAAGTTAGGGATTATGAATATTTTGAAGAAATTGTATACACGGTCTTCACTACAAAAATAAATCCCCCAACATGTTCATGATCCCGAATTTTCTTTGTTCTGTAAACTGAGGTCAAGAAACAATTCATAATATTAGTTTTCTACTTGGATTCACGGAGTGCAGCTGTGAAAGCAGGTTCCTACACACTGAATGCTGCTGTGTCTGCAGCTGATATTTACAGAGAATCCCCATACTGACTGAATATAGCTGTGTCTGCAGGTGATATTTACAGGGAATCCCCATACTGACTGAATATAGCTGTGTCTGCAGCTGATATTTACAGGGAATCCCCATACTGACTGAGTGCAGCTGTGTCTGCAGCTGATATTTACAGGGAATCCCCCATATTGGTTAAATACAGTTGTGTCTGCAGCTGATTTACAGGGAATCCCCAATACTGACTGAGTGCAGCTGTGTCTGCAACTGATATTTACAAGGAATCCCACATATTGGTTAAATACAGTTGTGTCTGCAGCTGATAGTTACAGGGAATCCCCCATACTGGTTAAGTACAGCTGTGTCTGCAGCTGATAGTTACAGGGAATCCCCCATACTGGTTAAGTACAGCTGTGTCTGCAGCTGATACTTACAGGGAATCCCCCATACTGGTTGAGTGCAGCTGTGTCTGCAGCTGATACTTACAGGGAATCCCCCATACTGGTTGAGTGCAGCTGTGTCTGCAGCTGCACGCAGGTGTTTTGTCATCTGGAGGTAATACTCGTTCAGGATGTCAGTCAATGTCTCCAACACAGACTCAGGACAGGCTAAAGAAAAAATAAAATTTCAGAACACTATCAACTGCACCAGTTTCCAGTTACATCTCTGTCAATATTCTTAAAATTCTCAAATTTTTAAAATGGGATGTTATTTATCATGCTAAATCAGGGCCAAGGTAATTACTTGTTGTTATCCCCAAAATACCCGAAGGCCATGAAAGGGAGGGGGAAATAAAATAACAGTCAGTAGACTTTTCTTGTTGGGGTTAAATGGAGGTTTTTTTAAATGTTTTGCTGGAGTTAATGGGAGGGAAAACATAGTGAAAAAGTTAACAAATACAAAAAGAATATTGACACCAAAACAACAGTTTAGAAATCAATGATTAACAGAGTTCAAAGTTAAGGAGGGACCTAGGGCCTTTAGTATCGCTTCTTTAGTAGCAACCAAACTCTCATTTCAATGGAACCAAACACAGGAAATCATGCAGGCCGCAAAGAATCGAGTGCACATAACATTGGGGTTTTGACATGGACTTATTGATTTCCATGCTTAAATTCGAACACCGGCTAAGACCATGATTGTCACATGGCACTTCTCCCTTCTTTTCCCAGGGGAACCTTCAAGACACACACAGTCGTAGCTGACGGAAAACTGATCAACTCAGCAGACAGTAGGCCATTTCTTAATAAATGTTCCCAATTTATAAGCAAGTAGATCTACTATCTAAATACTACATAATGGTTGGCTTGATGAATTATGTTGATCCCAATAATCAATGCTAGTTACTAACATGATGTATTGCTCCACGTGTCTCTGAGGCAAAGGAGTTAACTGACTATAACAGTCAAACTTCCACCCTTGCCGAACTAGGCGGGAATGTCTGGGTCGATCGTAGCGCCACTAGTGGCTATTTAGCTATTAGAGTTATGTCCTTTCTATGCCTCTCCTATTGACCAGTCAGATTCCACCTCTCATGTCACTTGCATTTGCTTCCAACAAAATGGTGGCGCCCAGTCAAGACACTCTGATCAATAATCAAGATCTAATTTGTGATAGAACGTGTCTTACATTGCGAAGTGCACTTTGATTAAAAACATGAAATGATTTGGAAAATATTTGTTGACGCAGAGCTGGAGGTGCACTTGCTTTGCAAATCCTGCAGTTGACTGAAATCTGCATGACAGTTAAGAAACCGGATGTTGATTTCGTCACGCGATTTTGATTGGACTATGCACAGACTCATAAGTCCAACCAAAATGTAATTCCATAATACCAGCCTAGTTCGGCAAGGGTGGAAACTGGACATTTAAAGTCAGTTAACTCCCTTGCCTCAGGAAGATGATCCCGCCAGTACTTACTATCAAATCCAACATGTGCACAGAGGGCAGCCACAGAGCGTCGGAGCAACTTCCTGTTTGTCACCTCATCTATCCTGGGAGGGGGCTGTCCCTTACCTTGGGCAAAGTCACTGCAGGGACAAAACTTTCTGTAAGTCATAATCCAGTTACCATGGTTACAATCAAGTAGGGGTGTCATTGACTGGAAGTTTTCGTATTGTTTTATAGACTGAAAAGTATCACCATATATCAATTTATATGACTAATAATCGTAATTAATAATTCGGTTTGTGAAGATAGAGAACTTACTTATGTAGACCTGCAATAAATCAAACGCTAAATATGAACATGATAACCGTGGTTGATCCATTAAATGTTTCAGTTTGAATTTCTGCCTTCTCAACCATGGTAACCCTAATAAATGTAGGGGGCACGGGTGGCCCAGTTGTCTAAGGCGCCGCGATTTGCTGTGCACAGTTGCGTCCCTTGGGCCGCCCGAAACCTATGATTGTGGGTTCGAATTCCGGTTCGCCCCATTTAGGTTTCTAGGTTTATCAGCACCATACCCGTGTTCGTGAGTTTCACCAAAGTGGTAAACATCCGAGACCTGCATCACTTCGGGCTTTCCTCCCACACTAAGCTGACACGCCATGATATAACTGGAATACTGTTAAAAGCGGCGTTAAACCAAACTCACTCACTCACTAATAAATGTAACCATTACATCACAGGTGAATTATAAAGTTTGTACCTATATTATTATATTTGTATCAATATAGCATTGACATTAAATATTTACCAACACATCGATAGCGTTATATACTAGACATCCTTACAATCAAGTCACCTTGTCCAATGAAAAAAGAGCTAACAAACATAATCCACTTTTGTCTGGTTTAGGAAAATGTGCACTAAACAATGAAGTATGACTAAGCTAAGATGAAAATACTTTATTAGTTGTGTTTTGGGGTTGTCTGTTTTCGAAGTTAACCAACTCTTCTCCAGATGTATTACAGATCGTTGTCACAGTGCACTGGGTTATAACATATATTCAATCTTTTACTTAGCTACTGGGTATGTATAGGTCACAGTATGTGAACATAGATTAGTTTTGTTACCATTTATGGCCACAATAAGCTGTTATTCTCCCAATCTGTTAAAACATACCCCAAAACATAACGAAATTATTTTTTTTTAAATTGAAAATCGCCAAAATTTATTTAATTATTATTGAATGAAATATTGAATGAAATTAATGAAATAGATTATAAACATTCGTGCAGATATACAATGAACACTTTTCTTTATTGCCAGATAGTGTAAGAACAGGATTCACTTCTGTAATTTAATGTGCATTTAATATATTTTGATCATGACGAGAAGATGTTGGTAGGTTGGAGGTCCAGGTTATGTACCGGACATACCATTTTGATACAGAAGTTAATACCTCAGCTTAATTTTTTAAACAGCTTATTTATGTTCATATACCGTACTTTGGCATTCCAAAGAACATTCAGCATTGACTCAATATCAGACCATGTCACCATTACTAGCAGGGCTCCAGATAATTTTCAATAGACTGCCTCGTGGTCTAGTGGTAGAGCGTCCGCCCGGAGAGCGGAAGGTCCGGGGTTCGATCCCCGTCCGCGTCATACCAAAAGACGTTAAAAGATGGTACTTGTTGTTACCCTGTCTGGCGCTCGGCATTAAGGGGCTAAAACAAGGACTGGTCGGCTCGGAGTCAGTATACTGTGTCTGAGTGGGGTATTCATGTTAAAACTGCGGCATGGTATCTCAGTGTGCTAGTCCTATAAATCGGCATGAGTCCGGACTAGTACAAGCAGCCACACACACACACACGTGCATGCACGTCACCATATAAGTGCAATAATCTTGGATGTTAAACCCCATTTCACCTCACCTATTATTTCAATATAGGAGTACTGGCAAAACTAAAGTACTGAATGGGATTTAATGGATTTATCTTGCATTTCATTTTAGATATGCACCACATCATGGCTCCTCTCGTGTAAACAGGTCAACAATAAATAATACTTCTTTCGTTGTACACGTATGTCTATTGCATAATGCGCACCCCCCTCTAGGGTATCACTGGACATGATGATTTACTGTTTAAATTGTATTTCCAGTTCTACTAGGCAATGTTTTATATGCAGAGATTATGATTACTGCGTGTCACGATGGTACACATTACCTGTTGAAGTCCCTCGCCATGAAGGGAATTGGTTTTTGAAGCTGATGTTTTTGTTCAGGTCCTTCAAACTCTGGGATGGATGGTGCTGTCGGAAATGTAATGTCCCCTTCACTGTTCTTCTGAAAATAACTTGAATGATTAAACAGTTGAAGTAGGAATCCCACACAAAGTGAAAAACTGTTTAACAAAACACATAGCCGAGGATAGCCTGACAGGTGGCTACAAAATTAGGGTCACAGTGAGTGAGTGAGTGAGTGAATATGGTTTTACGCCGCTTTTAGCAATATTCCAGCAATATCACGGCGGGGGACACCAGAAATGGGCTTCACACATTGTACCCATGTCGGGAATCGAACCCGGGTCTTTGGCGTGACGAGCGAACGCTTTAACCACTAGGCTACCCGACCGCCCCTAGGGTCACAGATAAAAGTAAGAAACAGAATACAGTACTCAACCACAAGTGACGTAAGATTGCACATGCTCAAAGGCTGTTAAAAAATAGATATTGAGTTTGCCAATTGAAATGATTCTGGATATTGCATTTTCAAACGATTATGTACAGATATTATTCAGTAGAACCAAATTATGAAATAGCAGCACAAAAATTATCTGTATCCCAGTGGATGCACTCTGTATTTTTTGTGTCCAAATTCAATTCTTATGCATATAGAATGCAGGATTTCAGATCCGGTAAGCATGGTAAGTCCCTGATTCAGTGATTGGAATAATCATGTCAATTGGCAGATAGATATTTCACAGACTATTCGTACCTACCATCAATACAACATTATCTTCAATGAATAAGCATTTGGTTCATAATTCATTAGGTGAGGTGAGGTGAAATGGGGTTTAACGTTGCGTCCAAGATTATTGCACTTATAAAGCGACGTGCATGGACGTGTGTGTTTGTGTGGCTGCTTGTACTAGTCCGGACTGATGCCCCAAGAATACCCCACTCAGACACAGTATACTGACTCCGAGCCGACCAGTCCTTGTTTTAGCCCCTTAATGCCGAGCGCCAGACAGGGTAACAACAAGTACCATCTTTTAACGTCTTTTGGTATGACGCGGTCGGGGATCGAATCCCGGACCTTCCGCTCTCCGGGCGGACGCTCTACCATTATACCACGGAGGCGGTCTCATAATTCATTACTCATGTAAAGCAGACACTATGCAATTACAGAGGAATCTGTATCATATGGACTTGTGTGTGATTGACAGTTTAGTCCATTGTAGACAGTGGTCCGGATTGGTGAGGTTTTAGCAAGAGTTTCTTCCCTTGCTGTCCAGATATGAACATGCATACTAGAAGATAATATTCATACACAAGTCAGTTCCCTCTATCAGTTTGTCTATCGAGGACGTTTACAATGCTTACAATGCCTTGACAATACTTGTAATCGATTTGTCTAAATGCAAGTTTTGTGGAAAATATGAGCATTAACTTTGAGAAAGTGTAAACATGTTGTAAACATGTTAAACAAAACTGAAAATAATAATTAATTTTCAACATGTTGAATGGATATATTTCATAAGTTATGAAAGTATTTTTGATCAATTTTGTGTGAATAAAAATGTTGACATTTCTTGCAAATGTAACTTCTCCCACATATCAGATCATGTTGATATGATCTCACTTAAACTGGCAAAGATTGTAAAATGTTCCAAGTTACACGAGTTAGAACAATGCTTTCTTAGCAATACCCCATAATCATACATAATAAACTGGAGCATATTGATGAGAATAACCATGACAACTTCTTTATGTTCTTCTTTTCTCGTCTCAGTGTCTGTATCATCAGGGTGCACGGGTAGCCCAGTCGTCTAAGGTGCCGCGATTCGCTGTGCAGGGTTGCGTCCCTTGGTCACGCCAGAAACCTATGATTGTGGGTTTGAATCCCGGTTCGCCCGATTATGTTTCTAGGTTTGTCAGCACCATACCCGTGCTCGTGGGTTTCACCGAAGTGGTAAACATCTGAGACCTGCATCACTTCGGGCTTTCCTCCCATATTAAGCTGACACGCCGCGATATAACTGGAATATTGTTAAAAGTGGCGTTAAACCCAACTCACTCACTCACTCACTGTATCATTAGCATGATTAGTGAAAGCAGAGACCATATACTGATATATGGTATATGGTCTCTGGTGAAAGAATTTTGGTAAATCATTGTGAATAAAGTACAGTCACTGGTAACTAGTTCATGTAGATTGGACTGACATTTTCTATTTGTTGTTGTTGGACACTGTGGATGAGGGGCCGCATCTTCTTTGCATGGTGTATCAGCTGTATTGTGTGAAGTGTTACAGGGTCCATTTGGAAGTGGTCTGCAGGTAGGGGGCTGTAAAGAGGAAATAGTTTGATACATCAGAGTCTTGTACTGTATTTATCTGCGGTTACTGTATTTCAAAATTTGTACATTGTTTTATATCATTTATTCTTCTGGTGGCTGTGGATTGCCCTATTAGAAAAATCAGCCAATAAGCACTATAGGATTTTCAGTATACTCTGACTGGCTAAAAATCACAAAATGTTTACACCAACTTTTCTGTAAACGCTGACAAAACTTTTCTTCATCAAAAGTTAACTTTGAATAAACAGTACAGGTTTGGGAGATTAAAGTGACAGTAGTCAGTTCTGTTTGTTTTTTAGATTATGCATGAAATAATTTCTGAGTGTGATGTCACATGCCTGATTCAATTCTCAAATTATATATGATGATAAGATGAGGAGATATTGTTAATACAGCTGCAACTCAATTATGGATCTCATCCTCAAATGCTTCAAGCCTACCAGCTCTGTGTTGATTGACCATGTTGACAGCAGATTTTATGCACAGATCTCGAGCCTCTGCCTGCAGGAAACTTATCTAGTTCTGTTGGGATACACCCGACTCGCCTAAAAAGATTTTGAGGGAACAACGGTCGGTTTTTGTATTTTAGAATAAGTATGTAACTATCAGAAATACATAGCAACTGCAACATACGTTGTGGTATCTTCAGGATACGAATTATGGATTTATTATTTGATTGATATAACGAACCCATGAGGTATGTAAAGACAACTGATGTTTGAATGTATGTTTTTAGGATGTAAATATGACAGAAGACAAATTCTATGGATGATACGTTGTTTTGTTTTTATTATTTCCATACTTGTGTATGAATATACTAGTAATTGTGATCATTAGGCCTAACCTTAGTTATATTTGCCAAATGCATACCAAAATATTATATATATTTTTTAGGCGAGTTGGGTCAGATTTTAGGCGAGTCGGGTGCAACTCGTTCTGTTTGATCAAGAGCATGATGAGGACCTTGACTACAGAAAGTACAGTGAAAATCACTTTGCACACTGACCAGTGCATATTGTATTTGAATGACAATGGACTGGAGATAAAGAAGAAATCCGTCAAACATTGCACTCATAAGTGAATACAATCATAAGTTATAAATGACAAGAGGAAAATATGGCTATTAACACGAAAAGGGCCACTACGTTTTCTTCCTTGGCAAGATATTTATTTTAGCTTGAAGGGACTGAATTGAAGATGTTTAAGATTCCAACCAAGACGTATCGTTCTCGCAGTAAACCTGAAGAACGGTTGCGGAAACCTTAAGCATGTAAGAAAAATGTTTTCGAACATGTCGAATAAGTTAGGATCTTACTCGTTCGATGGGGGATAATGTCGACTTGATGGTTGATGAAGTCTCGGCCCTTCAACTTCCATTGATCTTGGTTTGGTCATCTGCTCTCTTTCTAAGGCTATTATTCCAGAGTCAGCCTCTGGGACAGACGGAATCTCGCCCCAGTGAGTATTCATTTTCCTTCTTTCCCCAAACCGGAAGTTTACAGCAAAGCCATGTTTGCAGCTACGGACATAATGATTGAAAGCTCAATTTCGGAATTAAACATAATAAAATAATCAGATATGTCATACATATATATGTTTTATTTTTGAATGCGAAAAGAATTTGTTTAATGTCAAATGATTTTATTAAGTGCTTACTTTAGATCATGAGAATTATGTGCGGCATTGTGTTGTCAAGGCGATAGAAAACTAATGGCTGCCGTTTCACTCAAGTTAGTGTAAACATCACACGGTAGAGAGAGGACACATAAACAGTGAGTTTGAAAGGATTTGATATGTGTGGCATTGTTAGCAGTTTTACTAAATCTTGATCATGTTGTACACTTATCCCCCGCATGTGAAAAACTGAGTCATAATAGGACATTTGACCTCCTATCTGTTGTCATATTGTCCGACATTGACACCGTTTCAATGATGTTTGTTAATATCAAACAAGGAAACCATATAACAATAAGAATTAGTTATCTTCAACCCGATGTTGTGCTTAAGTATTCGTGTGAACTACGATGACCAGAAGAATTCGTAAATGTGGGACAAAAAATGTTAATCACTGACTATAATAAATGACCTGTTTTGAACCATTGATAATAGGTTGGGGTCACCAATTGGGGGTGGCAGGTGATTCTTAATCTTACCGGTACTCTTGATGACTTCCCAAAATATTTGTCATGTTGCGGGTCCTTATATATTATACTGTAGGGTTACTAGATATCATTTAATAGTTTATCAATTAGTTTGGCGAAACCGCATTATCGGTGGTTCGAGAAGGGCACTAACTCCATTTGCCTCATCGAAAGTTTGAGGTGGGCCTACATTCGAAACTAAACGCACTTGTTGTTGACTATATGTACTACGTAAACAAACTTGCATTATGAACTGCTATTTTGTCTATTTGAAATAAGTATTATGACTTATAATTGGATTCGAATGTGCAAATGCGAAGACACTACAGCAGAACTCACTTCTACGAACATCGCAAGACTAGGTCGTGGGGTCATTAATATTCATGAGTTATTCCTTTTATGGAAAAACAAAATTTCTCGGGAAAAATTTAGGTAATAGGCTTGTATTATGTCCGAGATCAATTCAAGAGTTGACATATTTTCAGGCTTATGTCACCACCAACACTTATGATTAGATTGATGTGTTATACTGGAAAAAGTAGAATGAGTGGTATTGCCTCTGTAAATTTAATTTGAAGTAGATCTAAGTTTCTTGCTTTGTAACTATTTTGGCAAAACTATTAATGAAAGATTGTGGTAAGCTATGATGACGTTATTCAAACTTCAAAGACTTTGTGTGCCTTTCGTGGAATTAACGTCACACTCAATAATTTACAAAGACATTTCCCATCAATATTACAAAATGAGAAGAATATATAATGCTACATACTCATGCAAAGTTATGACAAATGTGAGCCAACTGAATGACTTTGTCAACCCAATGCAACGGTAGAAACTAACAGGTTTGATCCACTAGTCCTTATAATGATAACACACAGCAAAACCCTTAAAAAGGGCAACATTCTACTAGTCCTTATGATACCTTAACTATTGGGCAGTTTGGCAAGGACTACAGGACTAGTGCCAATTTCTAATGCTGCAATGAAGCCCAGCGAAGTGGGCACACGTTTTAGAAAATGGTTATAAGTAAGCCAAGCTAATGAAGCCTAGTGATTTAGAAATGTGGTCAGACCCTTCCTGTTGCAATCACTATGATGGAAGAACGTCTACCCACTAGGCGATATTCAAATGTGGGCCCACTTGTTTTGATCACCATATATGACGGGAACAATGTGGGCCCACATATTAGAAAATTGTTATCAATAATTAGGTGGATTTTCGTGATTAATAAATGTGGTCCCTCCTGTTGCAATCAATATGACAGAAGAACGTCTGCCCTCATTTAGGAATTGATTCTCAGCACTAATGAAACAACCTAACAAAGATAGGCGATATACAAATGTGGGCCCACTTGTTTAGATCACCATATATGACGGGAGCAATGTGGGCCCACATTTTAGAAAATGGTTATCAGCACTAAACCAATCTAAGAAGATTTACGGATGGAAAGATAAATACATAATGCAAACATTTAATTCAGAATACGTTTTACCTTAGGGATAAGCTCAGCATTTAATAGCTGGACCAACAACAACGTAGAGCATGACTGACGCCATTTCTCACAAATACGAAAACCAACAGAGATAGCTCCTGTTTGAAATTAGAGTGACCTCCCTTTCCGAATATGAACCACTGATAATGCGGTTTCGCCATTAGTTTGGTCTTAGGACTTATTGAGGTGATAAGGTTCCCCCATCTCAAAACTAGATAATATTTGTTGGTGTCAAGGAGACATCTCTGTGAACAACTGAATGTAATAACTGTATTGTAACTCTAAAAACTGTAATACACACACATCTTACTGGATATTTTACTATAGCATTTTGATGCTATGAAATAAAGCAGCATGCAACAAGTTGCCTATTTGAAAAAGCGCAAGCTAAGCAGCAAAAATTGCTTCCATGCATTTGTATTGTTTAAAATGGGGAAATGTGACTATTGAAGCTCTTCAGAAACATAAAAAAGTAGATATCATTTTTGAAACACTATCTGAAAATAGAAGTTGTACAGGATTAGAAACTGGCACTAGTCCTGTAGACCTTGCCAATCTGACCAATAGTTAAGGTATCATAAGGACTTGTAGAAATATGCCCTTTTTGAGGGTTTTGCTATATCTTATCATTATAAGGACTAGTGTACTAAAAATGTTAGTTTCTACCGCCGTTGTAAAGAGTGTGCATCAACCTCATCAGTTACATCCATCACCAGACTCCAGTTGTGCTACTTTGATTATAGTGGGTTTCAGAGATCAATATAGGTTAGAAGCATGTTGCAAGGAGTTTCATGTAAATTGTGTGTAACTTTAACATAACTGTATTTTTCTTCTGTTTAAGGTATGGCGGCCATATTGCCGCCTATAAAGGGGGCTGTCCCGACCCGTAAGGGTCAGCAACAAACTGAGTATATTCCTAGCCCACCACGAACTGGTCAAGCATCTGGCCGGCTTGTATCACTTAAACATGGAAACAAGGAACAGCGCATGTTTGAACGCCGTATGCAGCTAAGAGCAGAACAACCTCCGCTGAATAAACAAGAAACATCTGTGTAAGTTGCTCTATTGTCATTTCTCAATAAGAAAATGGATGACAATTCTGACAGAAGTTGAGTTCTTTAACATTTGTGTATGTTGATGAACTTTGGCATTTGTCTTCTATGATAATCTTGGACAAATGTATGCTGATTAGTGTGATTTTGATAAATAAAATAAATGGGTTAAGTGGATAATTGATTAATATTTCACTGCACATAAAGATTGAACAAGAGATAAATATTTCCAAAAATATTTTAATGTATATGTTTGGGCCATTTATGTTTTGTCTTTTCCAGCATTCTCTGTCATTGTCTTCATGTTGTCATGCTTTCATATTTCTTTTTAACCCCCAGATATCGCAACACTTACAAACATAACTTATGTCTGGACATGTTAGAGGAAGGATTCCACATGTCTTTCCGGGAACTGTTTGCTCTAATAAAGCAACAAGAAGATGACCGCCAGAATGCTGGTCCGGAGTCGATCATGTGGTCGCAAGTAATGCTGAAGGATGAACATGAAAAACTTGATATGCTGAAAATAAACCTTACAAAGTCTGAAGCTGCAGATAGGAAAGGTGTGTGATATTTTTTTCTCTTTAACAACTAACTAATTTATTTTATATATTTTGCAGATGAGCCTTAAATTTTTGCACAACTGTCAAGTGGACAGAAAATGTGAATTTTTAACTTATCCTGTCTCACTCTATGCATTTCTTCCTTTCTTTTTCAATCCTCTGTGGTATTGTGCTTGAACAAGGTTTCCAGCTTCTAAAAACATTTCACCCGAACACATCCCAGCATCACCATGGTCCCCACACAAAAAGTGTGTCACACATAGTAATTTTGTGATCACCTGACTACCCCAGCCACATCGTCTTTCTAATTGCAACTCTGTGGAGACGTGTATTGTGTTCTAGAGAATACATTTTTATTATATTTTTGTGAGCTAAATCCTCATTCGTATCAACATCTACGACACTGAGTGATGAAGAGGATGTGTACAGAACATGAAAAAAGTCTGCCCTGTAAAAATTGCTGACATACTAATTCCAAGGCCGATCCCAGTGATCTTTGTTGTGATTGTCGCAGCCTTTGCGCTATGGACCACAGATGTTTCCAGTGTTCTCACCTCTCGGAGGAAGCTTTCCACATATATTTATGCAGATGCCATAAGCGTACTATTGACTGCTGTTCGAAATCTAAGCGTGACACCAAACCGGCTGTCCCCACTACTGTAGCAGTAGTCAAACCACCTCCTGCGTCTACTGTACCCTCTTTGTTGGTTGAAGGCGACAGGGTTTTGGACAGCTTCCTCCAGGAAAGAGTCGTTTGTCCCCGTGCGCCCGTTACCACACCGACATTGAAGCAGCCTGCAGCCTCAGATGTCCGCACGATCAATTCTAAGGACAGTTCATCCACCCCACCTTTCCACAGTCCCTGCTGGCTACCCTCCCAGCGCTCCCTTACCATCAACTGAGTTGCTTATCTTCCACCGCTCCTCCACGTGATGTTCAAGTAGTCATCAACCTGACCGCCCCATCACTGGACACAGTCGTTCCGGAGGCCCAACACTGACAGTACAAGTTCCCACTCTACTTCTACTATGGGATGAAAGAGCCGGGATTGCTCGCACCTCAGATACGGATTGTCTTGTTTCATCAAAGGATCACTGTTTGAGGGATTGTCGTTCTTCGGATAGATCATCCAAGGATTGACATGCGAGGGATCGACGTTCCAGATCTGTGGGTTTCCGTTCTCGGGATCAACACTCACAGTATTGACGTTTTAGGGATCGACCTTCTCAAGATTGAAGCTCTACTGATCGACCTCATGACAAAGCTGCTGATATGTCACGGAACACTCCATTTCAACAGGATGATCTCTGTCCTTCTGAGGATGAATATTACACAGATTCTGTGGATAAATCATTGGGATGATAACGACAGGATCGTTCCTGTCCTTACAACTCAGATTCACAGTGACATCACTATCAGCCTTCGTCCACAAATCACCAGCGACATAACGAGGACAGGGATTATCACTATGGCTGGGATCAGTACCCTGCTGCTATGGATCGATACTGTCACATGCCTAATTACCCTTTGTGCCACCTTGAAGATTATCATGGAGGGTTGTTTTTTAAGTCTGACACTGTCTTTTCTTCCTACTAACTGCCCTTCCCACTATCTAGGTGACATTTCAGTCACAGATGTTGAGGGCCTCCACCAATTTGGTCCCTTGGTCCTGGCAAAACAATTGACAGCTGCACACCAGTGCAAATAGATGATACTATGTACTCGCTCTACCTCTGTAGAGACTCCGGTCTCACACAAGTCGCCTCAAGACGCAGCCTTTTCAGTTGTGTGTCCCTAGCCTTTACCTGCTAACCTCTGCCTTGTGCATGTGATGTCCTAGTATTGGTTCGAAGATCCTATCATGGATGTTGTCAGTCGTTCCTCTTCTTGTCTTAGCATGCTTCAATCTCACGCACATGATTGATAGCTTTGACGAAGCGTTAAAAGAGATGCCAAGCTGGCTCACCCTCTGTCCATAGGCGATTGTGGTGTGGTTGCTCTTGTAGAACTGATTGACTGGAGACTCCTTCCAGATTGATTATAAGTCGTAAGCTGAATAGATCCCAATACAAAGCTACGTGATCGTTTGTGTAAGGATGTCCTACGTCAAAATATGTAACACTTATACCCGATTTCATGTTGTTATGACCGACAAGCGTAAGGGGGTAACATCTAGGGCTGGGACGAGTCCAAATTTACTACCCGGGTACCCACCACCCTATTACCCGACCCTACCCGGGTAACCGCTGTAGGTATTTAGAGATAGGTACAAACTATCCGATTTGGAAGAGTTTGACCTTAGCCCTGGCAAAATGTATTTAGATACACGTGTAAAACGATCTGGTCATGCATACACTGAAGTTTACTGCATGAAGTTTTATCTTTATTCAAACATATAAAAAGTCAGAAGGAATGGGTGCATTGTCAGAAAGAAATGGGAACATTAGTGACTTATAGTGTAACCATAGAGTTTTAGATAATTTTTGTCATTAAACAATATATCATGTGACTAACCACGGGCCCGGGTAGTCCTGTGGGTATCCGAGTCCTACTCAGGACCCACCCGACCCGAGTACCCGAGTTACCCGTCCCAGCCTCAGTAACATGGCCTGTTATGGTGTTTTTTATCTTTTCAACACGAGTCTGTGTTTTAACTAAACTTATATGTTTGTATCACTGGTTAGCACCAGCTTCGTCGTGTACGTCAGCTAGTTGTAGTCTATACAGGCTAGAGTATCGGTGCCCCACTGTCCTATGGTGGGATAGATGTATAATGTAAGATGGGATAAGTTTAAAAATTTGCAAATTTTACATTAAATTGTATATCTATAATACTTATCCTATCTTACACATTGTAAGCCCGCCCAGACATCACAGCATCACAGCTCTTCTAGCCTGTCAGCTCTAAGAAAGACAATGATGTGGCAGGGGTAGACAGGTGATCAAGTTGTGTAAGGTCACAATGCACAAGATTACATGCGTGATCTATTTGTTTGGGTGGTGACCATGGTGATTCTGGGATGTTTTCAGGCGAAATGTTTTTAGAAGCTGGAAACTTTGTTCAAGCATGTTTCTACATAAGGATCGAATGAAAAAGCAAGAAATGCATAGTGTAAGAAAGGATAAGTATTATAGATATACAATTTGATATCGAATTTACAATTACAAGAAAAAAATGATTTCATTTTCAAAAACTCTTTTTGTGTATTTGTATTAAAAAATATTTTCAAAGACTTTTGTTAAGGAAATTAACCCTCAACTATCTGAATTTGTTACCATGATTGTTATGATGTGAGCAGTTTTAGTTAACCTGTCTTGTCAGTCTTGCAGTTTTACCTGTTATATGGAAATTGTTTTAACAGTGAACAAACAACTTTGCATTTGGTGGAATAAAACAAATAGTGCTTTTCCGATTTTATTACCCACTTTTCATTATTATTATTATAGGTCAGCGGAATCTGTCAGCCAATTTTTAAGACAATAAGTCTTGCCTTGTATTGAAATATTTAAAAGGATTTGTATAGTAAACTTACTATTACAAAATATGGTTTTTCCCTTGACTATAGGTATCTATGCAGATGTGTATAAAGCACGCTACCAGCTTGCTCAGTACTTTTCTTCAACTGGAGACAAATGGTTGGCAGATCATTTTTTCCTGACATGTCTGCAGACCAGCACCATGGTGGAAGATGATGGTGGTCGGACGAGGGCAGAAGCATTCTGCAACATGGGACTGGCACTTGAAGAAAGTGGTATGGAGATGTCTTCTCTATTAAAAGTAGTGTACAATCAATTGAATTAAGTCAATACAGAGGCCCTGTTCTATAGATCTTAAAGTTATGGATTTTTTTGCTGACAAATTTTTATCTGCTCTTTCAGCATGGACAGAACATATTGTTTTAAGTAAGTCATGCGACTTTCACCCCAACAATATCTTGCTTTGATAGTTCAGGAAGTTCATTTATGGATCGACAGTTTCAATGTATGCATTGTCTTTGACAGGGGACTACTTGGATGCATCAGAACATCTAGAGGCCTACCATGCTCTGTCATCAGAGAACCATGGCTGGATGAAAGATAGTACTCTTACTTTCTACACCGATGCATGTGTTAACTTGTATCGTATTTACACCATGATTGGCCGGCGCATCGAGGACAGTGACCCTGAAGCTGCACTCGATCTTCTCTTGAAGGCCCTCAACATGTCCAAAGACAGTGAGTGATTTACTAGCTGCAAACATCAAGATGTCCTTCTCTCAAGAAACACATATTTCATTGTTCCTCTAGCAGTGTCCAATGCCATACATTAGTTCACATTTACACCTAATGTCAGATGTTGGAAAAGAATTGTCTTGATTATGAACTTTGGTCTGTCAGCACCATATGAGTGGATTTTACCCAAATGGTAAACATGTACAGTCTGCGCTGTATATAACATATTGATTTCTTCCTTTAGTGACAGGGGAAACGGTTGACCCAGTAGTCTAAGATGATGCAATTCTCTGTGCAGAGTTGTGTCCCTTGGGCCATTTCTGAGACCATCACTTCAGGCTTTCCTCCCACATTAAGCTGACATGCCATGATGTAACTGGAATAATGCTAAAAGCGGCGTAAAACCATACTCACTCACTCACTCACTCTTCTTTCCATTAGGTGAAGACAAGCATCTGGAGGGTGAGGCTGCCTACACTCTGGGCCTCGCATACGAGAGAGCTGGTGATGGAGAAACAGCACTATTGGTAAGTCTGGTGTCACACAGTTATCAAATGTCATGTATATAACTGTACTAAATATTTAAAAATAGTCTGTACTTTTCACCAGAAGTTTAATCATTTTGATTATTTGTCATTGCAGCATCTGAACAGCTTCCTGCGTACATGTCGTCAAGCAGAGGACCACGAAGGCATTGGGAGGGCATGTGATGCTATTGCTAAGGCTTATGCAAGGTGATAATTCCCCTCGGCATTTATGATTATACAATTACATATATAGATTTTATATTAGGGCAGTACCTGCACAGTGAAGTGAAGAATAGGTCTTCAGCAACCCATGCTTGATGTTAAAGGCGACTATGCTTGTCGTTAGAGGCGACTAACGGGATCGGGTGGTCAGGCTCGCTGACTTGGCTGATATATGTCATGGTATCTCAATTGTGTGGATCGATGCTCATGATATCAATCACTGGATTGTCTGGTCCAGACTCGATTATTTACAGACCTCCGTCATATAGCTGGAATATTGTTGAGTGTTTAAACAACAAACAATACCTGTGTTAATGGACCTGAAATTAATAATAAATATTACCTTTACATGGGATGCGGTGGGGTAGCCTAGTGGTTAAAGTGTTTGCTCGTCATGCCGAAGACCCGGGTTTGATTCCCCACATGGGCAAAATGTGTGAAGCCCATTTCTGATGTCCCTGGCCGTGATATTGCTGGAATATTGCTAAAAGCAGTGTAAAACAATACTCACTCTCTCACCTTAATATAGGCTAATGTAAGCAAGACATTCTGATGTAACGGTATTCTTTTGTGAATGTTTGAGATGACATATTATGTGAGAGATATTGACAGGATACCTGATGCTTATTTGGTGTTTGTTTGTTCGTTCAGACAGGGCAAGGTTGATGAGAGCATAGAGTACCTGAAGCAGTTTGTGGATACAGCTGAGCAGAGCGGTCAGGAGACTGCCTTCAGTAAAGCATGTCACAATCTTGGCAGTGTCTTCAACTCACTGGTGAGTTACCTTCTGCATTTGTGATTCTGAGCAAATAGCTCATTAGCCGACAAAATTGAAGTTTGGATGGATACAGTGTGCGACCTGGCTGATCATGTATGAGCATTTGTGCTTATTGTGCTGTTAGGTTCACTTAACTGCATTTAGATGATTATCATGTAAATATAGTTATTTTTGGTTAAACATTTATCTTTATTGAAGTTACACAAAAAAGTATGCTCCAGTTTACATTGTCAATAGTGTGCCAGACCAAAAACACGGATTATTGATAAAAATCTGACCAACTGGATCAATTCTTAAAAGTGTGCCCTTGTGTGAAATCACTGCGCAGCAATGCACAGGCATGCAAGAAGCCTATGAATGGGTGTGAATCCAGATCCACCCTGATTCTTGTTTTGTAAACGCCATACTCTTCGCTGTACTCTTGCTGAAGTGACCAGTGAAGATCCGGGGAAGAATAGGTCTTCAGCAACCCATGCTTGCCGTAATTGGCGACTATGCTTGTTGTAAGCATCTTCCCAAGGAAAGAGAGTTAACTAACTATAAAAGTCCAGTTTCCACCCTTGCCGAACTAGGCTGGTATTATAGAGTTACATTTTGGCTGGACTATCGAGTCTATGCATAGATCAGTCAGAATTGCGCAATGAAATCGAAATCCGGTTCGTAAACCGTCATGCAGATTTCGGTCGATTGCAGGATTTACAAAGCATGTGCATCGCTAACGTGTTGTCAACAGATATTTGAAAATCTTTTCATGTTTTTAATCAAGGTGGTAGTGATTTGATTCACTTCGGGATGTAAGACCCGTTTTATCACAATATAGATATTGATTATCGATCAGATCGTCTTGACTTGTTGCCGCCATTTTGTTTGAAGCAAAGGCAAGTGATACGAGAGGTGGAATTTGATTGATCCATAGGAGAGGCATCGAAGGGACATAATTCATAATAGCCACTGGTGGCGCTACGATCAAGCCCAGGAATTCCAACCTAGTTTAGCAAGGGTGGAAACTCTACTTTTATGGTCAGTTAACTCCCTTTGCCTCCGGAAGATGGTCATAAGAGGTGACTAATGGGATCGGGTGGTCAGGCTCGCTGACTTGGTTGATGCATGTCATCGACCCCAATTGCGTGGATCAATGCTCATGATATTAATCACTGGATTGTCTGGTGCAGACTCAATTATTTACAGACTGCCGTCATATAGCTGGAATATTGCTGAGTGCGGCGTTAAACAACAAACCAACCAATCTTTCCTCCCACAGCAAGCTGTTATGCCGTGAAAGAGCTGAAATATTGTTTAAAGCAGCATTAAACCATAATCACTGGCTTATAAATGGTTGTGATTTCTAACTACAGGGTCGTTATGATGAAGCAAGCGAGTACTTTAGCAAGGCCTACAACATTTCCCGGTCTATGGGTGAAGCCAGTGCTATCCATGTTAACCGGGTGCAGTACGGCATCTCACTGGCACACCGGATGATGGCACGGTTTGCCAAGCATGTGGATGAGGGGAATCGGTCGTGTATGGAGAGACTAACGGAGTGGAAGAGTGCCCGTGCCGATGACTTTGACAAACCCTTGCCAGATCCAAGTGAGTCTCATTAGATATTGTGTTGCCTTTGCAGCCATATTGGATACTTAACAGCAGTGCAGAATTGAGGTGCATTTTGAAGTTGGCCGTGAATGTTCGTAATGATTGTTCTCTAGTTCAAGTTTTCAACAATTCATACTATTGTATGTCAGCAATGGAAAGTGTAATGCGGGTGTAAAGAAGCTGTCAGGCTCGATGTTACATATACTTAGCATGCTCAGGAAGACAATGCATTTTGTGCAAGATCAGACCACTTGTTTCTCTGGTGATGGTTATTAAAACTGAAAATGTTCATTTTCTTAGTCTTAATGGAGAAAATAATAAGTCATGATGGTTTATTTTAATGCAAACAAAGAATATCCTTGCACATCGATACTTATCAACATCAGTTTGACTATAGTTAACTTGCACTATCTTACACAGTTATAACAAAACAAAATGTACCTTGTGTGTGAGCCTATGTCACAGCTCAGGGTACAGCTTCCAGACATTCAATTGTACACATCCAGAATATATGTCTGCAGTTTCACTGAGTTAGCAAAACTCATAGCAGATGATGTGAATGAACCAAGTTACTTCCCTTTACCCAATGCATTCGGCTGCATGAAATTTTTACCCCACCTGTGGGCAGGCTACTGGTACATGGAACATAATTGCCAGCTCTTTAACCAATCAGAAGCTAGTATATTAATGTAAGGTGAGATAAACTGTGATTGATCATTACTGTATCTGACTACTGTATCCTCCAGATGCTGAGACTGCTGCTGAGGCTGTGAAGCTGCCTGCTGTCGACAGTGCAGAAGAAGAAGAGGAAGACAAAAAACAGTCAGCTTTGGAGGAGGAGGAGGATGGGGAAGATGGGGAGGCACAGCCCGAGGGGGAGGTGCAGCCAGAGGGGGAGAAGGAGGTGACGCAAGCAAGCACCCTGACCACAACCACAGAAGACACTCAGAGCCTGGCAGAGTAGTTCGGGGTACAACACGTCATGATTGGAAGGGAGGGGAAGTATTCGCTGTAACAAAACAAGGGGTGGCGATTTCAAATGATAGCATTTAAAGTGTGAGTTGAAAATTGGTGATTTTTATATCTATAAAGGGATACTACAAAAAAGTTTCTTTGTATATTTTTTTTAATGAAAATGTTTTTAAAATATGGCTGTATTAAAATAGTATTATCCAGAAAATGAAACCAATCCACAAAAAGGGAACGACGTGTAAGGTTTGACCCTGAAACAGTTGTTGTTCTGGCAATGAGCATGCTTCTTAAGAACACATGATCAATATGCACTGAAATGTTGTAAACTGTCGTTGCAAATGAAACATATGTTCGAATATTCAGCATCTGTATTTCTAAATGGACACCAAATTTGTTCTAGAAGTCATTCCTGGACACGACCCACATTCTGTGATATAAGCTTAGCCTTGACTGATAGACGTCACTGCATAGAGTTCCAAAGTATTTTGTACATAGCTTTACTTGATTCCGTCCGGGTATACACTTGTTACGTTGTGTCTTACTTACTTCCGTATATATTGTCTTGGCATCACCAGCCATATCTGGATGTCTGATGGTGTGATTTATGTTACAGTGACAACCTCAATACCAGATAACCATTAATTGTCCAATAAAACCTGTGTTATAAATATCTATGTTTGTCGGTTGTTATTGGTTTTACGCCGCCAGTGCCCTGATGTTGTTGATGATGTGGATTTGTGAGACATGCTGGTCATTGAAATTGGGGATACAAGTTGTCACAATGGCCATACTGTATTCGCTGTAATAAGCGCTCTAAACATTTAGAAAAATGACAGGGGGAGCCACATACACAAGTCAAATTTGTTGTCAGACTGTGCTGTTTTCTGTAATGAAAACTGTAAAATACAGGACTGTAAATTTTCAGTGCGCTTGTAAAGATTACTCAGATTGGTCTAGAAGTTCATCAGGGGTGCTTATTATGGCAAATATGGTACTACAGCCATGGATAGCCACAGTATGGATGGGCGACTGTCAGGGCAGATAACTCTCTGCTGTACCTTGGTTCATTTGTGTTGAGGATCACCCACTCACTGAAGAGGAGTAGTCTAAGGTCTCTCTCTCTCTCTCTCTCACTCTCTCTTTCTCCTTTGCACATTGTACAAACAGCGTGGATCGTTGCTCTTGCTATCAACCACTTGTTATTGACAAGGACCAGGGTGCCGTTGTCCAAAGCGATCTCAGCGCTAAGATGATCATAACTGCTTTATTTTCTTAGCATAGATACACGAGTCATAACACTAAGGTTGTTTTGTACAACAGCACCCAGGCTCTTAATATTGACACATCACCTTGAATAGTTTCAATATTGTTGATCATGGCATAAACAACATCCATTCGCATGGTGTTAGCTACTTGACCTCATTCAAATTCAAGTACAACATTAGGGTTGGTGTTGATCATTAAGTTTATTTGGTCCTTTTGAATCTTAATTCCTTTTTATACACAGGCAAGAGATCATCTTCATAATTAAGCACATCAATATATATCACATGTAAGTAGAGAACACATAGATTTCCTTAACAACATACAAACAACTATCACAGTAAATAATAAATATCAGGGTATGCTCAGTTTCCTGGTATATCTGTAAAAATATAGAACTATTACATACATGTACATCGCTAAATTCATCCCATCCCTCTTTGTAAATATCACCATGTGGTATTGATTAGACTAGACAAGATGGTTTACGAAAAGAACAAAATTGTTCTAATAAAGGAGACTACCAAAAAATTATTCACAGATACTAGGATCCAGGAAGTATTTTCAGGATCATATTTGTTTTATCAGACAAAAGCATTTGTATACATTACATGTTCGGTAACTGACTTTTTTCACACAGGACAAAAGCATGATCAGTCATAATTATATACATGGTTTTGAAAACATGTAAGTAATGATCATGATAAATACAAGTGCACAAGCTAGATTTATTATTTATTTGGCCCCAAGTGCTTTGTGCCATCAATGTAATCATGCATGGTGTTTGAGTGAAAATGGAATTTGTTACCCAATTTGAACTAATCAGTATCAAGCATTCTTCAATGTAATAGTAAAATGGGTATAAACCTTTACATGATACTAACATGCAACCCACATAATCTGGAATGAATCCAAATCCTCTAAACTATTTACCCAGTGCTACCATATGTTTCAGCCTTAATCATAGTGTGCATGCTGCCCAGTGTTAATATGCTATCCTGACAGGATCTAAGTGTTGGGATTAAGAAATGCATGTTGGCGTGTTCTGATTCAAGCCAGTCTGCAGTCTGGTGGTGCTGAAACAGTGTTGCGTTGTTCAGGCTTGATGGTGTCAAGAACCTGCCCAATATCTCCATTCTTGGACTCTATGAGCTGCGTCAGCCAGCCACCTTCATTCTTGAAGCCCATAGCCAGCATCTGTTGGAAGGCCTCTCGGATACGGGGATCTGATGGGATGGGGGTCTCCTCCACATCCTGCCCAGCAGAACAGTTCGTGTCGGTTGAGGAGTTGGTGTTAAGGGGCACGGGTCTGGTTTCAGAAGGGTTTGGTTCAGCAGCGGTCTCAGACTGACCTTCAGATCCAGGGACGTGGGGGTAGGGATATCCTTGGAAGTGGTGGGGTGGGGGGTGTCCTGGAACATGGGGATGTGGGGGGTGTCCTGGGAAGTGGTGGTGTGGAGGGTGTCCTGGGAAGTCGTGATGGGGAGGGTGTCCGGGGAAGTCGTGGTGGGGAGGGTGTCCGGGGAAGTCGTGGTGTGGAGGGTGTCCGGGGAAGGGTGGTGGAGGGGGATGTCCTGGGAAGTTGGGATGAGGCTGATGATGCATGAAGGGTGGTGGCAGATGTCCTGGGTGGGTGTAGCCTGGCTGGCTGTGACCATGGAATGGGTGGAGACCAAATCCTGGAGGGTAGCCAGGCTGGGTTCCAGCTGATGCATGAGGGTAGCCAGGCCCAGGCTGGCCATCAACCACATCTGTCCTGGTGTGGGCAGTTGTCAGAAGTGTCCAGTCCTCACTGGTAGTGGGGCTGGTCGTTTCCTCCTCCTTTACCTGTGTCATTTCCTCTGGTTTTTGTACAGCTCCAGGGCCCTGGTGGCTTGAGGAGGAGGAGGTGGAGAAGGAGACAGAAGAAGAAGATACTCCATTTCTTGCTCCATCAGTTTCCTCAGGACCATCAACTGTTAGGTTCATGTCTTCTTCACCTTTCTTTGTAACCTTCAAATGAACTGCACCACCTAGAACAGACAGGATAATTTAAGTCTTAAAGAATGAGTGAGTGAGTATGTTAATAACACCCCTTTGACAGTATTTCAGTTATACCTCAGCTTCATTAGGAGGAAAGCCCTAAATGGCACAGGTCTCCAACGTCAGCAGCTATAATGAGCAGGGGTACTGACAAACTTTTGAAATATTCCCAGGACTCATCTGGATTGACCCCATGATCATAGGTTTCTGAAAACCCTAAACGGTACAGGTCTCAGACTTTTACATGGGGGGAAGAGTCGCGTCCCTTGGGCACGCCAGAAACCTATGATTGTTGGTTTGAATTCCGGTTCGCCCCGATTATGTTTCTAAGTTTGTCAGCACCATACCCGTGCTCGTGGGTTTCGATGAAGTGGTAAACATATGAGACCTGCATCACTTCTGGCTTTCCTCCCACATTAAGCTGACACGCCTCGATATAACTGGAATACTGTTAAAAGCAGCTAATCTGGAATTTGACCCCATGATCATGCATGTTTCTGACATGCCGAAGGAAATTGCTATTGAAGAGAGTGTGTGTATGGGAATTCATTTTATGATTTGTAATCTCAAAAAATGAAAGATATGTTATGATATGTTATTATGATACTCATATAGGAAATATTTTCATTTGCATCAACTATTTGAATGAAACTTACTGGAGGTTTCAAAAACTGCTGCCATTTCCTCATTCATGTTGGCCAGAAGTTCTTCCTCAGTTATCTCCCCCTCCTTTACTTCACCTTCAGCAGCCGAAGAAACACCATTATTTGGGTGTCGACTCTGCCAGCGTCTCATGAAACGCTGCATCCATCGTCGAATATGAGGTGGAACAAGTGCCTGTAGAATGAAGTTGTATTGATGAATATAACATCAAAAGAAATATTTTGTATGTGTCTTGTCATTTGCCTTGATCACATCAGTTCAAGTGGTAGTTTGCATATGTAAGTGGTCACCTTAGTATCATTTGTCCCCCCCTCCACCCCCACACACCCCCCCCCCCCCCCCCCCCCAAAACCCCCCCACCCCCCACACACCCCACACCCCCACACCCACCCCCGGGAGTTGAGTATAAAAACTAATCATTTGACTAACGTGATAATTGTATGCGATATGAGCATGCAATGTGTGAAATTATTATGATTATTATTACTATGATGATGATTATTATTATTATTACTGTTATTATATAGTATATGGTTTCTGTTATTATGATATACTAACCCCAGGTTTGAGTTGGTCCCTCGGAGCCACAATCTTCCACATGTCATGGTGGCTGTGAACGCCATCCGCCTCGCAGCGGGAGCACAGGTCGTAGCTGGTGCAGTCGCAACATTTGTAGCGCGCACCGGACACCGTCCCCAGACAGGCGTTGCAGATAACGTTGGGGTGGATCTGGCCGGGTGTGTGACGTCGATCACGGGGTACTGCAACCACAGCAAAAAAACAAATGATGACCAAACTAAATTTGGTAAAAGCTTGAAGCTGCATCAAAAAGATAGACCATTCCGATAGACAATATTACGGTAATTATCAGTTGTATCACAGACGTTTGAATTCCTAAAGTACAGGACCTATTTGCCTTTAATGAGACACTATACACCTCTTTGGTGAGTGAGTTAATGCGACTTTTAGGGAAATTTTAAGTTATATCACGGCAATGCGACAGAAGAAATCACTTCACGCATTCTACCCATGTGGGGAAGCGAACCCGGCCTCCTGAGTGACGAACAGATGATTTAACCATTAGGCTACTCCACAACTCCACATAACTATGTTTGCCGTAAAAGGTGACTATGCTTGTCGTAAAAGGCGACTAACGGGATCGGGTGGTCAGGCTCGCTGACTTGGTTGATGCATGTCATTGATCCCAATTGCGTGGGTCGATGCTCATGATATCAATCACTGGATTGTCTGGTCCAGACTCGATTATTTACAGACCGCCGTCATATAGCTGGAATATTGCTGAGTGCGGCGTTAAACAACAAACCAACCAACCAACCAACATAACTATGCTCTTTATAAGGTAATTCATACAAACATTTCGCCAGATGCTAACAATAAGGTCTCTATGTAGTTGATATGCTGATCTCAAACCAACCAAACCCCACCCCGCCCCATCATGAAAATCAACATCGTTCCCTAGGTAAGTTCTTAACTGACTATAAATGTCCAATTTACAGCCTGTTAACTCCCTTGCCTCGGGAAGATGGAAAATTAAGTGGTTACTCCCTTACCATTTATGTGGACGCGGAGGACACCATCTGTAATGGTGCTGACGGCTTCTTGCAGCTCTCCATCAGTTGAGAAGGTCACAAGGTCGCCATCTCTGTCTGTAAAACAAAAACATGAAAATATACAGCTTGTTCAGCTTGTCCCTTTGGGGGAAATGAGTTTGATATATTTCCTAACGCTATGTACCTTCGCTGGCTGTGATAGACGATAAACGAAGACCAATACACTTTGGTGCATATACAAGCCTATCTTCCGCCTGCATGTGTACAAATAACACATTTTTTTCCAAATTATTATGATTTACTTTTTAAGTCTATTTTCCGTATATTTCTACGTAATATTATTTTATTTTAATAACGTCATGTCTCTCAACTGAGGACACATTTAAACTGTCTAACTTCCTGATATATCTACATATCACACATATCGCATTCCTTGAGTGTAACCAGTAGATACCCCCGTGAACATCCGGGTTACAATTGGTCTTTACAAGACTTGTCGCACGTCACTAGATTGTCTGGTCCAGACCGCCGCCATGTAGCTGGAATATTGCTGAGTGCGGCGTTAAACAAGAAACAAACAAATCAGAAGATAAAAATTGTTAGTTTCTTCACATCCCTTGTTTGACCTATTTGTCCATTATAGCCACAAATATGTTTTATAATGACAAATAAAATACTATACAGTAAACTACGGTTATAACGAACACGCTTATAACGAACTAACGGATATAACGAACTAACTTTTTAGTCCCGACTATATGCTGTAGTTATGCTGTATATATGCTTATAACGAACTACGGTTATAACGAACTAAAATTAGTGGTCCCTTTGAGTTCGTTATAACCGTAGTTTACTGTATTATGTCTCTGCGGACTATTATTTCCCTTAATCGTACACATGCGACCTACAACGACAAAATATATTCAAAATATTTTCAAGAACTTCCGAATTTTAACTTGGATTATTTACTTAAACTTCCTAAACACAGCATGGGACATATTTTGTAATATCTATCCGGGAATACAATATAATTTTGAAACAAATTTCGGGGTGATATGATATAATGTGCAGTTTACAGAGACTACCATATCCTCTTTCTCTCCACCACATTGATTAACAGCCAAGTTTACATAAACATAAAACAGAAGCGTTCAATAAAGCACAAACGTGCCATCTAGTCACTTTCCAAATATAACTCCAGATCATGGTGACCTTGACAGCGCATTGATTGTGAAGGAACAGCTCGTCTCCAACAGGCAACAGACCTTGTGATAATGTCGATATTAACGACGCAATTACTAAACGTTCGGTCAGTATCGCAAACTGCTGCCTCTATACAAAATGCTGATATACTAATATACACATATTGTTTAACTGAAGTAATTTCCTGAAAATTCATGTATAATAATCACTTCGTTAAATCTACACCCTGATTGTTAAAACCATAACCTCGTATCATTTTTAAAGACAAAATATATTGTGTAGAATTTCAAGCGAATTTAGAATTACACATTGGCACTTGATAGTTGCAGTAAATGAGAGTGTATAAGAAATTAATACGATTATTATGTATGGTTATAACTTATCCGATTATAGATACATATACTTGTCTGACAATAGCCAATTAACCACAATATCTTTAAATAATACCAAACATGTTTACCTGCGGCTGGTGGTAATGATTTTATTGTAAAATATATATGTTTGCAATTTAAAAAACCCGACTCACCTGTCCATTGTAAAGAGAAGTCCTTATTGTGCAGGGAAGGGAATGCTTCCTTTACTCTTTGCCGTACTAAATTAAAGGAGGTTACATCCGGGGGGACTCCGAACCGTCTTATCTCCGGTTGGGACCCCGCTTCTTTCGCCAAGTACGCTTTGATCGTGAGAGCCATCACTTGATTGTTCGTGGCTTGGTTGTGTCTGTAGTTATGATTGACGTGTCAGTGGTCTGCTTTTAAATACTCCTCGATCAGATTTAGGTGACGTCAGTGCATAACGTATATTTATAGTAAAAGAGGCAGTCCCTCCAGTGATTGAGTCAGGCCACGTGATTGTGTGTTGTGACGTCCCTTCTCAACTTTGACCTCTGGTGTCAACCAGTAGATTAGCGCGTAGCAGGTCACGTGCAGCAAGGAAGCTTCGAGAGTAAACATGGTGATGTGTCTCATCGACGCACTCCTTGTGACATATAGGGAAGTGTTGTAAGTGTTTTCGTGAGTTGCAATGCGTGTCTTTTCCATAGGGCTTTTCGAAAACGTTTCGTCAGAAAAAAATCCTCATAATGTATAGTTTTCAGTTTCATATGGAAATATTCATAGAAATCTTTATGATAATATTGAGTGAGTGAGTATGGTTTTACGCCGCTTTTAGCAATATTCCAGCAATATCACGGCTGGGGACACCAGAAATGGGCTTCACACATTGTACCCATGCCGGGAATCGAACCCGGGTCTTCGGCGTGACGAGCGAACGCTTTAACCACAAGGCAACCCGACCGCCCCATATGATAATATTGAGAATAATAAATAACATCCAAAACGGACCTATAAGATCTTTTCAATCTTTGAAGGACATCAAAATGTAATATCAATGCTTTCGGAAAAATATTTTTGTCATTTATTTTCTTGATAAATGTAATAGTATATATTTTATGTATGCACGTATAAATCAGTGAGATGTATTAAACGAATCTATGACATTATTTCAATCTCTAAAGACCAGTATTTAAATATAGACTGAATGCGACAATAATTGCATTGATGTGTTTAAATGAGATAATGGGTCCACTGAATTTTAATATTATAGATTCCTGTTTTATTTATAAGTTTTATCATAAAAGCTGTGCTATATTTTGGCGACCGGTCATTTCCGGGTAACTCCAATACCACAAAGGAATCGTGACTGTTAAGAGGAAATTAAGAACAGAAAATAAATATTTGCCGCAAAATTGTTTTATCAAAATATTACAGCAAGGTTATTTATGTTAAATCACGAGTGTTTCAAGCAGAATTGTAGTCGAATGTTCCGGTGAATTGACACAGCGGCACATCGCTTCTGATAAACAGGTTGTATATTTTGATGTGTAGATGGTATCTGCGTATAACATTTGACGAAATGTCATATCGACATGTGTCACTACATAACAGCTATGTGTTATCAGTCTAAAAATAATATGATAGACTTTGTTTCAGGCTGTAATGTAATATGCATGCATAATACTAATTTACATAACTTTAGTTAACGTGTAATAAGATTTAACATAAAATGTATAAAGTATAAAGAAAATGATGGTGGACAACGTTTTTCAATTTTCCCATGCAGTAGGCAATGTTTTTATGTTTAGATATTTTCACGAAAGGGTGAGGATGGTTTTACGCCGCCTTTAGCAATATTCCAGCAATATCACGGCGGGGCACACCAGAAATGGGCATCGCACATTGTACCCATCTGCATGGGGAATCGAACGCTTTATCCACTAAGCTACCCCACCGCGCAGATATTTACACTTTTAGGCCAGCTATTTCTAACATTTCCACGTCGCATTCATTCTTTCTTTTCGTATATTTACGTTTTTCATACCATCAATATACACATTTTGTTTAAAACATCGAAACAAGAATATATATTGAGAGTATGTACAACTGAGGTACTAAAAGCAAGACTAAATTCGACGTAAAAATGCCACAAAACTGGCTTATTTCGAACGTCGAGGAGAGGAATTATACTGGAAATCGATGGCATGTCTTGATTTGTACCGAACACGATTTTTTTCATGACAATAAAAATCATCGGACGGAAGTATAACTATCAGCCTTTTTTGCACGCTTCCCGAAATACGAAGACTAGGGTGACAAAAACAAAACAGGGATGTATTTAATATCTGCTAGCACGAAACACAGGAAACGGGAAGACCGAACCATTGTTCAGACAGACAATGACAGGACGTTTGCCAGGAAATGTACTTTGGATCAGTTAAGAATAATTTCACACGAAACTTTATTTACGTAGATGTCCAATCTCATTAAAATTAGATCTTAGTTCTCGCTATTGCATGCTGGATCTGAGGACATCCCATTACGGGTCACGTCAAAGGGATTTATCATCCGACCAATCAAAGCGTCGCTTACCAGATCGTGAAAGTGACAGTCGGAATGTGTTTTCTAATCATGCAACCTCGAAAACGTTAACATGGGGTATTCCGAACGACAGTCACGGCCCCTACGACTGATTCCGTCAACATTATTGTCTATCTCTCGCCTCCGTTGGATAAACATTTGAACGGAGGCGGCGTTGCGCAGTACGTGGAAAGCACTGCCATACAATCTCAGCAATATATTAGACATTCTGGAATGTTCGTTTGATCAGTTTTCAAAATTTTAATCGAGAACTGTGTCAACATATTTTTCAAGCGTAGTCTGAAATGGAAGTCGCCAGGTTGAAACAAGTGCCATAAAGCTCGAGAAAGCTGCTTTCTAATTTGCTGATGTCGACTTCTTGTTAGTCATTTCAGTGGTCGGTCAAAGCTCGTGACAGATCGTTCTGACGTGACCCGTAATGGGATGTCCTTGAACATTATTTAGGGACTGGTAATTTATTATAGTGTGGCTGGGGGTCTTCATTTTCGGCACTTCCCGGCAGCGCTGTGCGTGCGCGTGTGTGTGTTCACGTGTGTGTGCACGCGCGTGCGTGTGTGTGTCTGTGTCAATGTGTGTGTGTGTGCACGCGCGTGCGTATGTGTGTCTGTGTCAATGTGTGTGTGAGTGTGTGAGAAAATTGTTTCAAACACTATTTTGAAATATAATTTTGAACATTAATAAGGGACTGGGAATGTATTATAGAATGGCTCGGGGTTTCATGTACCAGTATTTTATTCGGTGTGTGAAAAGATGTTACAAAACATGGATCGAGGGTGGTTTCGGGGCGTGTGTCAGCATATGATACTGTCCAAAGGGGTCATATAGGGGTCTTGTGGAAATACACAACCCTCTCCTTCTATGAGGATGTGTATAACGTGTATTGGTCTGAATTTGTCTGAAGATGTCTTTCAGAACGTATCAGTGTAACCGGCTTTTCTTGGCTTTATCCATTATTTTAAACAGATGACACCAAGACGGCTACGGGGTGTGATGCTTATGTTTATTGATAATCACGATAGACACCCCTATGTGTGGCACAAAGGTGTGAAACGTGACACCCTTCAAATGTCACCGTTCATGATATGTCCTTTAGTGGTGATCTACAAATACTCCCAGTGCAGTGCGTAGTGAAGGTGGCAATATGGAGTTAGTCAGAGCAAGAAGGTAAAGTTTGAATTTGGCCAATCACAGGATCGCTTGGGATGTGATTGATCAGTAGAGAGCTGGACAAAGAATGTAGTAGAGCTTGGGTTGTGATTGATCACTGAGGCCTGGACTTAGAATGATGGGATAAAACAAACACACACCTCTGTTGAATAAAGTTCAACAGAAACAAAACTTGAAATAGATTTATTTACAAAAAGACTAAAATACAAATATATACACCTGCTACATCAGTATCAGTGTTGTTTATTCACAAAAAGTGTTAGGCCGTAGGCCTATTACACAGAACTATTTACAGAGAGAGGGAGAAAAAAGAATTACCACTATTTTACATATATATCCATATCCATACGCATTCATACACATACACATGCATATATACAAATAAATATTTAGACTGTATGCAATGAACGAAGTCGAAAAGCTTTGTAAACGTAGACTGCTAGATTTCGTATGATTTTAAAGTTAGTGGATGACATAAGAGCATTAAATTTATTTTAAGAAGGGGTTGTAAAATATTTAGGAGGAATATATTCAGCTCTTAAATCACTATAAGCATTGCATATAAGCACAAAATGATATTCGTCCTCAATAAAATTCTGGTTACAAATCAAACACAGTCTCTGTTCTCTAATTTCCTTAATATATCGACCGGTCTCAATTCGCATCCGATGGGAGGAGCATCTCAACGTATTAAAAATAAGAATTGAAACAAATATAGCTTTTGTGCTCTTTACCCAAATTATGCTGGACTATCTTGTTATTTATATACACATACGATATGTATACGGTTTTTTTAAAGGGAAAGAACATTGTAAGTGTGAAATTGTTTTGTAGCCGAATACGCTTGAAACATGCATCACGTTTCCGTGTATGTAAAGTACCGGCCAAAGAAAGTATACACTTGAAAACTGGATTTGACGAAACATTACAAACGTTATCAAGGTATTGAGGCTGTAAATAGTCCCCGAAACACCGTATCAAATATATCACCATCCAATAAGCATCTCTTGTTTGTTTTATTTTAGCCACTATCAACCATGGGCGTATACTTGTCCGTCAGTTTAGTATCAGCAACCACACTGATGACAGCCACACGATCATGTTGTTTGTTTGTTTGTTGTTTAACGCCGCACTCAGCAATATTCCAGCTATATGACGGCGGTCTGTAGATAATCGAGTCTGGACCAGACAATCCAGTGATTGATATAATGAGCATCGATCCATACAGTAATTGTTCGCAGTTGACAATATTGTGTATATTGTCCTTGGTGACATGGAAACAACAAAGAAACAATATAGTGTGTTTTGTAAATATTTCATTTCACTGGTTTATTTTGATTGTCTATACTTTTCGCTATTCTTATCTGTTTGGAAACTGATTAGTCGCCTCTTACGATAAGCATTATATGTTAAGGATTGGTTCACCCCAGTTGTGACCAAACTACCAAACACCCACGGGGTCAGGCTCGCTGACCTCCTTGGTGCATGTCATCGTATCCCAATTGTGTAGATCGATGCTCATGATATCAATCACTGGAGTCTCTGGTCCAGACACACGATTATTTACAGACTGCCGTCATATAACTGGAACATTGCTGAGTGCGGCATTGAACAACAAACAAACAGACAGATCTTACAAATGCCAGCATTAGTACAGCTGTTCGGGAAGTTCATTTTGATAAAGCAGACTTATGTAACACTGTTTTTAGTAGTCCAATCCGGAAGTCAGGATGTGAGTCAACTCTTTTGACTACTTTGAACATGGTTTGTCGAGTTGGTGGGAACTGACCACAAATAATCACCAGAAGCAAAACACTTCCTGGTGTATGTTTCACTTACAATTTGTCTGTTCAGAACACAATAGATGATATTTATAATAACATAGTGTCAGTTTGAGAGTATTTCAGTTATATGGCATGGGTATTTAGCAATGTATATTTGATTATAGTTGGACTTTCCAGCGTCAACAGTCAGAAAGCAAAACAACGAGTAAATGGGGATAAAGACTTTCCCTGTATTGTCAGGGACACTTCCGTCAGCTCAATCTATCAAGGAGTTCAGAGAGGATGTCTAAATGTTTTATAGAAGGCGATGGGTAGATCACTCAAAACCGCGTACAGTCTTTGAAGGGGGACCATGTTGTAATGATTGCCCTGTGTGGAGCTTAGACATTGTCTGTGTGTAATGATTGCCCTGTGTGGAGCTTAGACATTGTCTGTGTGTAATGATTGCCCTGTGTGCAGCTGAGACATTGTCTGTGTGTAATGATTGCCCTGTATGCAGCTGAGACATTGTCTGTGTGTAATGATTGCCCTGTGTGCAGCTGAGACATGTCTGTGTGTAATGATTGCCCTGTGTGGAGCTGAGACATTGTCTGTGTGTAATGATTGCCCTGTGTTCAGCTGAGACATTGTCTGTGTGTAATGATTGCCCTGTATGCAGGTGAGACATGTCTGTGTGTAATGATTAGCCTGTGTGCAGCTGAGACATTGTCTGTGTGTAATGATTGCCCTGTGTGCAGCTGAGACATTGTCTGTGTGTAATGATTAGCCTGTGTGCAGCTGAGACATTGTCTGTGTGTAATGATTGCCCTGTGTGCAGCTGAGACATTGTCTGTGTGTAATGATTAGCCTGTGTGCAGCTGAGACATTGTCTGTGTGTAATGATTGCCCTGTATGCAGGTGAGACATGTCTGTGTGTAATGATTAGCCTGTGTGCAGCTGAGACATTGTCTGTGTGTAATGATTGCCCCGTGTGCAGCTGAGACATGTCTGTGTGTAATGATTGCCCTGTGTTCAGCTGAGACATTGTCTGTGTGTAATGATTGCCCTGTATGCAGGTGAGACATGTCTGTGTGTAATGATTAGCCTGTGTGCAGCTGAGACATTGTCTGTGTGTAATGATTGCCCTGTGTGCAGCTGAGACATTGTCTGTGTGTAATGATTGCCCTGTATGCAGCTGAGACATGTCTGTGTGTAATGATTGCCCTGTATGCAGCTGAGACATTGTCTGTGTGTAATGATTGTCCTGTGTGGGGCTGAGACATTGTCTGTGTGTGATGGGGGTAATCACTGACTGCTAGACTGACATACATCCACCATTAAGAGTGCACTGACAAATATTTGGGTTTTGATGACTTGAACTAAACCTGCTTTGAGGCAACTTACCTGAGCCTTGTCCTACTTTAAAGTTTCCCAGACTCATTACCCAAAATATACATGTGGAGGGTGAGACAGATAGGTTTTAGCCTGCTTGTAGCAACAGTCCAGCAATGTCATGGCAGGGAACACCAGAAATAGGCTTCACATGTTGTACCCATGTTGGGAACTGAACCCAGCCCTGTAACAAGTCAGTGTTCCTCTACTGGGCTAACTCACCCCACACATGTGAAGGGAGGCTTCCTTAATACCGTAATATTATAGAACTATATTGTACACAGGCCTGTACGGTGAGTAAAAAAACTGTATATAACAACACAAAAGATATATGTGAAATAATGAAAATGTTTAATTGCATTTTGTCAAAGTAATAAACAACGTCCCATGGTTAGGAGAGTACAAAATGGTTTGTATATACAATATGTTACTCCAGCTTTCCATTTGTATAAAATAATAATAAAATTTAATCACTCATACATACAGAAGTCTTCTTTAAAATATTATATACAGAAAGTACTTAAGAATCATGACTACACTAAAATAATCAAGCAAAATGTAATCTATTCAGGAAGTGACACTTCTCTTACATCTATGTTTGAAAACAGAAATATGGGTATCCACAAGTGAGCAAATGCATTCCTATTAATTTGACATGAAAATTTTATAAGTTTATGACCAGTCCCTGTTTGAAATATACCCAATGGGGGGAGACATATTGTGTGCATAATGTCACTTCCTTATGTACAAACCTAATTACTCCCCCTTCACATTGTCATATATTTATTATAACAATCACATATAGTGTAAACAACATAAGAAAATAAAAGTAACAATTGACAGAGATCACAACACCTCATTATGTGAAGTCAGCTATATTCATCTCCACTGGAATATTTAAAGCAAATGAAAAAAAATCTTTTTGCTGTAATGTACAAAGATGGTCCCTTTAGTAATTGTGGGAATTATCCAAAACAAACCAACATTAATACTAATATTACAGTCCCCCCCCCCCCCTCCCAAATATATATTCTGCATCCAAATCTGTTAAATCAATAGACAGACGATTATCTAGGATTGGATAGAAACAGGCTGGGAAAACTTAATGCAACATTTAATGCAATACTTTTAAGTAAAGCATTATTGGTCCTGTTACTTGTGACATACAAGTCAACTCGACCAAACCATCACATTAGTTGTAACTATATTAAAATACATTCTCATCACTTCCTGTATCTATGGAAACCAGATTGAAGATACAGATTTTTTTAAAGGATGACAGAAATACTGAAAACACATTGCAGGAAATTAAACGCATTGTTTTGCAGATACATGTTTAACCATGCAAAGGAAGGTGTTACACATGTGTTAGTCTGCATCATTTACTGAGTACACTTCTGTCCAGATTAATGAGGTTTCAGTGTAGTAGTCCACTGTCGGCAAGAAGTCATATCAGTAGGCATTCACAGGAACATCCTTATGTACAGAAGAGAGAGGTTTTACACCAGTGTTAGCCTTTCAGAACTGGTTGGTTTTTGTCAGATGTTTAATGCTAAAATTTAATAATAAATTAGGTTCCCCTATTTTTTTTCTCATGTGTTAAAAAAAATAAATATGGGGACCTTATTTCTTATTAAATTTTAGCATTAAACACCAGACAAATACAACCAGCTCTGCAGGGCAAACACCAATTTTAGGAATATTGCAGCAACAGCCTGTCAAGGGACGACACCCAGATTGCTATCACAGGTTGTACACCTGTGGACTCAAACTTGGGTTTATGCATTCACTCTTTCCACAAGCCTACAAGACCTGTACAGCACTTACATAGGTAATGCAGTTCAAAGTACATGGTAATAAACACTGTGAGAAACTCAGGTACACTCAGCATAGTGAAGCAAGCATAAAGAAGAGTGACTGGTATTTTTTTAGTTTATTACAATCGTAATTAGTTCCCCCACATCATAAATTTGCATAAGTATTCCAACTCGCACTTGTATCACACTCTCAAAAGTTCATATCACACCGTTGTGACCCATGTTTCATCCTCTAGCCAATGAGATCACTCTCTGTTTGGTTTGATGGCATCCAGCACCTGGCTGATGTCTCCATTCTTGGCCTCGAGGAGACGGGAGAGCCAGCCTCCGTCATCAGAGAATCCCATCAACAACATCTGCTGGAGAGCATCGGCAATACGTGCATCTGGGAATACAACAGTAAATCCCATTATGGTGAAAAATAAGGATCACATGGCTGATATCAAATTTTCAATACCAACAACAATCAATATAAAAAATGCGAGTGATTTATTCATAACTGAGCTTTGGAAACCAAAATCCAAGTTGGTTGAAAAGGAGGTGGGCCAATATCCTAAACCAACATTGTTTGATAGTTCATGTATTTTGCAGGGCCCTGTTGCACAAAGCCATCTTAGTGCTAAGGTGAACGTAACTCCTATACTTTAACATAGGCTTACAATAGTCTTAGCGCTAAGATCACTTTTTGCAGAGGGGCCCAGATAAACCAGTCTACAATGAGTAACTGACATAAACCTGCCACAAATCGTCTCTTTCATTAACATACAATGTTCATACAAAAATCATCTGACCCCAGAATAACCAATTCCACTACACCACAGATTAAAGGTAAAACTGTTCTGATGAAAAAGCGTAACTCACCTGGATGACTTGCCTGGGGGGAAGGGTCTGCCGAGTCCCGGGGGGAGGCACTTGCAGAGTCGGAGAGCAGGGTCCAGCCATCACCTGATGTGTGTGGCTTCTCCTGGGAGTCTGTCTTGGTGGCCTCATCAGCTGATTCTTTGTCAGAGTCCTTCTTATAGGCTCCTTCCGTTGATTGGTTACCTGGTTGCCCGGGGCACTGACCGAACATCTGGGCGAGATTTCTGAAGAACTGTTGACCTGCTTGGGGATTCACACCCTGGCGACGCCCATTGTGCTCAACATCAACGTCTACATCAATCCCTGAAAGTTTAGAATTTAATCAATTTAAACAGATAACAAATTACCCAAACATTTCAGAAACATGTTAATCTAATTATGCAAACATATTATAACAGAATATTCCACTGATTGCTGAGTGACATAAGCAATATTTACGTTTTATCAATGTTAACCAAATGATACAAATGATGAACTTGAAACTAAGGTGTAATTTTCCAACCAAGAAATTAACTCCATACCGAAAGGAGTAAGGAAAGCAGCAACAGATTGTCCAATATTTTTCAGATAAGCCTCCTCTGGAGTAGTCTCCCCTTTCTTGTCAGTATCAGTCTTGTTTTGTTCATCACCACCAGAGGGAGCCTCTTCTTTGTTGGCGCCACATCCAGGATGTTGGTTTTGGAACTGGCTCATGAAGTGGTTCATCAACTGATGGCAGTGGAGTGGCACCATGAAGGGCTGTTCAGTGGAAATAACGAAGTGTGTGTCAAGGTTTCACTATCTATACAGAGCTCAGAACTAACAGGCTTCACAAGCTATACCAACATCAGCACTCAAACCAGGTCTCTGACATGACAACAAATGCTTGAACCATTAAGCTAACCTGTTTCACCTGAACATTTGTATTAATTACAAGAAATAATAGCATCCTCATCTTTGACATAGCCCCCTTCTCAAAGTTTTGTGAAGTAGTATTACACAGCTATTGATGCAAGTTCCAGTAACTGAACCTTGGAAACTAAAGTTAATTCCTGTTTCTTATAGAGATGATAAAAGCCAAAACTTAATAAGTACCAAATGAGTCACACGTACATCCACATGTCTTGGGTGATGGATGTGCAAAGTTCCATACAGAAATACTGATTAATTTTTGTCAGTTCACCTCCAGGACTGAACCTCACACAATCAATTGAGAGATTTTTATGACTTTCTTAAATCCAAACGTGAAAGAAACAAAATTGTGACTAGCTGACTTTTACACTGAGATCGAGAGGTATACACTTCTGTAGTATTTTACATTGCACTTTAACTTTGTGATTATGAATGAAGGAGTTACCTCCATTGGATCAGAAAATAAAGAGCATGGCTGAAGTATTGCCTCTCTCTGTTCAACCGAACATACATCGACGTGCATCCACGTACAAATATAAAGTTAGTCCTTTTTCACAGAGCCTTCTAAACAATGCATGAAGATTTTCATCATGCGACTGTTCATCTTTTCCATACACAAGAATATCGTCACTGATATTCACGACTCCTGGTAATCCATTGATTGCCTGTCGAAAGCATTTGAGTAAATGTCTTGATGAAGTACTCTAAACTTATTTCAGCAATACTGAAAATTTATGAACAAAATAATGCTCACCATTCTGGCACCAGAACCACACGTGGCAGACTTTGGAGAGACAATCTTCCACATGTCATGTTGTGGGTGAGTGTTCTGTGCCTCGCACTGGCTGCACAAGTCGTAGTCCGGGCACACCAGACACTTGTACCTCACACCATACACAGCTCCTTCACAGCCGTCACAGATCACGTGAGGGTGCAGCTCCCCACTGCCACACTTCGGGCTTTGGCTCTGAGGGGCATGCTCTACAAACACCAGTTCAATAGATTAATAATACAGTGAAGTATTATCATAACAAACAAACAGGAACTGTAAGAACAAAACAGCAAGGCAAAAGAAAGCATACATCCATTTTTGATGGTGGATAAAAATAAAACAAACAAGAAATGGTTATTTGATGGTGATGTATTTGATACGGGTATAATAGTTGTATACTAGCCACAAAAAGAAACTGTGCACGGAGAAAATATAGATATAAGGGCACACCGTCCACATATGAAATAAAGGTTTGAACACAGCAAGTATTGGAGACATTCAAACGCTCATGCACGTGCCATGCGATATGATGTCATTGATGGGGGCCTATGGACGTGCAATGTGTTACTGCACGTGCATCCTGTGCAGCTGTACACAGCATGTGCAACTCAAAATTCGCTGTCACTTTGGAAAGCATGATCTGTGGTCATTCAAAAATTCAAAACTTCTCAGGCGCAGACACAAGCATATCACAAGCAAATCATGCCAAGATTGACAGCTGCACAGCGTCATGAAGCCATTGGAATGATCCGAGCGGGAGTGAGGCAACAACAGGTGGCAACACATTTCCAATGCCATCGTAACACGGTATCGGCATTGGTGAAGCGTTATCAGAACACAAATGACGTTGCCGACCACCCACGTTCAGGACGTCCCCGAGTAACGACGCCAAGACAGGACAGATGGATTCGAGTTACACATCTCCGACACAGGTTCCAAACGGCAGTAACGACGTCCCAGACAGTTCCTGGACTGCGCCGTATCCATCCCAACACTGTCAGGAATCGTTTACGTCAGTACGGGATTCGACCACGACGCCCTGCCATACGTCCCATCCTGACACACCGTCATCGAGTCAACCGTCTAAGATGGTGTCGAAATCATGTTCGCCAACCTCGAATATGGTGGAGAAATGTTGTCTTTACAGATGAATCGAGGTTCAACATTTCCCACAGTGACAGGAGCCAACGTGTCTACCGGCGTTTGGGAGAACGTTCTGCACGCAACTGTATTGTGGAGAGGAATCGTTTTGGAGGTGGCTCTGTGATGATTTGGAGTGGGATAACAGCACGGCACCGAACCCCTTTGGTGGTTGTTCAGGGCAATCTCACCGGTGTTGGCTACACAGATCAGATTCTGAGGCCTGTGGTCATTCCTTTCCTGCAACGTCATGGCCCGTGATTGACATTTCAACAGGACAACGCTCGTCCTCACACGGCTAGGGTCGCAATGGATTTACTTCACCATAACAATGTCATGTTACTGCCATGGCCTGCAAATTCTCCTGATCTCTCCCCAATAGAGCATGTGTGGGATGAAATGGAGCGCCGTCTACGTCGTCTTCCACATTTTCCAGTTAACGTCCGTGACTTGGCACAGGATTTGAGGAGGATATGGCAGGCCATTCCCCAGGCCTTTCATGCCCATTTGGTGAACTCCATGCGTCGCCGATGCACTGCTGGGATTCACGCACAGGGTGGTCATACCCGTTAATGACTTTGTGACTCTGTTTGACCCCCTACTCCATTTTGATCTTCTGACGTCATCGTAACAGATGTTGTTCAGGTCCCGTTGACATTTTCTTATGGTCCGATCAATTCAGCTGCTACAGCGTCTGCATCATTTTGTTCTTGCTGTGTTGTATTTCAATCCAGAATATATTTTCTCCGTGCACAGTTTCTTTATGTGGCTAGTATATTTTGGACCTTAAAGAATGCAGTGTTTAGGGCCTGTTTTCAGGCTAGTAACATTTTGAATATGCCAAATCCAATTTTCAAGTGTATACCGGTACTTCATTTTGCTTGGTAGTTTAGTTTGCTTTATTGCCAGTTAATTAAATCATTTTGGTTGCAAAATTAGTATTTGAAAAAATGAGTTTGTTACATGTATAAGTGTGTTTTATCTGCAGTCTTTAGAGTATGTGGCAGTTTAATATTACATCATTGTCTTGTTTCCCCATAAAATTATATTAGTAAAGTGTGGTTGGTTTCAGTATTTGTCTACACTGTAATAATCATCATACCAATACCATGAATTATATATATATCTCATAAAGTAAAAATAATATGCCCTTTGTGAAAGCTATCAATAAACAATTTAGTATATACTTGTAGTTTTCATGGATCACAATGACACCATAAACAACAATGTTGTAAAAAGGTCCAAAAGATTTACAATGTATTCTCTTTCATTCTTGATAAGATGATACACACTGTGTCATATTTCAATGTTACACATACTTTTACAGTGTAAAAACAAGCATGATAATATCCACATTTATCTCATAGCTAAATCTAACACTGTCTTGAGTACATTCAAATTGGACACAAATATTGACAATGGTGTAACGTTCGAAGATACAATAAAATATTTTCAACAAAAGAAGACCTCAACTCCCCTTTGACTTTACACAAGACTGGAGGTTTGGGGTTTCTTTACATTTTGAATAGAGGCGATTTCCCCCTGTTACAATTTGTCATAAATGGATATTTTATGCATGGACAACACCAATTTTGTGACAGACTCACTTTTAATGTGAATTCGGAAGACAGAATCTGTAACAAATCCCAGAGCCTCTAGAAGTTCCTCATCAGACGAAAATGATACTAGGTCACCATCACTATCTGAAAGAACAAATAGATTAATTTCAAACTATTTCCTTGTCATTTATATAGATATTGTCAGCTCATTGTCAGCATAAGTAGCTGCTTATCCAGTTTGCCACAAGTCCAGCTAGGGTGTTTCCAATTTTGTAGCACTTACAAAACTTCAAATAAACATTAATACTAAGCATGCTAAGCCTAGAAGTGAAATTAACATACAAGGAAGAAATACATAGTACAAATAGTAACTGTACATGTTTAAAACAAGTTCAATATTTATATGCACCATTTACAAAGACGTATCTTATTAGGTGTTTTATGTTTTTTGGTCATATGTCATTTACTCAGCAAAAAAACAAAATCAGATCAGTTGCTATCAGCTGACATCCACTGCCCACATGTGTGCAATTTCTTTTGTAGAATAATGAAATGAAATATGTCATAGGTGACACAGAGGACTAAGGAAATGATTTACTCACACATCTTTTCTGTTATCATGTTTCTAGTTATCTACTTTCAAATTAGGACAAATGTCACGGTTCAACTAAACTAGCTACTTATCTGTTTATTTTTTCTCTACGTCCATTTCCTATTTTACAAGATTCAACTTAACATTCTTCTGATGTCTAACTAATTTCTCAGTACTCTCCTCAAAAAGCTTATCAAGATGTGCAAATATTCACAAACATTTTCTAAAACAAACTTCTACAGTGACACACTAGAAATTACACAGGGTAACCAATGGCCTAGAATCACCATTTCATGAAAATCCTAACCAAGTACGTATTCTGGGCCGAATTGGTCTACTGTACCCCAACCCCTACATGGACTGGCAGTTCAACTGAGCTGGCTGAGCTAGTGTGTCATCGTACCCCAGGCTGACGTTTCCCGACACTTGGGTTATTTAAATTTCTTACGGCTACTTACTAAATGCCCTTTTCTGATACAAATCCAAAATAATAAATATATTCACGAACTATCTTTTGAGAAAAAGAAGGAGGTCATAGTTATAATGTTACAAGTGCGTAGAAGCGTAATAGATCCATATGCTATTTACCTTTCCAGTAGAGGTAAAAGTTTCCTCTGACAAGTCCGGGAAAGACTTCCGATATTTTCTTGAACAGGTAGGTGAAGCTGGCAGAAGCATCAGACGGAACGCCGAAACGACGAATCTCTGGCTGGCTAGAACCCTCTCGCTCCAGGGAGGCCTTGATGACAACAGAGTCAGACATGACAGCGGGTTTACTTCGGAAATTGCAGCGGCGATGTGTTGACGGCAGGTTCGCTGTGGTTTTCAAGCAGACGATAAGGTGGCAGTTGAGTTTCCGTGTGTTCAGCGTCGTATGGCGTTGTCAGCAGGATAGATGCCCGCCTCACATCTACCCAGACTTTTATAAAGATTGAGGAGCACTGACAATGTCAAAATTTATCAAAGTTGCAAGTAACGCTGATTTAGATTTGTTCAAATGTTGGTTCACTACGCAGCTTCCGGCGGAACGTAAACAAAATCTTCCTTTGTAATCGCTATAAATAGCTACACATCACCGTAAATCCTACCTTCTGTTCGTTCAAGAACAGTCTAGATGGATTTCATCAGAGTGAAATTACCTGTAAATTGTTGCCTTTAGCGTATATTCATCTAGAAATAATAAAATTTACCTGGAAAATATATTTTGATTATGGACTGGTCATTTATTATATAGGGGATGGGGTGGGTAGGGTTGGTTGGGTGGATGGGGGTGTTGTGATTAATTAAGAGGTAGTTGTTTTGAAAAATAATACACATCGAAAGGGTGGAGTCGTCAACATTTATCCAAACTATATGGGGGTGGAGCTTTATTCCATTAACATAATTTTTTAAAAAACTTTTAACATTATTTAACGACTTGTAGCAGGGTGGGCATGGCAAGAAATGTTACATAAATTAATTAATTATTTATTTTATTTTATCCATTATTTTTTATGGTGTGTGTGTGTGTTGGGGGGGGGGGGGGGGGGGGGGGGGTGTTAGAGGGAAGGGGGAGTCATGGTCCCAAGTGTATGATACGATTCTAAGACAGATAAGACCTAATAAACAATTTAATTGTCAATCGCTCAATTGAAAATCATTACCAAACACCTTGTCCAGTGCATGCTCAAAGGGAGGTAATCGGCGTTTTGTGATACGGTCCGTATATATTTTTACCATGAAACTATCATCTAATTAGTTAGTACTGAGAGAAGGAATAATAATAGCTCTAATATTCCAGCATTTGTTTTGACAGATGAAAACAGTCAATTTAAAAACAACTCACTATAATCTGCTTTAACCACAATGGCGGAATCTCCTTCGCAAGTCCAATATCATTACTTTTTAACAAGTCGCATGGGGTTACGTGGACCTATTTGTTTGGCTTACTGAATAACATAATATAGGCTTCAAATGTTTTTGTTTGTTTGTTGTTTTACGCCGCACTCAACAATATTCCAGCTATATGACGGCGGTCTGTAAATAATCGAGTCTTGACCAGACAATCCAGTGATTGACATAATGAGCATCAATCTACGCATTTGGGATACGATGACATGCATCAACCAAGTTAGCGAGCCTTGCCAGTTGCCATCCGTTCCCGTTAGTCGCCTCTTACGACAAGCATGGGTTGCTAAAGACCCATTCTACCCCGGATCTTCACAGATCGGCTTCCCATGTGATACTCTGGAAGCCTATGTTATATATTCATACTCAATTTATTAATCTTTTAATGCTTGCCATTAAATCAACAATGATATCAACAATACATGCACACAAGTCGATCTGTGCATATCTACATGCAATTCATGTGCACGGTATCTATCTAGACTAACATATAGTCTCTGAAATGAACATATCGTACAGAAAAAACCAGTTGTTCAGTTATCTTAATACAAATCTAATAAAAAGGGAGCCCAGTGATTCCCTTCATTTGTCCTGATACTGCATTAATCTAGACTTGCCAAACATTATAGACTTGCATGGGCTGTAGTTGATATAAATGTATCAGGGTCTGTAAGACAGACTAGGTATCTATCTTAAACAAGTCATATTCATGGATGTGTATACAAAGTTTTCATGAAGAAATATTTAACTGTTTTTGAGTAATATCCCGGAAAAAAAGCGGACCTTCTTTTGATGTTTGATTGTTTGTCGTTTAACGCCGCACCCAGCAATATTCTAGCTATATGACGGCGGTCTGTAAATTATCGAATCTGGGCCAGCCAATCCAGTGATTGACATCATGAGCATCGATCCACGCAATTGGGGTCGATGACATGCATCAACCAAGTCAGCGAGCCTGACCACCCGATCCCGTCAGTCGCCTCTTACGACAAGCATAGTCACCTTTTACGGCAAGCATGGGTTGCTGAATTCTAACCCGGATCTTTACGGGTCACCTTCGTTTGAACATACGTGGTGAGAAATGTTGCCTTGGAAATATGAAGAGTGTCACGTAGCAATTTTGAATGATTGACTAATAAATGCTCAAGAACCGAACCCACCTTCATTTGAACGTAAGCCTGATTTTATTGGGGACGCAAAATAGTATAAAATGTATACAAAAGCCCCAATAGTAAAATCCACTTCAGTGAGTGAGTTAGTGAGATTTTACGCCGCTTTTAGCAAATTACAGCAATATCACGGCGGGGTACACCAGAAATGGGTTTACATCAGTTCAGTGCTTGCCCCGTGTGTATCGTCTTCCCAAGGCAAGGAAGTTAGCCGACTATAAAAGTGGAAACTGGCCTGTTACAGTCAGTTAACTCCCTTTCCTCAGGAGGTGAGGTGAAATTGGGTGTAACGTCGCGTCCAAGATTATTGCACTCACATAGCGACGTGAATGCACGTGTGTGTGTGGCTGCTTGTACTACCATGCCGCAGTTCAACAAGAATACCCCACTCAGACACAGTATACTGACTCCGAGCCGACCAGTCCTTGTTTTAGCCCCTTAATGCCGAGCGCCAGACATGGTAACAACAAGTACAATCTTTAAACATCTTTTGGTATGACGCGGCCGGGGATCGAACCCCGGACCTTCCGCTCACCGGGTGGACGCTCTACCCCTAGACCACGGAGGCGGTCCTTTCCTCAGGCAGATGCATGCGTGTACACAATGCCATGAAGAAATATTGAACAGTTTATGAGTAATGTTTCAGACAAGAGCCCTATCGTCCTTTGGACCAAAATCCAACTTGTAGCGTTGGAAGCGTCAAACCACAAAAAATATATAAATAACTAAAAAATAAAAAAATAAAAAAATGAAAAAACAAAAAAGTTCTGAAAGGCACCTATCTTAGCAATTATCTGCTGTGCAAACAAAGTGTTAAGAAGATATGACTTTTTATGAGTTATGTTCCGGAATAGAGAGGCGAAGGACGAAGCCCCATATCCCACTTCAACATTCGTTTGTGCGGGGAGTAAGTAGGTATCTGAATAACATTGTATATTGTGGAACATATTGGATGATACAACGTCCCGTTCAATCAGGTGGCGTCCTCAACCCACGATAAGTGGATCCCGGCGGCTAACTAAGGCACAGCGAGTTGTAAGGCCGGTCACGCCATAGTGATAACGTACGATAATGATAACGATACCTTGTTAAAAATCGCCATGAAACACAATTTAGTTTTTTAAGGTTGGGTCACACCACAGTGATAACTACATGAACATTTAGTTAACTATTTTTCGGCTGTAGACAGTTTCACCACGTGCTGCTTATCGTTGTGAAATACCGGGTTTGTGATCCAGTTTGTTTAAGTGAGTGAGTATGGTTTTACGCCGCTTTTAGCAATATTCCATGGGCATCCATGTGTGTTTAAAAGAAAGAAACGAAAGAAAAACTTTATAAAGGTGTGCTGTATAATTCAGCACCAAAGAGAAATTGGGCACGAAAGCACACCGTTGCCTGAATTACAGATCTCAGTATATATCTAACAATCACCTGATTCTACCTATTCCTCTTCTCAGCTCTAACAGCCTATACTCGACTAGCAACTCTAGGAAGCTAGGAGACTTGAGGGTTCCCCAATACTCGAGGGCTCCCTGAAATTACGAGCCTTGAGGGTTCGGGGGTTCCATTATGACATTATTTTTATTTAACTTACACATAACTTTATTTCAGGGATTCAATGTTAGACTAATTTACATCCCTTTGATGAGCTTGAGCAGAGTAACTCCGAATAGTGGTATTACCTCCCTTAGACCACAAAATCGCTTCGGGTCAGATTATTCAGGAAACGTATTGCCCAGGTTATGGGAACGCTGAAGATACATTTCTATACTCCCTGAGTAGCTTTATGTCCCTGGGGCGTCGTATATGGCATCATGGTGAAGACAACTCGTATTCTGATTTTACTGTGCAGAGTTGCGTCCCATTTGCGTGACAGATACGTAAGAATGTGGGTTTGAATCCCAGATTCGCCCTGAGTATGTTTCTATAAGTTTGTTAAATGAAACATTCACATTTCATCAAAGTGGTAAGAAGACCTGCATCACTTCGGGCTGTCTTCGAACACCAAGCGGACACGCCATGATATAACTAAAATACTATTCAAAGCGGCCTTAAACCAATGTCACTCACTCACTCTCACTGATTTCACTCACTCACTCTGCTGTAGACGTTATTCCGTACGACGCTTGTGCTCCCCTTCTGGTTCCATCAATTGTGTTTCAGAGTTATTTGTAAACGGTCGGTAAAATTTCACTTATATATTTCGGCTTTTATCAATGGAAAACATATTTCTTCAAAGATCCATACAGTAGAAAAAACAGAAACTGCCGAAGAATGAGTTGTAGTTGGGTTTAACCCTGTGTTGGAAAGTATATATTAATATAGTTAATATCAAGGCGTATCAACTTAGTGTTTGGTGGAAATCCTTGGTGGTGTAGGTCGTATTTAAAGCACGAGTATTGGTGCTGGAAGACCAAGGATTCGAACACACATCTGCGGATCCTGACTCGGATCATGCTCTCGTCTCCGTAGAGCACGTTAACTGTATTGTTCTTCTTAAAGATCCGGTAAATAAGACCGTTTTGATTAGACAAGAGAACATATTACTCAGTATTGTAATGCTGAATTTGAATTATAATATTTGCTCGAAAAAAGAGTTGCCTATCATTTCAGAAGTGACCCGCGCCGTAATTATAGAACGGGTTCTATCATAATTTCCAAACTCTTGCTTAGCAAAATTAAAGTATTAATATGAAATAGTGTATGGCTTGGACAAATACGAATGGGTCCACAAATTAGGGCTCCCCAGTAAGGGCCCATTACCCACCCCATAATATAAAAATTCAGTGCATTGGCCCCAAACTACTTTTGTTGGCTGGATTGCGGCGTTTTAGTCCACTGGGATGTTGAACCCACAAGTTCCCACAGACTTTAGAAACCAATATGAACTGTCGGGCAATTGAAACACTTCACACACTTCAAATTGGATTTGACCAAGAAATTACATACATTTTCAAAACGTTAATAGGCTGAAAACAGTCGCCGAAACACTGCAACCAAGCTTCAAGCACAACTATGTAACCTGTATTAAATACATCACCATCGAATATCCCTTTCTCGTTTGTTTAGCCACCATCAAACTTGGGTGTATACCTTTATATATCGAAGAAGTTTGTTAGTAACGTACATTTACAATATTTATTTGTCTCATCGGATTGAGCAGCAAAAGTATTTGATGTACTTCATTCCAATGCATTTTCAATTAAAAAGGTAAAATATGAAATACCGTCACTTATTTACACACTAGTCTGTCTTACAGAACCTGATACAAATATATATCAAATACAGCCCATGCAAGTCTATAATGTTTGGCAAGTCTAGATTACTGCAGTATCAGGTCTGAAAATGAAGAGAGTCACTGGGCTCCCTTTTATTATATTTTTATTAAGATAACTGAACAACTGTTTTTTCTGTACGATATGTTCATTTCAGAGACTAGATGTTAGTCTAATTTATACACGTATGGGGACTAATAGCTAGACAATCGTTCATGGTGATAGCTCCCCAGATCTTTGGCTGCGTTTGTACACCTGTCACCCCCATGTATTGCTGAACACAGCCTTCAAACCTTATCTCCAGGTTACAGTCACGTTGTTTATAAAATGACCACATCCTTATCAGATAACGTGCATGGAGGGGCTGCTGATTTAGGGTTTTATTGGGTATGGTGTGTTCTAAGTAGTTTCAGATTTCTCTGAATATAAACACGTTCATGAATGTGTGACGATGTATATGAAAAAGACACAAATATCCCCAGCCCTTTTAAGTATGTACATAAAATCACAAAATGTATGTCATATACCTCATTATACCAAAAAGGATTAATCCTAAAGCTTGAGCGTACAGTTGACATCATGATGAATGACTAAACCAAATAATTCCCTCTACTCTTTAAACGTTGATATAATACTTTCCATGATGACGTGAATTAGTATTGGTATTTTTCAACAGTCAGAGCTTGCACCTGATAGTAATGTTGCATATCCTATTTTCAAAACTCTAAATCATAATTCCATAACAAAATATAAATTATTTTATAAAAAATCCTGAATTGATGTATGCTCTTTTTAAAAAAACCCAAAACCCCAAAACCCACTGCATTATGACCAAGTCTCTCTCTGTCAGGGCACGATGTCACATAATCAACCATGTCACAAGACTGACCTCCCGATCCATTTAGTCGCCTCTCAAAACAGGCCTAACTTGTTCGGGACTTATTTTAACCCGGAATAATCCCAACAGTTTGATGTATGTTTTCTGATGTGCATACACAGATTTATCAAGAATATTGAATGGTACATTAGTTATACTCCACAGAATGAAGCCCTCATTCGAAACTGAGGAGACTTGAACAACCAAAGGCATCAGTTCGGCACTTGTCTTGTGGGAATACATGGTTTTACAAAAAACTGTTAAACAGTTTATGAATTATGCACCGGAAATTAGCCCTACCCTCATTGCCCTGGAAACACAAAATAGGAAATTTAAATATTCCAGTGCCAGTCCAGTGTAGCCAAATGTTTATATGTTACAGTCAGTGGGTAAAATGTGAATTACCTTGGAAATGTTCAAAATGCCTGAATATTTCAGTTATTTTACAAACTGTCAAAAGTGTTATAAAAATATTAAGAAGTTCCAAAGGGCTTACAAATGTCACAAAAGAATAATTATCCTTGGATTAGAAGCCAAAAAATATACTGTCTGTTTGTCTGTCCCAAAAATAAAACAAATACACATTGACTTTCGTTTTCTTTTAATCCTATCATTTTCAGCATCAAAATTGTTGGAATTGGTTATCATAATAAAATACATGGAAAGCTAGTTCTAAAAGACTTACATAATTAGGTGTTTTGTAAATTGCTGAAGTGAAAACTTCTGTCAGTTTACACATTGACTGTAACATATACAAAGTTTCATAAAGAAATATTGGAGGGTTTATAAATACACTCCGGAAACGACTGAGCCGGACTGTGACGGACGGACAGAACACTTTTCATTATCCTGGCAAAACTTTGTTTGGACAGGGGGTATTTATACATCTGTGATGTAACTAAACATCATCCTCACAGGTGGATCTTGGCCTATAATTGACAACACAGGCTTCTTTGGAGACTTTTTAATTGTGTTGCAATATGTAGAATGTATTCATAAATCTGAAATTGGATTGCTAAATTTCATATGGTGATGTTCAGTAGATCTTTGTAGATTCATGAATTGATGACTTTGCAATAGAGGAGAAAGATTTTACGCCCCTTTTAGCAACATTCCAACTATATCCCGCAGCTGGCATAAATTCCATTTATGGTTATGTTAGAATTACATGGCAGGGTCCGTGAACCCAAAGTATAATTAGTCTGAAGTTACATCTTATGCAAGTTCATGCGTCACAGTTCATTCGTCACAGTTCATGTGTCACAGTTATGTCATTATGTATTGTATTATTTCCAAATAGACATGTTGTGTCATTTAATCATTATTCACATAAATATACATTTATTTTTACGTTTTTTTATAGTGTGAATTTTTTTTCAGTAAACTTTGTTTTTACACAGGCAAGGAAATGGTGTCTTATGAACCTGTCCAAGACGACTGGTTAAAATAGCAGTAGCCCTTGCTCCAAAACCTGTAACATGGAACATTTTGCGTCATCTGTGATGGGGATGGGCGGGGGTTGGAGGAGTGGGCGTTTGAGTGTTTGATGATCACTTTGTTTTGGCACAAGCAGCTGGCCAGGTGTGAATTAGACAAGGTATTTTTGAGTTGATGCGTATGTTCTCAATAATGTGAATAGTGTAGTTTTAACGGCTCTGTCTGTGCTGTAAAAATGACCTATTAATAAGGTCGATAGAGCTCTCTCTCTCTTGTGGGCAAACCGCTCCATTTCAAAATTATTCTTCTGGCACATATTACATGGCAAACAATATTTCAAATAATAAACATGCAATCGTTTCAACGTATTTGAAATCAATATACCTGATTAGTATGGAGTGGAAAAGATATATCTAGCTACAACCTATATACATTTCATTTGGTGGTGTGTTCAGTAATACTTGTGGATAATCTTTGCTAACATACATGCTCAACCTCCCTCGTAAATATTTACTAAAAATCGTGATTTTGTTTTTTTTCCCCGAAGGCTAGTGTAGATGCAATGAAACGGGCACCTGCACGAGTAATCCATGTATGGGTAACGTCACGTGACACAAGTAGAGACGGTAAACAATCAGCAAGTGACCTCAGTATGGCGCGTTGTAATGTTGTAACTGTTTCAGCTCTTTGCGCATGAGGTGTGACCGACCAGCGTTCCCAACATGTGAAGGAAAATCTATATATAGCGCGACCTACCTAATGTGAATACGTCGGGTCATCAGCATAATGGATGAAAGTGGGTGATGACGTAAAATCACCCGATCGCCTGCTTGCTGCCGATTGGCTAAAGTCTCGTGGTGAGATTCACTCACAACAAAATGGCCGACAACCTGAACTGGCCGATCGGTCTGGATAATTTGCCTGATCTAGGACCAGACTTATTGGCAACAAATGATCTTGAAAGTGGAGGACTGGGGAGCGTTGATGGTAAAGTATATTTTGACCAAATTTGAACTTTCTATCACTTTTCGTTCCAAAGATATCATGACATGTATCTTCACGTCTGAGCGCGGCGAAATCCACAATATTTTACTACGACAGTGATTAGCGTAGCGTATTCCTATGTTTTGAGCTCGAACAGGCATATGTCAGCGACATAGGTTCGTTTACTACTGCAAATCTCGTTAAGATTTATCATTAAGCTATTTCTTATCCTCCCACACGCCCGTCAAATTGTGCTGTCATGTACAGAGTAAAGCGTTACTTGGGCTCCTAGTGTTTTCGGCACCAAGTTGAGCGTGAATCCTCAGGACGAGAAAACCTCGGAAAAAGTAATTTTTCTTATTTATCATCAGAATGTCTGTGTGACTGTTAACTTAAAACGGGGTTTGATTTTGAGTTTTGAGTGTTCGAGTGAAAATGTTCTTGTCCACCATTGTTTTCTGGAGTCCGTCTTCGAAATTCGAAAGAATCTTGTCAGTAAGGCGCATATAGGCCTATATGACAAGACAAGTCTGATGTGACAATTGCCCAGTGAAATCACAGAATCTGGAATAATCCTTAATCTCCCGTTCTCCAAAGTGATATCTGATAAGTGTATTTCATCATCTAATTTATGTAACAAGTTCATTTTACCCTTTTCTGGTGAACCGAAACGTACCATTCAAATCTTCCCTTTGGATATGATTTCATTCAGTGCATTAATATATGGACTGCAAAAACACATTCGACTCCATTTGAGTGAACAAATTTGGAATATTTGTCGTCTTACATTTCAGACATTCTGAAATATATCAATGGAGATAACCCAACAGGTGACCTATTTGACCTGCCATTGGTGAAGCAGGAACCAGAGACATTGATAGCTGAAACGCAACCAGTGTATGTGGAGGCACCAACAGCAGCACCAACAGCAGCACCAACAACAGTTGAATTGGTGCAACCTGTACAAGCTGTTAAAAGTGAAACCCAGCTTGAATCTATTAGTGAACTGCTGAATCAAAATGCTCTCAAAACCTTGCTTGAGATTAATGACAACACATCGTTCGGCAGTCAGTTGCAGCAGGTTGCTGCTCGCATGCAGGCTATGCAGAAAGTTCAGAGACTTGCACAGCAGCAGCGACAGCAGCAGCAACAACAACTTCAGCAACTACAGACACAGACGGTACAGATTCAGCCACAGGTGCAGATACAAACCCAGCCACAGGTGCAGATACAAACCCAGCCACAGGTGCAACAGCGTTCACCTCAGCAACAGCTGAAACTGATTTTGCAACAACCTTTGGTTACGACGACAACCCAGGCACAGCCTCGTACCCAGGTGCAGCAGTTAATACAACAAGCAGTGTCTTTGCAATCGGCACCTGCACCTGCTCCTGCACCTGCTCCAGCACCTGTACAGCAGACAACAACCAATGTCAGTCAGCTGAGTTTGCAGCAACTACAACAGGTTTGATATTCCTTCTCATTTATATGTCGGTCTTTGTTTATTACTGTACTGAAATGATGAAAACTCATAATCAACTTTAACTCTAAATCAGAAAAGAAAGATGTGTTTTGTTTCAAGGCCATCTCCAAGTACATCAAAAGAGATTTGAATCTGTACAAAGACTTTCTTATGCTTGATTATCTCATGCCTAAATGCCCAAAACACCTTAATTCGATTTTATGGCAATCTTCAAAAAATCGAATATCTGTTTCTGAAGTTGTTGGTATACATGAAAAAAATATCCTTAAAGGGCAAGTTCACACGGAAATGAACCTATTTTTCTTGTACTTTTTCCACATTAAAAGTGTTAACCTAGAAGTGTCATAGACAAAAATATAAAAATATCACAATTAATTAACATATTTTTCCCATTAAAACGATTGATATTTTTCACATTTACCAAGTGTTCTATTTCCACAACAAAAACACCATGGCTTATGCCCCTTGCAATATGACGTCATTGGTGCCAATTGATAAACATTATGACGTCATCATGCTCTGTTAGAGCCGCTTCACGTGGTGTAGGTACAGTTGTGTGATTCTAGCGTCTCAGATGCCAGCCAGCATAGTGTTATGCTGAGTCACCACTGCGCAGGAGTGTGTCGTAGGCCATGTTGTTTTACCACAAACTGGTACTTGATATCTTTTGCGTTGAGAATAGACAGGGACCCAGTTGAATTGGCACCAATTACGTCATAATCTAAGGGGGATAACTCAGGCCTGTTTAGCTCGAAAAACGAAGGCCTCATAAACGGCATATCATTTTCACACTATTGTGAGCTTCCAACTTTCACTCTGAAAAAAATGAGTGTATATTTTCAAACACAGATACTAATTAATTCTAAAATTGCGTTTTGTTTAGAAAAAGAAAGAAAGTGATTTTTGTGTGTACACTTCCCCTTTAAGTTTGTTCAGCATGTATAATAAAACAAACAAATCTGTCATGTTTTTGGGAAATCTTTGTCATATAGCTCTTGCTAAGTGGTTTAAACATGCTATGCTAAGTACATGATCAAACTATATTCAACTTCAACAGTTCACGACTTGAATTTTAAAGGAAAAATATTCATGCTGAGAAATATGATCGAGGCACTGTTTTACTATGGTTTAAAGCATGCTATTAACATGATCAATAATAAGTTTATATTATTTAAAAAAAATCACATTGATTCGAAATATTTGTCTTTATCCAAGTTGCTCACATAAAGTTTGTTTATTTTAGTTGCTGCTTCAGTCCCAAGTTTTGAAGACGACCACTGTGAGTGAACCAACACCAACTGTTGTGTCTATTTCTTCTCCGGTCACTACAATCAATAACGCGAACACTACTGTTAGCAGTGTAACATCATCACCCGTGCAGACGATAGTTGCTGGGGGCAACACCATACTCACCAGTATTCCTATCCAAGTTGTAGATGGTGACAAGGTACCCATCAACCGACTCAACACCATGCCAAAGAAAGCGCACAAGGGTGAAAAACGAACAGCACACAATGCCATTGAGAAGCGTTACAGACTTAGTATCAATGACAAGATTGTGGAGTTAAAAGATCTTGTAGCAGGAACAGAAGCAAAGGTAAGGCACACTTAGGCATGTTAAGAAAATGAATTACCATTTATGTTGGTGAAATCATCATGATCAATGTTTTTATTTATGCTTTCCTTGGTCCTTGGCTAGTGAATAGTGGAGGAATTAAGACAGTGTATGAGCTTGGGCTAAACATGACGTTGGTACTTGCATTTCAACATGTTCAAGTATTTGATTTGATGACCAAATTGCATAAGTGACTTGTGCAGTGTTGTGTAATATCTAAAACATTATCTGTTTAAGATACTGAGATGCTACTATATGTAGAATGTATAAACATTACTACTGACACACCATGCACTACTGCTTCACACAGAATGAAAACAAAGAATTCCTAGTTCTGAAGAGTGATATCAGTTGCAACACAAGACAAGTGGATGCAATGTTGTCTGTTGATGCATCAACTTGACGCCTGACCATGTTGACTGTTGAAATCATTAGAGTAAGTCATTAGAAATTTCACACTCTTATCAAATGTTTTTTACTTTGCTTCAGCTGAACAAATCTGCAATTTTACGAAAGGCGATTGATTTCATCCGATATCTGCAAAATAGCAACAACCGTCTAAAACAGGAGAATATGGCTCTCAGGATGGCTACCAGCAAACAAAGTAAGGAGTTCGCTCTGTAATAAAAATTAGAGTGAGCATGCTTTATTTTGTTGAAGATTATTATTTATTGACAATGTCCTATTACCATGATTACCTTTCTTATCTTGTTTTAGATCTGGAGGAGTTACTTGCAAGTACGAAGGAAGCAGGTGCATTCCCAATGACGCCCCCAGTGTCGGACAACTCGGAACCTGATAGTCCTCTCTCCAATGACAGTATGATGGGTAAGGGCTTTGAAACTCCAAGCGTTAATTTTATCAGTCAAATTATGGTCGTTGTCTTGTGATAATGCCAGTCATAGTCCCAATGCTGTGATTGGTGATATAATCACCTGTGTTAAAAAACATGATAGGACTGATGACTTGCAAGAATAGATTTCTTTTGTATCAGTATGTTATGTTCTTATTTCTTTCACAGATGATTCAGGTGATGAAGAAGACAGTCAGTTTAGTATGACGAGTGGTATGCTGGATCGATCTCGTATGGTGCTCTGTGTGTTCATGCTTGGCGTTCTTGCTTTCAACCCATTCAATTCAATACTTGGGGGTAGCAGTAAAGTCAGTATGGAGGCACAAGTGGGGCTTGGACATGGAGCTAGTAGACATCTCAACTCACTTGGAAACTTTTCACAAGAATCCAGAGGTGGGTTTTAAAAAAAAAGAAAGTATCTCATGAGATGTATCATTTATCTCAGAAATTAAGACACTAAGCCTCTGTTGAATTGGTTTGAACTTGGTTTTCTGTGTAACTAACCAGAAATATGTGACATATGCTACAGTGGAAGTATCCTTTGATTTTTCAATGTGGAGCTCTCAAATGTGTCCATAAAAACAGATTTTGACTGAATACATGCCTAACGACAGGTGGACTTTTTTTCTGATGTCTGAAACTGATGTATTTCAGGTGGTTACGGAGGCTGGTTTGACTGGATGTTCCCGACACTCTTCCTATGGCTGATGAATGGTGTTATTGTTGCTGGTGTACTTGCAAAGTTACTGATCTATGGTGAACCTGTCACATGCAAGAACTCCAATGCATCAGTGTCCTTCTGGCGTCATCGGAAACAAGCTGATACCGATATCATGAGGGTGAGAGCTTTGAGGATTCATTTTGATGATTTTGATAGTGATGGCACAATTAACATGGGGGATTAAATTTGTGACCAAATTTGTTTTCTATTATGTATAGAGATTGTTCTCAATTACTGGCCAGCTCAGACATATTATGTGTTACAGGGTTAGCATGGTTGGACATAATGAGTTCAATCCAACTGGACTAATGATACGTTTTGGATTAAGTACAAATAAAATAACCGGAGTTATACAAAAAACAGGCTGTCCTTCCAGATTTTTACTTGTCTGTGGACCAGTCTTACCCGAAGAATGTCCCTCTTTCACTGACTTATCTCATCTTCTTCCAGGGAAGCTTTTCGGCTGCTTCCAACCAGTTGCGACAATGTCTACAGGCTCTCGGTCGTCCTCTCCCTACTTCTAAGTTGGATATGCTGTCTGGTGTTGCCTGGCAGTTAGTTCGTCAGGGACTCCACCGTGTTTACCTGGGTCGTTGGCTGTCCAGCAAAGCTGCCGGTTGGAGGAACAACATCAAGAGTAGTGATGTGAAGGAATCTGCTCGGGATGCTGCTCTTGTCTTCCACAATCTCAACCAGCTTCATCTGTCAGGTTTGTTCTTTACCTATTCCGCTTGAATGTAAACCTGATTAAAAATTAACTGATTTGATTTCATATTTAACATCACTTTCATGTGTATGTTGTAACATGTGTAATGTTGGGACATAATATTTGTTCTTACTTGGATTTACATATAACAGAAAGTACTACTGGTATTTGTTAGTTTGGTTTTAATGCCGCATACAAAGAATATGAATATGAATACAAAGTCTGGTGCACAATTAGCCTGGTTATTATTATATATTTACTCAGTATCTGTGTGTAATAAAATATCTGCTTTAAAGATACCAAAAGACTACGTAATCCAAGCAGATCAGATTGAAAACATTTTGACTCTTTGTGTATGAAGTTATTGCTGTTCAGGTGAATCTTGTGGTGGATCTCTCTGGGGTTTGAACCTGGCTCTGAGTGCGGTCAACACCGCAGAAGCAGCCAGAGAAGCTATGTCACGGACCAACCTGGTGGAGATATATGCTACAGCTGCTCTGCAAGTCAAGACTTCATTGCCAGAGAAAATGCACTTCCTTGCTGTGAGTATAGTCATTTCTGTAATATTAATATTGAAGTCCAAGTTTCAATTGTCTGGGTGAAATACGTTTTCCATAGAAATCATATTTTTGATATACATTATTTTTTACTTATCCTGCATTACTCCTTAAACGTAGTAATGCAGGATAAGTATACAGATGTAAAAAATATTTAGATTTTACTAAGATTGATGAATGTGAGGAGTCCAAATTGTCATACAAGGCACCACAATTTGATGTGCAGAGTTGTGTCCCCTTGGCATGCTAGAAATCTGTGATTTTGGGTTCTGATCTCAGTTCACCCCGATGATGTTTTGGGGTTTGTCAGCACCATACTCATTCTTGTGGGTTCCACCAAAGTGGTAAAGGTCTGAGACCTGCTTTACTTCAGGCTTTCCATTAAGCTGACACGCCATGATATAGCTGGAATACTGTTCAAATCGGTGTTAAATCAAAATCACACATTCACTGAGCATGTTTGGATCTTGTGATTTGTTCTTAACTTCACAAGGGTCACATGTGGCTCAGTTGTCTAAGGCACCTCAACTGGCTGTACAGAGTTGCTTCCCTTGGGCATGCCAGAAGCCTTTGGTTATGGTTGGGACAAAATTTTGTTCCTCGTAAATGAATGTTCTTTTCTATGTTTTACAGCGCTACTTCCTAAGTCGGGCCAGGCGAGTATGTGTGAAATATGGTGATAGAGTTGGACCACATGTTCAGTGGTTGGCTCACCCAGAGGGACACCGTTTCTTTGTGGACTCCAAACTGAAAGTTGAATCGACCGACACATTTCTGTCAGCTCTTGACAGCCAAGGTAATTACATGTAAATGTTGATTTGCAAGTCTTCTAAAAGCACATCTAAAATGCAGAGCTTTACAATGAATATGCTGTGAATGAATAAGAGTCTAAAAGTTACAAATGTCTTTTTCAGTTGACCCCCTTGCTAAAGTTACACAGGCTTTCCGGGAGAACTTGTTGTCACAGGCCTTGTATTCCCTAGTTGCACCTGAACACCCGAACAGGTGAGAATAGAAACTTTGGAATTGTACTACTTTGTTTAATGTTGCACTGAGTAATATTCTATCCGGACCAGACAATCCAGTGATTGACATTACGAACATTGATTCACACATGTGGGATATGATGATACACAGTCAATCTAGTCACCGAGTGTAACCACCCAATCCATTTAGTTGCCTCTTACGACATGTGTAGGTTGCTGAGGAACTATATTCTTTACCGGAATCATCACGGGTCATACCTCGAGCAGGAGCATGACTTAAATGAAAAGTAATAACTGCTATGACTTTACCTCCATGGGGAATGGGTGGCATCTAAGTTGCCAGAAGTTGATTTTTAGCAGAGTTAATAAACCTTAGTCATGCCAGAAACCTATGCTCATTGGTTCACCTTGATTGTTTTTTTAGTCATCAACTCACCCATGCTTGTGGCTTTCACCAAAGTGGTAAACATATAAGACATGCACCTCTTTGGGATTTCCTTCAAAATTTGATGTACTGTGATATGACTGCGATGCTAAACCAAACTCACTCACTAACTCTCTTCATCTTCTGCTATTGTAAAGTGATTTTGTGAAAATATTTTGAACATGGTGAAAGTATGTAGTATGTTAACTGATATTGAGATATCTGTTTATCAAATAATAATTGTTATTTCCAGGAAGGATTCCATGTCTGAAACAATGCAGTATGCACAGTTGTTGTGCAACTCTTCATGCACTAAAGATGGCCACCCCTCGGCTGCCATTGGAGAATTTGGTGTGAACAATGCTGGTGAGGAAACAAGGGTTTTTCTGAATAGCAAAAGAAAGATGGTTGTTACAAAATCTTGTGATATCTCTCTTAGAAAGAAATGCTACAAGTTAATATGACTGCCTTGTATATTTGACTGTGTTGCTATGATAATGTGACTAATATCATTGGGATTAGTTAAAATTTCCACTGATTTTGATCATAACATGTTAAGTATGTAACCTACTTTCAGATGAGGTTTCTCTCTGGTGGGCTGGCATTGTCAGTGTGGCCTTCTACTGGCTGAAGGGAGATGATGACAATGCCAAGGACTACTATAGTGTGCTTGATGTCTTCCCCAAGAAGCTGCAGGCAATTGAGTAAGTCCTTGTGATGTGACGTGTGTTATCGTGTATCTTAGTATAATGGGGCATAGATTGGTGACCCAGTTAAGCTGTGACCTTTGAGCTTTCTCTCAGCCCACCCTGACCCGAGCCATAATATGACTGAAATACTGTTCAAATTAGCATAAATATAAGTCACAATCTTGGTGTCAGAATATTTATTTATCTGAAGTCCTGATTAATGATAATGTTTCATAGACCATTTTCTAGTAACTGTCTGTTTCAAAGCACAAATGAAATATTCTAGGTAGGATATGGATTGATTATCCAAAACGTCCTAATGTTTCTAATGTCTTGTGAAATATTACTTAAATTAAACTGGTTTTGTGTACTTCACAGTGATCCACTGCCAAGAGCTGTGATGTTTGCCTACAAAGCTAGAAAGAGCCTATTGGAGCAGAGAGAGAACTTTAACAGCAAGATGTGCATCAGGCAGTGTGACCGTGCAGGACGTTCACTGCGGGAGAGTCTGAAACTTGTGTACCCACAACAGAAAGCTGCAGCTGTAAAGGTGAGCACCAGGCCCCTTCTCTCCTCTCCTCCCCACCCACCCACCACCATGTAAACAACAAAGTGTATGTTTATAGCTGCTGAAAGCTGAAGATTCTGCTGGAGCTGGTCTTGAAGGAATGCAACATCCCTGTGTCTGTGGTGCATTGTAGTTGCATTGCATTAGGTAACAGTTATGCAATGCATCTGCAGTGCAAGCACAGCTGCAGGTTCAACATCAGGAGGTAGATGCTGAGGAAAGGAAACACTGATAATCAAGACACCACAATAAATTTGTGTCTTGTCAGAATTGCAACATGCAATGTGACTACAACATACAGTGTAATTGTTTGAGTTAGGTGTGAAATGTATATTTGAAATCCAGTAAAAATATGGTTAGTCTTTTTAATTATTCAAATATATTTTGAGGAGCGAAACTAATTTTTTAGGGATCATTTCTATGTCATTTTCCTCAGCATCATAGAATGTTTAAGCAGAAAAATATTGATTTGGATTGATTTATCATTGCAGGCCATCCAGCTGCTTACTTGTGATTGGTTGCTGACAACCCGGTCCCAAGTTTGGGAGATGACACACGATTGGCTGGGCACTACCAAGCCCGTCTCTCAAACAGAACTCATTGCCTTCCAGCAGGATCTGGCCAGTCTCCGCAAACTATCACAGAGCATGAAGACAGCTTTGCCAAAAGTAAGTAAACACTTAAGTAGACATGTTATGTAACATAATAAATTTTTGTGGAATTTCACAAAAAATTGCTGAGATTTGTTTCAAGGTACTTCAAGATCATTAAAACTTGCATTTTTAAATGGGTAATGTTTGTATGATAGCACCTACATTATTACTGACTGTGTTTGTTGTCCAGGTGTTCCTGCACGAGGCAATGGCTCGAGTGATGGCTGGAGCCAGTCCTGCACGGACGCAGCAGCTGCTGGACAGGAGCATCCGGAGGCGAGGTGCAAAAACTGCAACATGTAAGTATTATCATTTGATGTACCCATACAAGAGTGAAAGTACTGAAGCAGTGCTATGTTGATATCTAAGTACATGTTTAGCAAGTTTTACAAATTTTAATTCATTTCATACTCATTGGTTGGTCAGATCATTGCTTGTGCCTTAATTACGTAAGCTTACATTGTGTAAACCAAAATGGATTCGTGATGATTTTCTTTCTTCAATTTTCATTTCATAGAGAAAAATTGTTTTGAAATTGTTCACCATCTTCAGCTGTTGTTTAAAACATTTATGATAATGAAAGATCTACCCATAGACTGCGGTCACATAACATTGCAGTACATGTGTGTCTTGTCTTGCAGATTGTGATGAGACAACAAACAGTGACATATCTGAGAGAGAACAGGCCTCTGCCCTGTTGTTAGCAGGACGCCATCTGCCTGATCCCCTTGTCAGCAGTGTTGGTGCCAGGGTTGGGATGGTCACTCAGGCCAGTCAGCTGTATGAAACCATTGGGGACAGAAAGTCAGTTCAGCTCTGTCGGAAAACGCTTCTTCAGATGGAAGAAAATTCACACAAAAGCACAGATGTTGCAATAGAATGCTGAGAGTCCCATTTCATTTCATTGTAAATAATCTCTGACTTTGAACATAATTTCAAGCCTTACATAGTTAATTCTGTTTCTGTTTCCATTCTGTTTGTTTCGATTCTACAAGAGTATTTTGTTCTGTATGAATCTTCAAGTTTGTTTGATTTTTTAAATTTTGATCTGTTGACTGTTACTCATTTGTTGTTATTTGATATTGTCATATGTTATGTCAATAACCCTGGAAAGATTAGACCTAAATTACATTGTTATGGAATTTCATTACTGGATATGTTGCTAAAAGTTTTGTCGCCTTTCGTAAATTGAAATGAACACTTACATTTACAGATGCATTTGAAGTTTGTCTCATCACATGTTTATGTAGAGTTTTGATACCATGTCATAGAAAAAAAGATTGTATATGCTGTACATAAGTATTATTTAAGATGAGGCAAGAATGTGAGTTGTGTGTGTGTGCGTGTATGTCAATAAATATTTTAACTCCTTAATATTACATCTTGTGTTCTTTTCCCAGGGATGTGCTGTTATGATAACGGTTATATCCCAGTAGTTTGAAACTGGATTGCTTTTAGGTTTTGTTGGATGTGTGATGTGGTGAAATGGTGTTAAAGAGTATCATCACATGCATGCGTTTGTACTTGTGGGTACTTGTTCGGACTAAGGACGATTTTTATTGTGCTAGCCCCCTGAGATACCATGTCGTATTTGAACATAGATACCCCCACTCAGACTACTAATTCTGGACACACTATTTCTTGTGTTATCCCCTTAATGCCTAGCCCCAGGCAGGTAAACAACAAGTACCATCTTTTAACGTCTTGGTATAAAAGTGTAGGGGTTGGACACTCAGATCTGGCAGCAGCAGCACCCTATCCACAAGACCAGGGGCAGTCTTTGTTGGTGATTTTGCTCCTGTCTACAAAATGTTAGAGATTATTAAGAAGCCCAATGTATAGGGGATTCTTACAATTTTTGTCAATTTGGATAAAATAACACTTTATTAACCCGAAGGAAATTTGGGATTTATATCAGCACAAGGTCTAAGCTTATTGATAAACATATAAATGAATAATAACCTTATTGATAAACATATAAATGAATAATAACATCACAAACGTAATTAACATTAAATGTGGCACTAGCTAATAAATACTCAAATTAGTTATCACAAAACGCAGTACCTGGTAGTAGCTTGTCTGAATAAATAATTCGGGCCGTTTGTTCTTAATGTCGGCAATTGTAGTTGGTGGCCAGATCGAACCAGTTTATTCTCCGAATATAAAACATTCGAGATGGCGCTTAAACCTTTATCTGCTTATGAACTATTTGCTGCTTATGAATTATTTGCTGCTCACATTTACTGCCGATGTCCTGAAAAGTGATGCCTGTGATTTTATTCGCCTTGTTACAGAGTATGAAGAGTATGTGTTTGTTGCGAACAGAAAGGTTTCCGTACAAGCTAGTGAAGTTAAAAGTCAGAATACTTAAAATAAATGTTCCATAAAACATGGACATGATGGTAGACAGTTTGAAAGTGTCCCAGAAGACAAAGAAATACCTCTGTTGACCTGTTTTAATCCATTTGTTATAATTATTGATAATTAGGTAATAGAAGTAAATTATCAATAACTATTTGGATTAGAATATAAGTTATCTTTCCAAACATCTTTGACCATTTCCTTTGTTTTCTTGACATTTAAAAAAACATTGTTTACCGTTCACCAACATTCAAAATTAGAAATTTCATTTATTTCTGTACTCTTGTTATGAATCTTTGATACGACCTGCAAGCGCAGCATCATTTGCAAATTTGACGGTATCACAATTTACAAAACATCTTGTACAGTCATTGGTGTAAATTAATAAACTCGCAACCTTAAGGGGCTCCTGTCGACGTGGGGATAAGAGATGAGCTGTTGCCGTTTACAGTGACGAACTGTAGCCTGTTTATAATAACATATTTGATCCATTTGACGATATTAACACCAATGTTATTAAGCTTTTGCATAATTAACTGGCGCTGTAGGGTATTGAAAGTGGATGAAAAAAATCGACGAATATTCTTAACATCCGATTTCCGATGACTTTTTGACACAATGCATTGCTTGAACACCTTGGGGATGTCATACCGCGTGCATCTCCTTTGTAGCCGAGAAAGATTTACTTTAGGTCAGTGAAACTTTAACATGTCATCCTTTGGCTCGGGCCCAGATTGGAAAAGGTTGGTGACCTAATAGGCTAAATATAAAGTCAAGGTTGCAGTGAAGGTCATCAGTAAAGTATTGGTCGTTTTCACAGAAATGTCGTTTTCTAAAATTAGGTTTTAAGTCTTTGTGCGGTTACATTATTTGAATACTTATGAGAAGTATTGCGATCTTAGATATCAGTGGCAGGACACGGTGACCCACTAAATGAGTGACATATGCTCTACTTTTAGCTCACCTGACTCAACGTTTAGTGAGCTTATGTCGTGGCCTGTTTGTCCGTTGTTCGTCGTAAACATTTCAGAAGCCACTTGACCAATTAAACTGAAACTTCACATGCTTGTTTCCACCAATGATCGAAGCCCAGTTTGTTGAAGAGGTTTGAACCCGATAATATAAATCTATCAGCCATATTGAAACACCTCTATGGTCAGCTATTCAGCCATTTGCGTTTAAAATGTTATGAAGTCTGGTACATGTATTTAGTAGTGGGCTCAATATTATCTTTTTCTTTTTCTTTCTTTGCACTTAGACAATACCGAAAGTTGAAATTTCTTATGGCTATTTTGTCGACAATCTTCCTTAAAAAATAAATTATATTTGGTACTTTTGTTATTGGTGAAGCTCAACACTGACATTACTTAAAACTTTACACTTTTACCATAGTCCTAAACTCTCTCAAAATGAATTTCCTTACACGAGAATCTCCACACAAGTCACTGTACCAATGAATCTGAATCTTGACATGCTTGTCCCCACCTGAATGTGTTCAAGGAGTTCAAGACCAATTGTATTCAATATTGCCACAACAGCCGAATTGAAAACGTTATTTATGGCCATGCCTCTGTTACTTTTTACAAACTGTAATGAAAGTTGATATTGGTTTAGTTGTGGGATTCAACATTACATGTTCCATTTCCTCAATATTTTACATTTTGATTTGTTTAGATCATGCTGTTAAATTTTCTCATACACATATTTGGCCCTGTAAACGTCTCTGAAATTGCCAGACTGAGGGAGCGGAACTTTGGCATGTTTGTTTATACTTACGACATGATATTTTGTTCAGTTCATCAGTCATTAGTGATATTCTTTGGTATATGCAGAAAATGTTTGAACATCAAAGCTAACAGCAATGATTACATATCCAGGTGAGCTATAGTGCAGTGGCACCTGGCGCGTCCTGTAGTGTTCATATTCTCGACAGCCCGTTGGTACCAGCAACTGATATTAAAGCTCAAATTCGTTTTCAAGGTCATGCAATCAAACATTTATTATTATTCACAAAACACAAGCAGACGAGTGTTCACTGTAGTTGGATGAAATGTGGTACACATCCGTAGTGTGGGCCATTGAAGTGGCAAGCGACCTTCACTGAAGGTCAAGGTCACTAGAATGGTGATTGGTACGATATTTCTGCTTTGTGTACTGAATCAATGCCCTGTGTTATGATGTTTGTAAGAGTGAGTGAGTGAGTAAGTTGGGTTTTGTGCCGCTTTTAACAATATTCCAGCAATATCACGGCAGGGGTCACCAGAAATGGGCTTTACACATTGTACCCATGTTTGTAAGAGCTAGCACCAATGTTTCTAAATTGAATTAATCAAGCATGTGATTGGCTGAACTTGATGGTCAAGATAACTAAACAGAAAATTCATTCAACTTTCTTATATTGGTCTATCCAAAATAGAAATAAAAGATTGTTTGGTCCTGATTTGTTGACTATGAAATACATGCAATGATGACCCATCAAATTAACCACATTACTTTCTAGGCCTGTGTTGTGCACCATCCAAACATACATAAACTATCACATGTACATGTGTAAATAGGGACAAACTATAACTGTAAATGTGTAAACTGTAAAATTGTTATTGTTCTTGTCTCAGCCTTGCAGGTTTTGCAATTGAACGTGACAGTTATGCTCGGACAACGTAGTTGTCTCAAAACTATAAATAGGGTTTATAGCCTGTGAAGCCACTACAAAATCTGTATTGGTGTTGTTTGGTGTTTATGATATTGTTAGAGACTGCACACTCTCATTTGTTTTTAAAAAAACCTGATGGTTCATACTCGTATCTAATAAAATCTATTTGTAAAAGCCTCAAAACATTTCTACTTCTATTTCAAATAGCTAGATTAATGGGACAGTCTTGTTTGAAAGCTTCATGAGACGTGATTTTTCAAACCGAAGAAATTTAACCTGAGGTTATTGTAACTTTCTGATGAAGCTAAAGGCATATATGTTATAAAGTTATCCTGCATTAGACTTTGTCCTCAAACCATATGTGATGTGATTAAAACCAGCAGTGTATATGCAAGTGTAAATCGAAAGTTTGTGTTCTCGCTTAGAAAATCGTTCAGAATTACACATTTTCCCAGAATTTGGTCAATATAATCATATCTGACGTCATTATACTTGGTGCAGTGATGTTCAAGCTCTGTTATCCCTGTCATATAGATAGAAGTGTTCATCTTGGACCCTGGCAGTCCCCCTCGTTACTGGTTGAAACTCTACCACGTAGATATCATTTGAGTTAAGGGAAAAGATACAATTCAGAGGGTGATTTGTCAGGAGAGTAAGTGGCACGGGGAAGTAACGTGACGTGTGCACGGGCATTTGGCATTAAGAAGTAGCACACCTGTAGCGAGCTTTCTTCGACGTTTTCCCCCTTGATAGCTTCCCACAGTATTGTGCGTCTTTGGTGGGTGTCAGGCCAAATGTTGCCATTTTTTGCTTTGAAATTTTGACTCGGGATCAAAGTAATGGACCAAGGTTTCCGATAAAATGTTTCGGATATGTTCAGTCAGTTCAGCTTCTGATCTGGTGTCAATATTCTGGGTAGTCATCTTGCCGACACCTTGCTATGTGGAATGTGTCAGATAAGATCGGCTTTACTGACCAAAACAGATCCCAATCGTGTCCCCTATATGCTGAAATGTAAAACTAATTAGAAACCAATTCCTTCAAAGGCAGTCCAACATAGTTAGGCTCAGAACCTTTCAGTCATTTCAGGCTTCGTCCAACCATAAGTTGAATCCATGGCCAAAACTGTCTGTGGATTCAGTTCAAATATGGTGACAAGGCGTCTTAGGGGTGTTTGCATATACGAGTTGATAATGCTCGACCTTATAACCTTATATTCGAGTTCACGGGAAGCATTTACATTTGTTCCGTGAATAGGTCTTCAGCAACCCATGCTTGCCATAAAAGGCGGCTATGCTTGTCGTAAAAGGCGACTAACGGGATCGGGTGGTCAGGCTCGCTGACATGGTTAATGGATGTCATCGTATCCCAATTGCGGTTCACTGGGGTTATCTGGTCCAGACTCGATTATTTACAGACCGCCGTTATATAGCTGGAATATTGCTGAGTGCGGCATTAAACAACAAACAATCAAACAAAAGCATTTACATTTGTTTGTAAGAGAAATCCTGAGTGATATTTTTAAATAAATAAGGATTTGATTAATAACGAATAACTTTATTTCAGAAATCATTTAGCAAGGGAACATGACACTCATACTGATAGTAGCTTTCATGTCTCATGTCATTTGAGGTCAAGGCCAATGTCACGAGATAAACAAGGCAAAAAGGGAGCAGGGCTCACTAATGCCCCCCTCCTCGACTCCAATATCAGCTGAAGAACAACTTTGATATTGGAGATATATTGTTGAGCCGGTTTCTCTTAAAAAGCACAATAATATAATATAGTAATGGCATGATTCAAAAGTAAAAAAAAATAAAAACATTTTTGTTATTCCAGAAAATCAACCGACTGAAGGAGGGAGTAGATTGGTTGTCTAGAAAAACTCTCTGAAATACTTTTGAATGTTCAACAGTACATATGTTCAATGGTACGTTTGAAAGAGAGAGTAACATTTGACATTTCACACATATCTTGGCACTGCATCTAAGTAACATTGAAAGTTTTCCCAACTGTGTTTTCAACTAACAGGTCGCACAATTTATCCTGCCCAAAGTATTTTTTTCTTCAGAAAACATAGCTATGGTCGGAGGTATGAAAATTCTCTCAGAAATGTTGTTTCACTTTGTCTAAAATTGTAAAGGGTTTGTGCTAGTTTGAAGCTAGAGTATATGTTAGGTGTTTCGGGATTTGTTTCAAAGAGCCAATTTGTTCTCAAAATGTTTGAATTTTGGTGGTGACAACAATTTACGATATATGACTGCTGATATATATTAAACATTGAAAGTTTTCCCAACTGTGTTTTCAACTAACAGGTCGCACAATTTATCCTGCCCAAAGTATTTTTATCTTCAGCAAAACCAAACGACAGAGGGACGGACGGACGCAGTTCCTTGGTACAACTATATACCCCGCCCTTTTAGTCAGAGGTATAACAGTCTTTCTAAGTTCAAAACATGAAAAAGCCATATTTACTCAGATAATCCACTTATCGAAATTAAACTTTGCACTGCGCGTCTCCTCTTGCTATGTAAGCAGTATCCCTAATTGAAAAAGAACCCATGAAGTGGTTTTAAGTTATAGGTCGCACAAATGTTTGCAAAAAGTATCCAAAAATGAATAAAAAGCTGTACTTTCGCAGAAAATCCAAATATTGAAACAAAAATTCGCCCTCTCCTATTGGTATAGAAAGTGTTCATGTTTCCAAAGAATCTATTCAGTATTTTTCAAGATCTAGGTAGCACAAAAAATGTTCTCGGAAGTTCGGACGGAATTCCTTGGTATTATAAAATCCCCCCGCTCTTTTAGGTCGGAGGTATGAAAATTCTCTCAGAAATGTTGTTTCACTTTTGTCTAAAATTGTAAAGGGTTTGTGCTAGTTTGAAGCTAGAGTATATGTTAGGTGTTTCGGGATTTGTTTCAAAGAGCCAATTTGTACTCAAAATGTTTGAATTTTGGTGGTGACAACAATTTACGATATATGACTGCTGATATATTAAACTGTTGACTTCATAACCAGTTGAGTAATATTTCTAAGTATTTCGAAGCTGCTAGGACATTTTTTAGCTTTTTTAGCTTTTTTAGCATGCACTTTGTGTATTATTTGCATCCAAATACAGCGAAAACCTGCTCACTCTTAGGCCAGAATGAGATGGCTTTCACAATACTTTCAACTTTCTCATCGGTGACTTTGTGACCACTAGTAGCCATGTTGTCCTTGACGCATTTCATTACATGGGATTTCTCAAGCGGTAGGAAGGGGATGAATTCTATCAGGCGCCTGTCCATCAACTCACCGTGCCAAAGTTCATCTGAAACATATTTCACCAGTAAATACTTCATACTAGTTATAGTATCATCAGGATTTAATGTTACCATGTTTACTAATTATTTGAATTTAATTTTGTGAAGTGTAAATGTTTTTTGAATTGTGAATGGTGGTTCTGAAGATACTGCCACCTCCTACAGTATTTCAGTTATATCACGATGTGACAGCTTGATGTGTAAATAAACACAATGCAAACCTCAAATGACGCAGATCGCAGACATTTACTATTTCTTGAAACCCATCAGATGAAAAGCATTGAACATTTTGGTATGTAACTGTTCCAAGATGACAGGTTATATATTATCTTAAAAAAGAGCTTTGGCAGACTAATTCAACCTTTGATTTGGACATGATACATACTTATTAAATCAAAAATGTAAAATTACTAATCAAATAAATTTTACTTTTTGTGCTGATTGCAGTACGGATAATGATTTCTCTAACATCTGCTAGTTTGATATCCTCCCGGGGGTAGCCCTTCCACCAATGTTGATACGCATACTCTGCGATGCCATTTCCAGCTGTGTTACTGTACGCAAACAGAGGAACATGCCGTCTTGAAAATAAGCAAGCAAAAATACAACAAAACGTCCTTTACCCTCTTGTTCTTGGGACACGGAGAAGGTTAAACATTGCAACAAATGTTACTTCCCGTCGTATATATTCAGGGCCCTTTGATTCTTTTAAAAAAAAACCTCAAATAGAGCCTCTGCAGCTCACCTGATTGTTTCTTGGATATTTGCAACATTAAAAGTCATAACAAAGAACAGTGAGTGATTGAGTTGGGTTTAACGCTGCTTTGAACAGTATTCCACTTATATCACGGCATGTCATCTTGAAGAGGGAGAAGAAGCCCGAAGTGATGCAGGTCTCAGGCGTTTATCACTTTGGTGAAACCCATGAGCACCGTATGGTGCTGACAAACCTAGAAACATAATCGGGGCGAACCGGGATTTGAACTCACGATTCTACGTTTCTGGCGTAACCAAGGGACACAACTCTTCACAGCGAATTGTGGCGCCTTAGACGACTGGGCCATCCGTGCGCACATCACATGAGACAGGTTAAAGTTCCATTTCTCCATTCCGGGTGGTGAAACAATTTTTCCTAAATGACTTTGCAAGTTGATTTGAACTTTGACGATTGAACATTCTATACAATAGACCATTCCATTCCGCTGACACGGTTAGGCTCTACCATGGGAATCCAAGGCAATGTTCTGAAGTGGTTTGCTATCTTCATCAAGGACAAGAAGTCATCCCCCCAGGTCCTGCAGCATGACGTACCCCAGGGATCAGTTCTTGGCCCTGTGCTGTTCTCACTCTACATCCGTCCTTTGAGCAACATAGCAAAGAAGCACTGTAGCAAACAACATCAATATGCAGACGATAACCAGCTGTACCTTTCTTCCCGCCTTGAACAATTCTCACATAGCCAAGTGAACGCTCAACAATGCTGTACAGACTACCAGAATTGGATGACAACCTTCTCAAACTTAACGCTGATAGGACTGAATACCTGCTAATTGGATAGAAAAGCTTCAAGCTCTAGATTGTGACATAAAAATTGGAGATGTAAAGGTAACACCAAGCCAGAAGGTGAAGAACCTTGGAGTAGGGTTTGACAGACATCTCCAGATGACAGACCAAATCAGTGAAATCACACACATAATCAGGACAGCTAACCTTCATCTACGCAACATTGGTAAATTACGAAACTATCTTAGTCAATCTGCTGCATCCACTCTGGTCCTGTCCCTTGTTATGTCCCGGATAGACTACTGCAAAAGCCTTCTCTCTAACATCAGTCTGTCGGAAATGCTAGAAAACTGCTTTTTGCCTGTTAAAAAAGAATATAATTTTTCACAGACTGTTGTTATTGGAATATCGAGTAACTACCGATAACGTATTTCAGTCACAAGGAGTCCTATCGACAAGTTTACAGGAGACAAATTCGAACGAAAACAGGAAGTTTACATTTATTCTAAGTCCAATGAGGGCAGTCTGAAACAGACTATAGAAATATGCGCACGTGACTCCGTTGTACTGATAATAATGTAGTCTTCATAAAACATTTAATCCAAAAACAAAAATCATTTTGAGAAAATTCTAGATGTGCATCTTCTAAAATGACAAAATGACGCTGCGTTTGTTTTGTTAACATTGCTCCCATGATGCATATTACATTACACTTGCATAGCCATTACCATGGTACACGATATGGAGTCTGCATTGGGAAATGTATACAAGTTCTTTACATTTATTAATTAAGATAAGGTGAATTACCGAACTGCCCAAGCTATATGGTTTTCAATCCATAAAATCAAGTCTACGGTATGATGATAAAAACAAAACAGGTTTAGGGGTGGTCTCAAAAACAAAACTGGGACATAAAAGGATATTAGACAGCTTTGATACAGGGTGATTAGGCGTATAGTGTACAAGCTTTATGAGCAGAAGGTAACCCTGACTTGTAGCAGAATTTGGGAGGAAATTAAAGATACAATTAATGTTTCCCGGACTGCACTAACTATTGCTCTCCACATTACCACCCAACCATTCATAACTATCACAGTCAGGGCGTCCAGATAAGTTACCTTGATGAATAATTCTACTGACTACATGTGGCTATCGGCAGATGGACAAAAAGCACCCATAGACCACCAGGTAAAGGTAATCGTGTCAATAAGAAAACTGCTGATTAACATAAGGAAATTATAGGAGGTGATGTCTTCATAGACTGGTTGGAACTTCAGCTTTTGCCCATTTTAAACAACGTCAGTGTCATTGTCATAGATAACGCCAGTTAATATAACGTCCGGGAATCAGATACTGTCGCCCAAACCATGAATAGTCTGAAAGCGACCATACAGGAATATATGACATTGTCGACTTCAGACCATATGAAACAAAAGTTCAACTCATGGAGACAATTCGGCTGAATAAGAACCCTGCAAAGTACAGGACATATGTGCTGGCGGCACAACACAGTCACGTTGTCTTACGTACACCAGTCAGACATTGCGAGCTCAACCCTGGGACATAAAAGGATATTAGACAGCTTTGATACAGGGTGATTAGGCGTAAAGTGTACAAGCTTTATGAGCAGAAGGTAACCCTGACTTGTAGCAGAATTTGGTAGGAAATTAAAGATACAATTAATGTTTCCCGGACTGCACTAACTATTGCTCTCCACATTATCACCCAACCATTCATAACTATCACAGTCAGGGCGTCCAGATAAGTTACCTTGATGAATAATTCTACTGACTACACGTAGCTTTCGGCAGATGGACAAAAAGCACCAATGGTGCAATCAGGTAGGGGTATTGCCCATTTTAAACAATCCCAGTGTTATTGTCATGGATAACGCCAGTTAATATAACGTCCGGGAATCAGATACTGTCGCCCCAACCATGAGTAGTCTGAAAGCGACCATACAGGAATATATGACATTGTCGACTTCAGACCATATGAAACGAAAGTTCAACTCATTGAGAAAATTCGGCTGAATAAGAAACCAGTTAATGTGTGCTGGCGGCACAACACGGTCACGTTGTCTCAAGTACGCTAGTCAGACATTTTGAGGTCAACCCTGTTGTGCCCATCTTGGCTGAGTGTAAAGGGTTCGTGGCAAGACATAACACAACATTCAAAAGTACAGATTCACATACGTCATCAGCGGAGATAAATGCTACCTCAGGAAATCATCTGTAGAACAACAAATACTTCTTGATTCCAAAACCGCAACCTTCTTAAACTCATCCCGTTTCATAGCTCTTAACTATTCCATCATGTTTCCAAGCAGATATAATGCAGGACATATCCTAAATTGCTACTCCATCACCTGCACATGTCAATTATGTACAATAACAGCAATATGTTGAGACCACCCCCAACTCGGTGACACTTGCAACTGGTAGAATGCACGGGACGGTTAGAGGTCATCGCCTCGGGACTGGTGTTAGGTAATTACCTCAGGTTATAGGCCATTTCATACATACATGACAACACACAAATATTTTCTAAGTTGATCATCATTTTACCTGTAAAAGTACATTTTAAGGGTAATCACAATGTCAGTTAGGACAGGCTAGATTAGGGCAATTTGCCATATTTTGATATATGCTCTTTTCATAGTCCTATGCCTCATATTTATTAAATGAAGCCAGAAAAGCAGTTTTCTAGCATTTCCGACAGTACTTTAGTACAGAATGCCACTGCCAGAATCGTCACAAGAACCCGCAAATTTGAACATATAACCCTGATTCTAGAGAACCTACACTGGCTGCCGATACCTGCACGACTTGACAACAAACTTCTCCTCTTTGCCTACAAATGTGTCAACCATCAAGCTCCAGCCTACTAGACAGAACTGATTCCACCTTACAAGAATGTGCGCTCTCTGCGGTCCCAAAATCAGCTCCTTCTAACAATGCCACCTGTGAAGGCATCATCATTCGGCATGTGATCCTTCGCCTACACAGCAAGCTCCAAGTGGAACGAACTCCTGCTTAAAAAACCCCATCAAGACCCACCTGTTCAAAAAATAATCTCACTGACTATAAGTTTCATTGCAGCGCACAGAGCACTCATGCACAGTGAATGCTGCGCTATACAAATGCATGTATTATTATTATTATTATTATTATTATAAATGACCAAGTAATAAGAAAACACAACAACATGCCTTTCTTTTATATGTCTTTCTCTATTACATAAGCATCATTTCCCTCAAGATCTCGCAAGATTCTCAGCATATTAATAATCTAAATTCTTTCGTATTGTCCAAATTCTATATTTTCCTGATGGTGACGCACCTGAGAAAAATGTAGATGGCTCTGCGGTAGTTGACACCTCTAAGCTTGTTGTAGGACTCGAGATAGGGCCTGATGGTGTCAATGATACCTGGCGGCATCTTGTTCATCTCGTCAAATATAAACAGTGAGCGAGGACAGTCGGCGATGGTGCTCTCAATATAAGCTCGCAGCTGGTCCTGTAAAAAGAATGATGTAGCCTACGCCAGTACTGTCACTCAGAGCCTTAGATAAGCTTTTGCTTATTTTGGTATTTTACCCAGGGATGTGATTGGGTATCCACAAGTTTGAGAGTGTATTCAAAATGTGTTTTCCACCTGTTTCATCACATTTGGGTATTTAACTTAAAACCTGTTTCGTAACAATCCCTGTAAATGGTTTAAAACTATGTGAACAGTAGTATACCCGTCTGTGTCTGCTTGCGGCTCTCTCCGGGAAGCCATTTTTTGTTAATTTGTTTATTTCTTTAATCACCAATCAGCGACTAATTAAGATACAAAATGTACATTGACTAGGCACGATGTGCTTTTCAATTGACAGCTATCAGTATGTTTGTGTAAGAAGCTTTTCCGAATGTAACTGTCGGTAAGTGAATTTCTCGATCGGCTGATACATACTTATTTTATCTAACAGTTTTAATATATGCAATCGTTTTATCTAATAGTTATAAAAACCGATTTTATTTTATTTGAATAGCGTATTTATAGTTTTTGTTGCATATTTGATTTATCTGCGTATTTCAGTTAATAATACGTATTTTACGCAAATACGCAGCTTATCTGGAGCTCTGGACTTTACCTTAAAGTCTTGCACCTTTTCTTCAAGTGGAAACTCACTTGCCATAGAGATGAGATGAACAAACTGGCTTTCCATCCCTTTTCTATAAAGGTGTTCTGCTACAATGCGGCTCACGTAGCTCTTCCCAGTGCCAATACTGCCATGGAAGGAGAGAACCAGAGCCCGGGCAGGTTCAGCAGACTGGATGTGTCTTTGGATGTGATTGGTCACAGCATCCAGTGCAAGATGTTGGCCAAATAGCTTCTTATTAAGATGATTTGACAGTCCTGAAATACATAGTTTTAGAATTGTTCTAGAAAAGTATTTGCATGGCCCAAGAAATCTCCACATACAACCATGCATTTTAAATCTAAAGCCATTTAGATCTTGATGTTGAATGAAGCTTGACTATGACACTCATGTAAAATGGATTAGAAGATAAATATCATTTCCTAGAGTGCTCTTTATCTTTTATTAGTATTTTTGTCACTGCTCTTATCGAAAGTGGAAACAACACTTAGAGGGAGGGAAGTTTTAATGCTACAAGACGTTACTGGTGGTGAGGAGAAATGGGGTTTAACGTCGCGTCCAAGATTATTGCACTTATATAGCGACGTGCTTGTACGTGTGTTTGTTTGTGTGGCTGCTTGTACTAGTCCGGACTGATGCCGAGTTATAACGCTAGCACACTGAGATACCATGCCACAGTTTAACATGAATATCCCACTCAGACACAGTATATTGACTCCGAGGCGACCAGTCCTTGTTTTAGCCCCTCAATGCCGAGCGCCAGACGGGGTAGCAAGAAGTACTATCTTTTATGGTCTTTTTGTATGACGCGGCCGGGGATCAAACCCCGGACCTTCCGCTCTCCAGGCGGACGCTCTACCACGGAGGCGGTCTTCCGGTTGTAGCTACGACGGCAAACAAAAGTTGAGATGTACTGGTGATGTTTATGCTCGTTTAAATCATTAAATAACAGTGTTATTCGATTTGACGTCTAGTGTTACGTCATTTTTTAAGTGTCAGTGGAGATTGTTAAAAGTTTATTAGAAGTGATTGTTCGTGGCAGAAATGATTGAAGCACTGGTATAATGCCGGGTGCTGTCGGAGGCAATTTGGAAATCATTCAATCCCGCCTCAACTGGTTATGGTGGCGAATGGGTTAGAATGCGCTCGTTCGATCAACTATTTTGAATGGTAATTCTCGCGATATGTATGAGAAATTACGGTGCCTGCAGCTTTGATCTTCTGACAACACCGCTTTCGTACGCTTGGACCGGGAAATGCTTCGTGTCAAGTTTCCAAACGTAAGTTATAGCTCATATTCAGCAAACAACTACTTTGTAACCTAAATTCACTAATGTAACCTTAGCAGCTCAAATAAAATGTAAATGGTAATAAATCCACACATTATAAATCGACGGCAGAGCTATCGTCTGTTTGTTTACTTTCCTGGTGTAAAAGTCACGTGACCAGACACGTGATGTCCTCGTCAAAATTAAAAACTATGGAAACAAGAAAGAGCCATTTCCTATAGAAAACTAATTGATTTTTGAGAACCCCCCTCTCTGTGGTTTAGATGAAAAATAAAGCTTCATTGCTACGGTTTTTCGACCAATGCTGAACCATCCAGAAGATGCCAATACAGGCAATATTTGTCAGCAGCTCTAGATGAGGCATATAATGCTGTTTTTGGTTGGATGGCAATTAGGAAAGGTGCCACAACCTTTGCTGTTCTGTTTGCTACTCTTCACGACAGGATTAGTTGCAAAGTTTCTATTGAATGCACCACTACTAAGAGAGACCCTATTATTCATAGAAGAAGAGCAGGGACTTGTTTTACATATTGACGCCATGGCAAATTTTGGGTGGGGCTATACTAGGGCTGAGGTTATCACTATTGCCACAGCTGTAGCAATTCATCTTGGAAAGAAGTCAATAGATGAAAAAACCTATCACTTCAGTGGTTCTATGGGTTTATGAAAAGATTGCCTGATCTATCAGTGATCCCTTGAGATACAGAGAGCGATAGCTACCTCAGAGGAGACGGCCACTCATTATTTTAATGAGCTTGGGCACATCATGGATAAGTACAACCTGAAGACATGCCCTCATCGCATTTATAATGTTGACGAAAAGGGACTTGTGGAGCATCATACCCCACCATCAGTCGTCACATCGAGTCAGAGTACTCCAGCTGCAGTCACAACATCAAGATCAAGAACTACAACTGTTATAGGTTGCGCAATGCATCTGGTAGTTCTATACCACCGTATTTTGTATTCGGGAAGAACCTCTTTCAGGAACTACCCCTGGAGCAGCAGGCACTGTAAGCGACTCTGGCTGGTCAAACACGGAGATTTTTCAACACTTTCAGAAGCATGCAGTCGCCGCGTCTGTAGTTCACTTTTTATTGTGTACGATGGTCATAGATCCCACGTATCTATTCCACGGACTCAACTGGGCGCGTCAGCGTCACATTATTTTGTTTGTACTGCCTGTACACACCTCCCAAGTTTTACAGCCAGTAGACGTTGGTTGCTTTCAGGGCCATTTGTTAACATTTACAACCCCCATCATAAGTGAGTAGGTGAGTATGGTTTAACGCCGCTTTTAGCAATATTCCAGCAATATCATGGCGGGGGACACCAGAAATAGGCTTCACACATTGTACGCATGTTTGGAATCGAACCCGGGTCTTCGACGTGACGAACTAACGCTTTAACCACTAGGCTACCCGACCGCCCCCGGCCGTCATAAGTATATACGGGAAAATGCCACAAATTCAGTTAATAAACATTTGGTTTATAACCTGTCGCTGACACCAACAATTCTTTTTCAGGAAATGTGGAGTCGACCCATTTGACAAGTCTACCACCGCCAATATATCAACTTTGCGCCATCAAGGCAACTGTACTTTTCAAGAAAGTTGTTCCTACTAACAAGAGAAACGTTCTGAGCGCTGTTGTCGGAGGCAATCACCAAAGACGTCATTCTGAATAAAACAAAATTCCCACCAGACTGTGAAATTGGTACCCCTCAAAAGCAAGCAAGCACCTCAACCGTGTTAATCTTCGAACAAACCTACTGTCATTGCGACGATTGCAAGTCCTTCTGGAACGCCATTGCCCAACGCGATAGGACGATAGTTTTGATTCGTACGATAGTGAGGGGGCAAGTGATGATGAACACTGTAAACTCTGCAAATGTAAACCTTTTTTTTGTGCAACTGATGAGGGGTTCGAGCTGGTGTCTCATTAATAATTACAACCTGGGCACAATGTACCCACCCTACATGTCAGCACTTGACACATTTACATTTTTGCAAGCCAGTTCGTATTGTGCGTCGACATTGTAAAGTTTTGGTGCCCCAGTCACGATGAGCCTGAAGAATAACTTGTAACATCATACTTGTAAATAAGCTGGATATTTGTAACTTTTCATCGTTTTTTCAATATTAAAACATAAAATTAACGTTTCATGAACAAAAATATCCTAAAACTACTGTGGACTGCTTTCATTCGGATTTTGACACAGGAGATCATCCATACATGTCATCCCGGTTACGCGACAAGCCAGCCAATCAAATGATCGAACTTGTGTGACGTAGAATTCTGGGTCTCTTCTATTGACAATGAGAGGGCGACCATGCCCCGAGAGTCGAATTCAATAGAAATACATGGATTTCGAAATACTGGTTGGTTGGAGTATTTCGAATACTTTTGGGAAGTAATACAACAAACCTACCACATATCACACTTTTAATTTATCAAAATTAAGTAACAATTAGTTTCGAGTGTAAATCGCTCGCTGTCTGTGTGAAACAGCGTATCAATGGTTGTTTCACTTCCACTGCATATTTTATTCCTTTCATTAATATCATTGTTTGCTAAAGCAGTCAAGGCCTGGGACTCACTCGGGAGAAATTTCTTTTCAAGGACAAGTGTTACTTCATAATTATATTGTTTATCTTTACATGATTGTTTGAAACGGCTTAGCTTTAAACATCTCACGTGATCACGATCTATGTCGAGATCGGTTGAAATATGATCGAACATGAAACGAGACTTACCTGTATGTCGAATGTTGATCTAGATTATATGAAACAATTTCAAGTAGTAGGGATCACGTCACCTCCCGACGATTCTCATCTGGATTATCTACAGGGCTTCATACACTAAAATATGACTCCTGGGCTCGTTTCGCTATCTCACGCGATCCCTCCTAATTAATAAAGGGGCACTGATCTAACGCAATTCCCCGGACTGGTTGTTGCCTTTGTTATTGTTTTTTTTTCCCGTGAGTACCCGGATGATACCAGGGTATGAAACTCCCAAAAATTTCAGCCAGACCACAGGACTGGCTAGCTGAAATACTTGCCAGCCCTGACCAAAACCTGCCTGCCCACTATAATCATATGTTTCTCAGGATAAGCTAACGGGGTTTCTTTTGGGTTACATTTTATCATTCATCTTTACATGTGAATTAATGCTTATCATCGGGAAATATTTTGAATATTTTCACATATGAAATATAACCCGACCGTCGGGCCGGGGGATTTGAAAATCTGGCAGCCCGAGTTGAAATCAACCCGTCTCGGACGGTCGGGCAGGCAGGTATTTCGAACACTGATGATACGCAACGCAACTGAGCGTGACCAGAGACTGGGCTACCGTCTGCAAGGACTGCTAAATAAACTTGGAGGCTGGAGGCAATATTTGTTTTACGCATTTTTGCATAAACACTGATTGGTAACTGTGATCTATAAAGATTTCGACAAAGGGCGCATGTTAATTAATTTCTCCAGCCTACACAAACAGACAAAAAGAACGGCGAAGCTCATCGGATGTCGTCATTTGGAAATACCCTAGATGGTTATTGTTTAATACTCAAAAATGTATCCATGCAGTGAAAGCATTTTCGGATTGCGTCGGTAATACGATTACTAATCCCTTGTTGTCATCCGCGTTTTCTCGTATATCCCTACACTTGTTTATTTGTCGTCATTCACTTGATGCTCAGTTAATGAATTTATTACAGGTACAATTAGTGGTAGCACCACTCAGATTATCTGACAAAGGTTCCCATTTGGCTTTTATTGTGTCTGGGGTAATTATTCAATCTAAATTCAGGTTTGAAGTGAGGTAAAATGTGTGTTATGTAATATGCACGTGGCAGACCAGCAAGAGATGAATGATCAGTTGATTTACTTTTTTTTGTAAATCAACGGATCGTTCCTAGTCATCAAAGGATTAACAGGAAATACGTTGATTGATTAATCACTGCTATCTTGCACAATGGATATGTCAAAAGTGAGTGTTTACATGTCTAGGTTTACTTAAACAAAGGGAATACACTCATATCATGGCGTGAAGTGCCGATTTAAAAACAACATACTTTGTTCAAAGGGTTAACTGATAATACGTTGATTGATTGCTCATTGTTATCTATCACTCAATGGATTTTTAGGAACTGTGGACGTTATGAAAATAGTTGTCACGTGGGCTTTCTCAGCCGACCCTTGAGACTTGACACCTATGTGAAACACCTGAAACAACCCAAGCTATCACCATGAGGGATATCGCTCTATCTCTACCTTGGGAGCTAGTCGCCATCCTGGAGCCCTTGCTGGCTTACAGGGTCGGGGACTACTCCCTACGGACTTCGTACAAGTCCAACTCCTCAACCCTTTCCATCTCCTTCGACTTAGGTCAAAGGAAAAGGCCTCTGGTCAAAGCTCCGGCCAAGACCAAGCCTAAGGGGAAAAAGACCCCGGCCCCTGCCCCCGCTGCACCACGCCCGGTACAGAAGGCCAGGCCGCCCACTGTGAAGAAGGCTCCACCAGTCGCCCCCATGGAGATCCAGGAGAGCCTTCCCATCACCCCTCCACCCCCTTCAGCGGCACTGGAACTCGCTCCCCTCGAATCCAGAGGGGAGGAGCCCTTTCGCACGCCAGAAGGGACAGGACACGGAAGAAAGAAGAGAAAGAGGAAAAGCATCTTCTCCCCCGACTCTCCCCCTCTTCCATCACCACCAAGCAGGAACTCGGAGACCCAGACCGCCACACCACCAGGCCCGTCCCTCAACTCCAGCCAAGTCCAGACTGACCCAGTCCCGGAACAAGAGAGTGAGGTTGACGACCGTCTCCTCCTTGCACAACCGGCACAGCACATCCTGGAACAGCACGAGGTCCTCCCTAACCCCTGCTACCAGCATGACAACGGCAGACTGTATCCCAGCAACCCATTGCGTTAGATCAGTGCCCCTTTAATTAAGATTACGGGTATTTCATAATTATATTCTAGATCAACAGATGTACAGGTTAGTCTCGTTTAATCTACGATTTTCTCTGATTACCATACCCGTATCGAGTTTCACAAAAGTACGGCCTGCGTCACTTGCCCCCAACATTAAGCTACTATTGTAAGTTGTAAATATGTTATTTGCAGAGCATGTGTACTGGGCGTCGACAGATACTTTCCAAATCTTCTCATGTTTTTAATCAATGTGCTCAAGTGATTTCATGCACCTTGCGAGGGGAGACCCGATTTATTACAGTTCTGATCTTGTCATCGGTCCGATCGTCGTGACTGGGCGCCGCAAAATAAACACTAGGAATACATATAGTTGTCTTTTCATCCGATGTTAGTTTATTTTTAGCGTATTGATATATATTTATTGTTAGAAAACCCCTCCACAATGCGGAACCTACCTGTGAGATTGTTGTGTATCCATCGATCATGGCAAGTTTCAGCAAAGTAGGTTCTCACTGAGTCATAGCATATTTCGGCGTAATCAGCTGTTAGTTGTATAACCTCGAAGAAGTCAGCAAAGGGATTAGCACATACAGCTGAATGTACAGAACAGGCGACAACAATACATGTTGCAGCTAATAGTGTTTGTCCTTGCATGATCACAATATTCATCCCAGATTAAGGTGGTCCGTCAACTGGACATATTTCAAACGAGAATGTATTTCACTGTGTTTTTTTAATGAGAGTGTACTTTGGACGCGGAAGTTTGTTATCTCCCTTCAATTGGAAAATACAGGTCAGATCGAATGTATGGTGTTGACTTTTGTTGACAAGCGTTCGCGGATCCAGATTAGGGAGGCGTGTGTGTCAATGAAGTGGTGCGTCCCCCCCTTTTTCAGGCATAATTGTCATGTTGGCGTGTGAAAAGCATTTAACTAAATCATCTGGTGACAAAATAACAATACACTGACTTTCTTCTGGCCAACAAACTCAATTTGGTTCCGAATTATTTTCATTTATATTATATATTTTAAGTGCACTCCCTCTTTCAAATAGCACTGCAAACCCCCATGCACCGCTCTGACTGCCCAGGGTGTACTGGCAATCATGATATATATGTAGGTTTATCCCTCTTTTGGAAGAGATTGACATTTTTTTGACACTGCTTCGAGATATTTTATTTCATTTTTTAAAGGACAAGCAAATAATTATTATCATTTTTCAGGTAATCCAGTGAAACAGTCAATTTAGATTATTTGTCTTAAAATCGCCAGCAATATTTGCCAGCATGGGATATTTACCTGTTCAGATCTATTTTCAAAGTCGTGGTTTGACAGTAAGACCAAATATTCCCATGATATGCACATTAACATGGACCGAAGGCCTTCCTCCACTGAAATAAATATGATTCATGAGTGAGAGAATAAGTAGAGTATTAATCTAAGTCAGCAATGATTTACCCATGACAACTTCAGGAAGTTAACCGTAATAATGCTCCACACCCAAGTCACACAGCTGTTGCACTGTTAAGATTACCACTGTTTGAGACACATCCACAATAACTTGCGTGTGACCTCATCTCCACGTTCTGTTGCCCTCTTCAGGATCTAGTGACACCATCTCAAGGCTCTGGTGCCCTCTTCAGGATCTAGTGACACCATCTTAAGGCTCTGGTGCCCTCTTCAGGATCTAGTGACATCATCTCCAGGGTGTGGTGCCCTCTTCAGGATCTAGTGACACCATCTCAAGGCTCTGGTGCCCTCTTCAAGATCTAGTGACATCATCTCTAGGGTCTAGTGCCCTCTTCAGGATCTAGTGACACCATCTCCAGGCGCTGTTGCCCTCTTCAGGATCTAGTGACACCATCTCAAGGCTCTGGTGCCCTCTTCAGGATTTAGTGACATCATCTCTAGGGTGTGGTGACCTCTTCAGGATCTAGTGACATCATCTCTAGGGTCTGGTGCCCTCTTCAGGATCTAGTGACATCATCTCAAGGCTCTTGTGCTTCCTTCGGGATCTAGTGACATCATCTCTAGGGTCTGGTGCCCTCTTCAGGATCTAGTGACATCATCTCTTGGGTCTGGTGCCCTCTTCAGGATCTAGTGACATCATCTCCAGGGTCTGGTGCCCTCTTCAGGATCTAGTGACATAATCTCTAGGGTCTGGTGCCCTCTTCAGGATCTAGTGACATCATCTCAAGGCTCTTGTGCTTCCTTCAGGATCTAGTGACATCATCTCTAGGGTCTGGTGCCCTCTTCAGGACCTTGTGACACCACCTCCAGGCTCTTTTGCTCACTTCAGGATCTAGTGACATCATCTCCAGGGTGTGGTGCCCTCTTGAGGATCTAGTGACATCATCTCCAGCGTCTGGTGCCCTATTGAGGATCTAGTGACATTCTCCAGGGTCTGGTGCCTTCTTCAGGATCTAGTGACATTATCTCCAGGGTCTGGTGCCCTCTTCAGGATCTAGTGACATCATCTCCAGGGTCTGGTGCCCCCTTCAGGATCTAGTGACATCATCTCCAGGGTCTGGTGCCCTCTTCAGGATCTAGTGACATCATCTCCAGGGTCTAGTGCCCTCTTCAGGATCTAGTGACATCATCTCCAGGGTCTGGTGCCCTCTTCAGGATCTAGTGACATCATCTCCAGGGTGTGGTGCCCTCTTCAGGATCTAGTGACATCATCTCCAGGGTCTGGTGCCCTCTTCAGGATCTAGTGACATCCTCTCCAGGGTCAGGTGCCCTCTTCAGGATCTAGTGACACCATCTCCAGGGTCTGGTGCCCTCTTCAGGATCTAGTGACATCATCTCCAGGGTGTGGTGCCCTCTTCAGGATCTAGTGACATCACCTCAGGGTCTGGTGCCCTCTTCCGGATCTAGTGACATCATCTCCAGGGTCTGGTGCCCTCTTCAGGATCTAGTGACATTCTCCAGGGTCTGGTGCCCTCTTCAGGATCTAGTGACATCATCTCTATGGTCTGGTGCCCTATTGAGGATCTAGTGACATTCTCCAGGGTCTGGTGCCCTCTTCAGGATCTAGTGACATTATCTCCAGGGTCTGGTGCCCTCTTCAGGATCTAGTGACATCATCTCCAGGGTCTGGTGCCCTCTTCAGGATCTAGTGACATCATCTCCAGGGTGTGGTGCCCTCTTCAGGATCTAGTGACATCATCTCCAGGGTCTGGTGCCCTCTTCAGGATCTAGTGACATTATCTCCAGGGTCTGGTGCCCTCTTCAGGATCTAGTGACATCATCTCCAGGGTCTGGTGCCCTCTTCAGGATCTAGTGACATCATCTCCAGGGTGTGGTGCCCTCTTCAGGATCTAGTGACACCATCTCCAGGCGCTGTTGCCCTCTTCAGGATCTAGTGACACCATCTCAAGGCTCTGGTGCCCTCTTCAGGATTTAGTGACATCATCTCTAGGGTGTGGTGACCTCTTCAGGATCTAGTGACATCATCTCTAGGGTCTGGTGCCCTCTTCAGGATCTAGTGACATCATCTCAAGGCTCTTGTGCTTCCTTCGGGATCTAGTGACATCATCTCTAGGGTCTGGTGCCCTCTTCAGGATCTAGTGACATCATCTCTTGGGTCTGGTGCCCTCTTCAGGATCTAGTGACATCATCTCTAGGGTCTGGTGCCCTCTTCAGGATCTAGTGACATAATCTCTAGGGTCTGGTGCCCTCTTCAGGATCTAGTGACATCATCTCAAGGCTCTTGTGCTTCCTTCAGGATCTAGTGACATCATCTCTAGGGTCTGGTGCCCTCTTCAGGACCTTGTGACACCACCTCCAGGCTCTTTTGCTCCCTTCAGGATCTAGTGACATCATCTCCAGGGTGTGGTGCCCTCTTGAGGATCTAGTGACATCATCTCCAGCGTCTGGTGCCCTATTGAGGATCTAGTGACATTCTCCAGGGTCTGGTGCCTTCTTCAGGATCTAGTGACATCATCTCCAGGGTCTGGTGCCCTCTTCAGGATCTAGTGACATCATCTCCAGGGTCTGGTGCCCTCTTCAGGATCTAGTGACATCATCTCCAGGGTCTGGTGCCCTCTTCAGGATCTAGTGACATCATCTCCAGGGTCTAGTGCCCTCTTCAGGATCTAGTGACATCATCTCCAGGGTCTGGTGCCCTCTTCAGGATCTAGTGACATCATCTCCAGGGTGTGGTGCCCTCTTCAGGATCTAGTGACATCATCTCCAGGGTCTGGTGCCCTCTTCAGGATCTAGTGACATCCTCTCCAGGGTCAGGTGCCCTCTTCAGGATCTAGTGACACCATCTCCAGGGTCTGGTGCCCTCTTCAGGATCTAGTGACATCATCTCCAGGGTCTGGTGCCCTCTTCAGGATCTAGTGACATCACCTCAGGGTCTGGTGCCCTCTTCAGGATCTAGTGACATCATCTCCAGGGTCTGGTGCCCTCTTCAGGATCTAGTGACATTCTCCAGGGTCTGGTGCCCTCTTCAGGATCTAGTGACATCATCTCTATGGTCTGGTGCCCTATTGAGGATCTAGTGACATTCTCCAGGGTCTGGTGCCCTCTTTAGGATCTAGTGACATCATCTCCAGGGTCTGGTGCCCTCTTCAGGATCTAGTGACATCATCTCCAGGGTCTGGTGCCCTCTTCAGGATCTAGTGACATCATCTCCAGGGTGTGGTGCCCTCTTCAGGATCTAGTGACATCATCTCCAGGGTCTGGTGCCCTCTTCAGGATCTAGTGACATCATCTCTAGGGTCTGGTGCCCTCTTCAGGATCTAGTGACATCATCTCTAGGGTCTGGTGCCCTCTTCAGGATCTAGTGACAGTATCTCCAGGGTCAGGTGCCCTCTTCAGGATCTAGTGACACCATCCTCAGGGTCTGGTGCCCTCTTCAGGATCTAGTGACATCATCTCCAGGGTCTGGTGCCCTCTTCAGGATCTAGTGACATCATCTCCAGGGTCTGGTGCCCTCTTCAGGATCTAGTGACACCATCTCCAGGGTCTGGTGCCCTCTTCAGGATCTAGTGACATCCTCTCCAGGGTCTGGTGCCCTCTTGAGGATCTAGTGACATTCTCCAGGGTCTGGTGCCCTCTTGAGGATCTAGTGACATCATCTCCAGGGTCTGGTGCTCTATTGAGGATCTAGTGACATCATCTCTTGGGTCTGGTGCCATATTGAGGATCTAGTGACATCATCTCCAGGGTCTGGTGCCCTCTTCAGGATCTAGTGACATCATCTCCAGGGTCTGGTGCCCTCTTCAGGATCTAGTGACATCACCTCAGGGTCTGGTGCCCTCTTCAGGATCTAGTGACATCATCTCCAGGGTCTGGTGCCCTCTTCAGGATCTAGTGACATTCTCCAGGGTCTGGTGCCCTCTTCAGGATCTAGTGACATCATCTCTATGGTCTGGTGCCCTATTGAGGATCTAGTGACATTCTCCAGGGTCTGGTGCCCTCTTCAGGATCTAGTGACATTATCTCCAGGGTCTGGTGCCCTCTTCAGGATCTAGTGACATCATCTCCAGGGTCTGGTGCCCTCTTCAGGATCTAGTGACATCATCTCCAGGGTGTGGTGCCCTCTTCAGGATCTAGTGACATCATCTCCAGGGTCTGGTGCCCTCTTCAGGATCTAGTGACATCATCTCTAGGGTCTGGTGCCCTCTTCAGGATCTAGTGACATCATCTCTAGGGTCTGGTGCCCTCTTCAGGATCTAGTGACATTATCTCCAGGGTCAGGTGCCCTCTTCAGGATCTAGTGACACCATCCTCAGGGTCTGGTGCCCTCTTCAGGATCTAGTGACATCATCTCCAGGGTCTGGTGCCCTCTTCAGGATCTAGTGACATCATCTCCAGGGTCTGGTGCCCTCTTCAGGATCTAGTGACACCATCTCAAGGGTCTGGTGCCCTCTTCAGGATCTAGTGACATCCTCTCCAGGGTCTGGTGCCCTCTTGAGGATCTAGTGACATTCTCCAGGGTCTGGTGCCCTCTTGAGGATCTAGTGACATCATCTCCAGGGTCTGGTGCTCTATTGAGGATCTAGTGACATCATCTCTTGGGTCTGGTGCCATATTGAGGATCTAGTGACATCATCTCCAGGGTCTGGTGCCCTCTTCAGGATCTAGCGACATCATCTCCAGGGCGTGGTGCCCTCTTCAGGATAAAGTGACATCATCTCCAGGGCGTGGTGCCCTCTTCAGGATAAAATGACATCATCTCCAGGGTCTGGTGCCCTCTTCAGGATCTAGTGACATCATCTCTATGGTCTGGTGCCCTATTGAGGATCTAGTGACATTCTCCAGGGTCTGGTGCCCTCTTCAGGATCTAGTGACATTATCTCCAGGGTCTGGTGCCCTCTTCAGGATCTAGTGACATCATCTCCAGGGTCTGGTGCCCTCTTCAGGATCTAGTGACATCATCTCCAGGGTCTGGTGCCCTCTTCAGGATCTAGTGACATCATCTCCAGGGTGTGGTGACCTCTTCAGGATCTAGTGACATCATCTCTAGGGTCTGGTGCCCTCTTCAGGATCTAGTGACATCATCTCAAGGCTCTTGTGCTTCCTTCGGGATCTAGTGACATCATCTCTAGGGTCTGGTGCCCTCTTCAGGATCTAGTGACATCATCTCTTGGGTCTGGTGCCCTCTTCAGGATCTAGTGACATCATCTCTAGGGTCTGGTGCCCTCTTCAGGATCTAGTGACATAATCTCTAGGGTCTGGTGCCCTCTTCAGGATCTAGTGACATCATCTCAAGGCTCTTGTGCTTCCTTCAGGATCTAGTGACATCATCTCTAGGGTCTGGTGCCCTCTTCAGGACCTTGTGACACCACCTCCAGGCTCTTTTGCTCCCTTCAGGATCTAGTGACATCATCTCCAGGGTGTGGTGCCCTCTTGAGGATCTAGTGACATCATCTCCAGCGTCTGGTGCCCTATTGAGGATCTAGTGACATTCTCCAGGGTCTGGTGCCTTCTTCAGGATCTAGTGACATTATCTCCAGGGTCTGGTGCCCTCTTCAGGATCTAGTGACATCATCTCCAGGGTCTGGTGCCCTCTTCAGGATCTAGTGACATCATCTCCAGGGTCTGGTGCCCTCTTCAGGATCTAGTGACATCATCTCCAGGGTCTAGTGCCCTCTTCAGGATCTAGTGACATCATCTCCAGGGTCTGGTGCCCTCTTCAGGATCTAGTGACATCATCTCCAGGGTGTGGTGCCCTCTTCAGGATCTAGTGACATCATCTCCAGGGTCTGGTGCCCTCTTCAGGATCTAGTGACATCCTCTCCAGGGTCAGGTGCCCTCTTCAGGATCTAGTGACACCATCTCCAGGGTCTGGTGCCCTCTTCAGGATCTAGTGACATCATCTCCAGGGTCTGGTGCCCTCTTCAGGATCTAGTGACATCACCTCAGGGTCTGGTGCCCTCTTCAGGATCTAGTGACATCATCTCCAGGGTCTGGTGCCCTCTTCAGGATCTAGTGACATTCTCCAGGGTCTGGTGCCCTCTTCAGGATCTAGTGACATCATCTCTATGGTCTGGTGCCCTATTGAGGATCTAGTGACATTCTCCAGGGTCTGGTGCCCTCTTCAGGATCTAGTGACATTATCTCCAGGGTCTGGTGCCCTCTTCAGGATCTAGTGACATCATCTCCAGGGTCTGGTGCCCTCTTCAGGATCTAGTGACATCATCTCCAGGGTGTGGTGCCCTCTTCAGGATCTAGTGACATCATCTCCAGGGTCTGGTGCCCTCTTCAGGATCTAGTGACATCATCTCTAGGGTCTGGTGCCCTCTTCAGGATCTAGTGACATCATCTCTAGGGTCTGGTGCCCTCTTCAGGATCTAGTGACAGTATCTCCAGGGTCAGGTGCCCTCTTCAGGATCTAGTGACACCATCCTCAGGGTCTGGTGCCCTCTTCAGGATCTAGTGACATCATCTCCAGGGTCTGGTGCCCTCTTCAGGATCTAGTGACATCATCTCCAGGGTCTGGTGCCCTCTTCAGGATCTAGTGACACCATCTCCAGGGTCTGGTGCCCTCTTGAGGATCTAGTGACATCCTCTCCAGGGTCTGGTGCCCTCTTGAGGATCTAGTGACATTCTCCAGGGTCTGGTGCCCTCTTGAGGATCTAGTGACATCATCTCCAGGGTCTGGTGCTCTATTGAGGATCTAGTGACATCATTTCTTGGGTCTGGTGCCATATTGAGGATCTAGTGACATCATCTCCAGGGTCTGGTGCCCTCTTCAGGATCTAGTGACATCATCTCCAGGGTCTGGTGCCCTCTTCAGGATCTAGTGACATCACCTCAGGGTCTGGTGCCCTCTTCAGGATCTAGTGACATCATCTCCAGGGTCTGGTGCCCTCTTCAGGATCTAGTGACATTCTCCAGGGTCTGGTGCCCTCTTCAGGATCTAGTGACATCATCTCTATGGTCTGGTGCCCTATTGAGGATCTAGTGACATTCTCCAGGGTCTGGTGCCCTCTTCAGGATCTAGTGACATTATCTCCAGGGTCTGGTGCCCTCTTCAGGATCTAGTGACATCATCTCCAGGGTCTGGTGCCCTCTTCAGGATCTAGTGACATCATCTCCAGGGTGTGGTGCCCTCTTCAGGATCTAGTGACATCATCTCCAGGGTCTGGTGCCCTCTTCAGGATCTAGTGACATCATCTCTAGGGTCTGGTGCCCTCTTCAGGATCTAGTGACATCATCTCTAGGGTCTGGTGCCCTCTTCAGGATCTAGTGACATTATCTCCAGGGTCAGGTGCCCTCTTCAGGATCTAGTGACACCATCCTCAGGGTCTGGTGCCCTCTTCAGGATCTAGTGACATCATCTCCAGGGTCTGGTGCCCTCTTCAGGATCTAGTGATATCATCTCCAGGGTCTGGTGCCCTCTTCAGGATCTAGTGACACCATCTCCAGGGTCTGGTGCCCTCTTCAGGATCTAGTGACATCCTCTCCAGGGTCTGGTGCCCTCTTGAGGATCTAGTGACATTCTCCAGGGTCTGGTGCCCTCTTGAGGATCTAGTGACATCATCTCCAGGGTCTGGTGCTCTATTGAGGATCTAGTGACATCATCTCTTGGGTCTGGTGCCATATTGAGGATCTAGTGACATCATCTCCAGGGTCTGGTGCCCTCTTCAGGATCTAGCGACATCATCTCCAGGGCGTGGTGCCCTCTTCAGGATAAAGTGACATCATCTCCAGGGCGTGGTGCCCTCTTCAGGATAAAATGACATCATCTCCAGGGTCTGGTGCCCTCTTCAGGATCTAGTGACATCATCTCTATGGTCTGGTGCCCTATTGAGGATCTAGTGACATTCTCCAGGGTCTGGTGCCCTCTTCAGGATCTAGTGACATTATCTCCAGGGTCTGGTGCCCTCTTCAGGATCTAGTGACATCATCTCCAGGGTCTGGTGCCCTCTTCAGGATCTAGTGACATCATCTCCAGGGTCTGGTGCCCTCTTCAGGATCTAGTGACATCATCTCCAGGGTCTGGTGCCCTCTTCAGGATCTAGTGACATCATCTCCAGGGTCTGGTGCCCTCTTCAGGATCTAGTGACATTATCTCCAGGGTCAGGTGCCCTCTTCAGGATCTAGTGACACCATCTACAGGGTCTGGTGCCCTCTTCAGGATCTAGTGACATCATCTCCAGGGTCTGGTGCCCTCTTCAGGATCTAGTGACATCATCTCCAGGGTGTGGTGCCCTCTTCAGGATCTAGTGACATCATCTCCAGGGTCTGGTGCCATCTTCAGGATCTAGTGACATCATCTCCAGGGTCTGGTGCCCTCTTCAGGATCTAGTGACATCATCTCTAGGGTCTGGTGCCCTCTTCAGGATCTAGTGACATTCTCCAGGGTCTGGTGCCCTCTTCAGGATCTAGTGACATCATCTCTATGGTCTGGTGCCCTATTGAGGATCTAGTGACATTCTCCAGGGTCTGGTGCCCTCTTCAGGATCTAGTGACATTATCTCCAGGGTCTGGTGCCCTCTTCAGGATCTAGTGACATCATCTCCAGGGTCTGGTGCCCTCTTCAGGATCTAGTGACATCATCTCCAGGGTGTGGTGCCCTCTTCAGGATCTAGTGACATCATCTCCAGGGTCTGGTGCCCTCTTCAGGATCTAGTGACATCATCTCTAGGGTCTGGTGCCCTCTTCAGGATCTAGTGACATTCTCCAGGGTCTGGTGCCCTCTTGAGGATCTAGTGACATCATCTCCAGGGTCTGGTGCCCTCTTCAGGATCTAGTGACATCATCTCTTGGGTCTGGTGCCCTATTGAGGATCTAGTGACATCATCTCCAGGGTCTGGTGCCCTCTTCAGGATCTAGCGACATCATCTCCAGGGTCTGGTGCCCTCTTCAGGATAAAGTGACATCATCTCCAGGGTGTGGTGCCCTCTTCAGGATCTAGTGACATCATCTCCAGGGTCTGGTGCCCCCTTCAGGATCTAGTGACATCATCTCCAGGGTCTGGTGCCCTCTTCAGGATCTAGTGACATCATCTCCAGGGTGTGGTGCCCTCTTCAGGATCTAGTGACATCATCTCCAGGGTCTGGTGCCCTCTTCAGGATTTAGCGACATCATCTCCAGGGTCTGGTGCCCTCTTCAGGATCTAGTGACATCATCTCCAGCGTCTGGTGCCCCCTTCAGGATCTAGTGACATCATCCCCAGGGTATGGTGCTCTCGCAAATATTTGTCATGAGATAAAATAAGATTAACAGATTGACAGATTAACTAAAATATCAATTTTCATAACGCATAGATCATTCAAGCCTTCATAGGCTACATGGGTTATGGAAGGGATATTTTATGTACAGCTATGACCGAGCATTACAAGGGACGTCACACATCTATAAACAAACACAACTCTTTTGGTTACCGTATGTCTAGGACCTCATTTTCAGGTTCTGGTAACATTGCTGAATATTTGTCTCAGTCATTGTTATCGGATAAGCTTGAGATCAGCTTGAGATGGGCAAATAAAAGTGACAAAACCTTTTCCATAGCCCCAAGAACATGGTCCCTTGTACGATTACGACAGTACCACGATCATGTGAAAATGTTGTATCAAAAGGTACCTGTAAACTAGTATATCAATCGTCATAACCTATATATCATAGGAGGCCTTATTAGCTACGAATTTCTATTGCTGTATAGATAACCAAAGGGACCTGGACACCTTTGATGAAACATGGCCCTTTGAATGTTGTCCTGACACACATCTAGTTGACATTGAATTCCCTTTCGACAATCATCAGTCGTCTTCCATAACATAATCCACTTTTTCGGCTACCCTTTTGCAGCCACCTACAGAGAAAACCTGTTCACTTTCAGGCCAGAATGTGAGTTCTTCCATAACACTTTCAACTCTGTCATCAGTCACTGCGTAACCCTTAGCAACCATGCTGTCCTTGATGCATCTCCTCACATGGGATTTCTCCAGTGGTAGGAAGGGGATGTATGCTGTTATCATGTGCTTGGTGATCAACTCACTGTGCCAAAGTCCAGCTGAAACACATTTCAACAGTTAATACTCCACACCAGTGATGTTATCATCAGGATTTCATTTACCATGTTTTAAGAATATTTGAATATTTTGTTTTCAATTGTATCAATATATCAACACATGTGTCAGTATAATTGGACGGCCGATGCTTTTAGAATTCCGTATGGTATTTCCGGGCACAAATGATATAAAAATTAATAATCAATTTATTTCTTACATTTTGTGTGGAGTGCATCATGGGCTATGAAGTTTTCGACGTCAGACAGTTTGATATCCTCCCGAGGGTAGCCGTGAGACCATTGTTGATACACATACTCTTTGATGTTATGCCCGCCTTTGTTACTGGAAGAAATCAGATAAACATATCATTTTGAACATGACCGAGGCAAAATACAACAAAACTATTGTTCATCGAAACACAATATTGTCTCTTTGACCCGTTGCCTACAGCAGGGCAACACTCATGACTTGGCACGTCAAAAAAGACCACTATATTCGGTCGGTGCATCTGCAGATTCGATACCAAACTGCCAACATTAACTGCTCGGACAATTTGAGTCGAGGCCAATTAGTCGCAGAAACGTACCTATCGTGTTCAGGGTCACAACATCCGACCCGGAAGCGATACGCTGTGTTTTCCTTCAACTTCACCGTCAGGCACGCCTTAGTGTAGACAACATCTGACGTTCAGAAGCCTGGGACAATATACTATGCATAGATAAGTCCAGGTTTCATCTAGGCAGCTCTAATGGACATGCAAGGGTCAACAGGCGTCAAGGGGAACGTTTTTAGCAACGCTTGCTTCACACCAGAGCACCTGGGTACCGTTGTACAAAACAACCTTAGTGCTACGTTAAGTCTATGTTAAGGTATGGGAGTTACGATCACCTTAGCACTAAGATTGCTTTGTACATTGCACCCCAGTACACCAGAAATGGGCTTCTCACATTGTACCTATGTGAGGAATCGAACCCGGGTATTCGGCGTGACGAGCGAACACTTTAACCACTAGGCTACCTCACCGCCCCTAAGAGAGGAAGAACCAGTGTTGCTAATGACAGTGTTAGCATGTACCAGTCACATACTCATCACACAGGTCCGAGTGTGGTCAGACAATTTCTCCTGACTTGACATTTGTCAGACCATTTTATAACTTTGATAATGGGTGATGGCTGGCCTGGGAAATAGGAAATACACTACAAACTGCCTTTTTGTGATCTCTCTGTGCGCTAATGTTAAAGGTCATTTCCCTAACTATCTTGCAAGATTCTCAGCACAGAAATCATCTGAATGTGTCATACTATTTATATTCAAATTCTGTATTTCATCTCCAGCTGCGTTACTGTAAGAAAAATAGAGGAACATGCCTCAAGCAATAAAACACACAACAAAACGTCCTTTACCCTCTTGTTCTTTGGAGTGAGTGAGTGGGTATGGTTTTACGCCGCTTTTAACAATATTCCAGCAATATCACGGCGGGGGACAACAGAAATTGGCTTCACACATTGCACCCACGTCGGGAATCGAACCCGGGTCTTCGGCGTGACGAGCGAACGCTTCAACCACTAGGCTACCCGACCGCCCCCTTGTTCTTTGGACACGTTGAAGGTTAAACATGGCAACATGCCTTTTTTTATATGCTTGGTCTCTAATGTTTAAGGATCATTTCCCTCAAGATCTCGCAGGATTTCAGCATCTCAATGTTTTGGTATGGTCCGAATTCTTTCTTTTCCTGTTGGTGACTCACCTGAGAAAAATGTAGATGGCTTTGCGGTAGTTGACCCCTCCAACCGTATAGTGGGAGTCGAGATAGGGCGCGATGGTGTCAATGAGACCTGACGGCATCTTGTCCATCTCGTCAAATATAAACAGTGAGCGAGAACAGCGGGTGATGTTGCCCTCAATCCAAGCATGCAGCTGGTCCTGTAAAATTATTGATAACTTGCGTTAGTAGTCTCACCATGATTACACCAGCAGGCGTCTCTCCTAACTTACCACCATGGCCTCGGCCCCCATCTGTCATACATCGAGCAGACGACATTACGAACACGATCCTAACTAAACACATAGCATTTATTTATAAGTAATGATAAGAATTTATGGATGAACAACTTCTTTATTACAATTAAGAGCGACGTTTCGGTGTAGGTTCTAACACCGTTATCAAGCAAGTGCGGTTCTAACGGTGTTAGAACCTACACCGACACGTCGCTCTTAATTGTTATAAAGAAGTTGTTCATTCATAAATTCTTATCCTTACTTAGTACTCCAACTTCTAAATGCCTATCAAAGAAGTCATTTATTTATAAGTGTTGCTTGACATGACTTGTATGTACGGACATTGATATTGGTAAATTAAACAGAACATGGCAACAAAATATCAGACGTTCTTGTGGGGGTCTTTACCTTTGGAACTGGAAAGGATGTTATAGTTAGAACACTACTCCGAGGTTTTGTTCGGCCCGAGGGATTTTCCCGAGCTCGGGGTTACATTTTCAATCAAGTTAGTGTTTTCACTAACTTATGAACAGCAAGAAATACCTTATAGTGAAACAATACAGTAGTCGCGGTACAAAACGAATTCAGTGACAGCGGGCGAGAGAGAGATCACGTGCAGCATGCAGACAACTGAAGTCATGACATGCAAGACTGAACACCCTTTCAACACCTGCCCCGGTGGCTCAGTGGGGAAAACAGTGAGTTACAATACTTAATATATGTGCGGTTGTAGGCTCGATCGGCGTCATGTGGAAACAATTGTTACTTTTAACCAGCCAAACATAAACATAAGGTGCGTGTACAAATGTTGTTTATACAATTCAACTGTAAAACACTACGACTTACAATTAAACTGTAAAACGTCTCACCTGAAAGTAGTACCTCTCACATGGTTACAGTGAGACAGCAAGATGCCTACAATACTATTTAGGCAAAAGTGCAGTAGGTGTATAAAGACACCCCCAAACAAAACCTTGTATCCCTAACCTCATACAGTGACACATTTCCACCATAAAATTCTTTGACTGCAGAGATAAGATGAACAAACTTGCAACATTGAGGATTTTTATCCTGGGAAGTGGAATACATAAACATGATAAAGACTACTACATGTACCAAACAAACCCAATAACCATGTACCTTATAGAATGGCACCATTCTTTCATGTCGAAACTCTTTGGTTGCAAGGATGAGATGAACAAACTTGCTGCGCATCCCTTCTTTATAAAGGTGCTCTGCTACAATGCGGCTCACGTAGTTCTTCCCAGTGCCAGTCCAGCCATGGAAGGAAAGAGCCAGAGCCTTGGCTGGTTCCGCAGACTTGAGGTGTCCTCGAATGTGATTGGTCACAGCTTTCAGTGCAAGATGTTGGCCATACAGCTTCTCCTTAAGTTGCTTTGACAGTCCTGAAGTATGAAGTCTTAGTTTGTTTGTTTGTTGTTTAACGCCGCACTCAGCAATATTCCAGCTATATGACGGCGGTCTGTAAATAATCGAGTCTGGTCCAGACAAGCCAGTGATTGACATCATGAGCATCGATCCACGCAATTGGGATACGATGACATGCATCAACCAAGTCAGCGAGCCTGACTACCCAATCCCGTTAGTCGCCTCTGACGACAAGCATAGTCGCCTGTTACGGTAAGCATGAGTTGCTGAAGACCTATTCTACCCCGGATCTTCAGGGGTCATGAAGTCTTAGAATTGATCCAGAGACCACTGTTAAGTATTACTGACACATTACAGGTGTACCTTATGGACGGCAGCATCACTGGTTCCCTGATAATATCTATTATTGAATGCTTAATATGTTTACGTATCTAACTCGTGCAAATCTGTCAATCCTTCTAAAATGTATATTTGGTAAGGAGATTCAGGAAACATACCGGAAACTGCGCAAATAATGTACTGCAATATTTAAGATGATGAACGCATTAATATACCAAAACTATTTCTATGAATCTGATTTAAAACTGTGTGAACTACATAAAATATAATGTCAGAACGTCAAACACTACTGATATAATATGGGAAAATCAATTGCAAGGGCATTTGCTTGGCTAACCCAGCAATGATTGTGTTGCCGTTTGTATTTCCCTGAACCTAAAACTGAGGTCATGCCCACAAAAGAGTAAAACCCTGTTCTTATTAAATATTAAAAAAAGTTATTATAGTTGACATAATCATTCATAAGAATTGACTTCAATATATATTATTTTTTTTGCAGATATACAGAAAATATGCACTCCAGTTTTTTCGCTTGTAAATACCTCCATAAATTAAATTATTGAAGACAATTCTTAAATAATCTATGTTCCATAGAAAGCTATCACGTTTCATGGATAGTTGCCAAACTATTGATACCTAATTTTTAATGTTGTTGTGCTTGTTTGAAAATGTAAGGTGGCAACGTCTACCATACAACCGCTGTTCACGTAACCGCCGCGGTCACTATTCTGAGATGCGTCGTACATGACCAGGGCAACATAGTCGTAAAACAGTTAACTTACATATTATATAAAACGTAGACAGCAATCTTTGAACATATAATCCTTCTTGGCGCCAGAGAGGAAAGTCAAAGTTCGGAATATTGTCAATGCGACGTTTATATCGTATGCATAGCTCAACATATGTGCATACATATAAAGTCTTACTTGCGTATTTTATTCGCTCAAAGTTTTCTGGGAAGTGTATTATAAAAATCTTTGCTGCATAGCACAATTCGGGGGTGTATTCGAAAAACAGCGAAATGTTTGCCAAAGAATACGTTAGACTATGTTTACTATTATTTCTCTTACATACTGATATCATGTACATAAATATATCAAGATATTAATTTTGGAAATTTAATCCCCTACAATTAAGTACAATTTAAATTTTGAAGGTATTTTGAACATAGTTTATCATCCAAAACTGGCTCCCAAAGCTGATATGGCTTGGGTGAGATCAAGCGATATCTATATTGAAGACAATCTCATAAAAATCAGATCTTAGTTTACGCAACCGCTAAACAAGGATATGAGGACATCCCATTTGGGTTCACGTCATAACGACCTGTCACCGACCAATCACAGCGTCGTTTACTAACCTAGACCATCTATTAGCCATTCTACAATGTTCTCTTGTTCAGGGGGGCACGGGTGGCCCAGTCGTCTAAGGCGCCGCGATTCCCTGTGCAGAGTTGCGTCCCTTGGACACGACAGAAACCTACAGTGTGGGTTCGAATCCAGGTTCGCCCCGACTATGTTTCTGGGTTTGTCAGCACCATACCCGTGCTCCTGGGTTTCACCGAAGTAGTAAACGTCTGAGACCTGCTTCGGGCTTTCCTCCCACATTAAGCTGACACGTCGTGATATAACTGGAATGCTGTTAAAAGCGGCGTTAAACCTAACTCACTCACTCACCTACTCTTTTGTACAGGTTTCAATTTTGTAATCGAATATTTATCAAAATATGTTTCGAAGCGTAGTAGCTAATGTGAAATTAGTGCCGTAAAGCACGAGAAAGCGGCCTTCTGATTGGCTAGTGTCGACTTCTTGACAGTCATCCCATTGGTTGGTCAAAGTTCGCGCAAGGTCGGTCTGACGTGACCCGTAATGGGATGTCATCAGATCTTTGTTTAGTGGTAGCGAGAACTAAGATCTGATTTTAATGAGATTGCATTGTAGATATTGCTGCAATGAAATTGCATCACAATGCTTTGCAGACAATTGTGACGTCACTGGTTACCATGACGTCACAATCAAATGACATCACTAATGGCTTTGCCACTGCAGCTGTTAGCAGTACTTTTTACACTTAAGATACTGCTTATTACTGTCTACAAACTGAAAAAGTCGGAAGAATGATGTTGGATGATAAATTAAATCTCACCCTCGTGTCTTTTGATATCAAATATATCAACGCTTGTTGATAAAAGTGGAAAAGCTCCTTGGCAAGCCTCGGAGTTTTTCCACTTTTATCAAAAGACATTTGGGTGAGATTCTCTATTTATTACCCACAGGATCAGAAATAACCGAGTTCATAAAAAAACAAACATATGTGAACTTGTGCAAGCATCACTTCTCGCGCACCAGTGCAATGTTTTCGTCATCTGGATGGCATTAATGACGTCATTCAAATCTACTTGTTACATGAGGACGGAATGACGTCACACTAGAAACGACGCCATAGCTGCAGATTATTGACGTCATTCGACAATTGTGGTCGTCTGGGACAGCGGTTGTGATCAGTGCATTTTTTGTAAAGGGGGGCTCAAAAGGATTAAGAAATAATGGGTAATAAATACATTATTACACTCGCATGTGTGTCATACTGGTTTCACGAGACTCGTGTAAGAATTCATGTATTACCCTCGCTCTCGCTCGGGAAATACAAGAATTCTGACACTCGTTTCGGACAACTAGTGTGACACACATGCACGTATAACAATATCTATGCATGCCTAATATTTCGAAGGCTTTCACAGCCACATCGACTATTTGACCTGTACTGGCTCCTAGGTTGCGATAAGAGAGACGGTTCAACCTAAGCGATATGGCACAGTTAACTGGGGTCCGTTAACTGGTTCCACTGTTGTTACGCGCAGCTAGCAAGTTTTGACATACAGGACCCCAGTCAATGAGACCGGTAAGTCCCAGCAGGACTGGTTGGTTAAAACTGGGTGCAGGCTAAAACGGCACCTCAGCAAAACGTCACCGATTTCTCTGGCGAAAACGGCACCGCATTTGGCGAAAACGGCTACTATGTGTCGGGCGAAAACGGAACCTCTATGTTTAATAACGATAACAACGATTTTTGTAGTAATATATAGGGTTTTGTTTACATGGTATTTGATGTATTGAGTACATCTGAAGCCGTAATGTGAATTTCCGATCACCTCTTCAATGACGGGAGCTACGCATTTCACACAGCGGAAAGGGAAGTCAGTACGGACAATTTCTCTATAACGGGCCATAGAAAGTCCGGTTCCACTGGTCACAGTTATCACATGATACAGCATGTTGATTTTTTTTCTGTCATTCTTCTCGCAAACTTCAAAACTTAAAAGCGTATAGTGAATAAAAGTCGGTGAGTAAATTGGAGTAGGGGGCTAATTTCTTATTTGTTTTATTTCACAATTATTTGTGTTTGTAAGAGACGATGTGAGTTTAATTTCTATTATCTTTCGCCAAAGCTATTATCTTTCACCATAAGTTGAGTTGCGTATAAGCTAAGTTGGATTATAGTTGGAGCAGAGGCTAATTTTTCTAATGTAAACTTGTTTTAACATCTCACAATTATTGGCCTTTGCAAGTTACAATGTAAGTTAAATATCATTCATTTGACCGAGGTAAAAAAAATAATAAGGTGCCGTTTTCGCTCGAGTCGAGGTGCCGTTTTCGCTTGAGTCGAGGTGCCGTTTTCGCCCGGTGACGTTTTGCTGAGGTGCCGTTTTCGCTATAACCCGTTAAAACTTCCTGTCGTATCTAGGCATACGGTCGAGACCCTAGGCATACACAACACTGTCAGCATTGTAAATATGCTAAAACTGAAACCATGACTACATCGATTAAATAACCTTGTGTTTTCGTCGCGTGACAGTATATTTTTTAGCATATTTATGTACATTTATTTGTTAGGGAACCCCTCTTTATAAGACGGAACGGGAGCAGGGCGCCGTTGTGCAAAACAACCTAAGCGCTTCGACTGTTCAAGGAAGTATATACAATAAGTCTATGTTAAGGTATGGGAGTTACGATCACCTTAGCGCTAAGATCACTATGTACAACGGCTCCCTGGTCAAGTACCACCCGTACACTTACCACCCAGGACCTACCTGTGAAATTGTTGTGTAGCCATCGATCATCGCAAGTTTCAGCAAAGTTGCTTCTTACTGAGTCATAGTATCCTTCGGCGACTTCAGCTGTTAGTTTTATAACCTCGACGAAGTCAGCAAAGGGATTAGCACATGCAGCTGAATGTACCCAGCATGCGACAACGATACATGTTGCAGCTAATAGTGTTTGTCCTTGCATGATCACAATATTCATCCCAGATTAAGGTGGTCCGTCAACTGAACATATTATGCTTTCATCTGTCCACTCTTTCAAAACCAATCGACTAAAAAAGGTTATTTTTAGTATGCGACTGTACCAACTCACTACATACACTGGATTATCTCCCTTCAGTTTGTCAATACATGTCAGATCGACCTTTATCAAAACATCAAGTCTAGCATTCGCATCCGCTAAATACGCGAACCCAGTGTGTGTGTGTGTGTGTGTGTGTGTGTGTGTGTGTGCGTGTGTTTATTTGCTTATGTGCGTGTGCAGTGGTGTTCACACACCTCCCCCCGAAACTTAAATTTTTTTCTAAGTGCATTCTTATGTTGGCCAATGAAAAGCATAGAATCTGTAACTGAATCGTTTGACAACGTTTTCAACCAAATAACTTTACATTGACTATTTTGGGGCAAACAGACACAAATTAATTCCTGCATTAATTACGTTTTCTTAAAAAAAATTAAGAGCACCCTCCTCGTTTTTTTAGTGTTCTACCACACGAACTATTAATGCACCCTATGGGGACACCCCACCCCCACCCCAGTTTAGAACTGGTGTCTATCAATGCTTGTGGTATGAGGCGACACGTGGATTGGGTGGTCAGGATTGTGAATTTGTTTGATTGCATACATATCCCAACTGTTTGGCATGTTGATCAACCACTGGTTGTCAAACTCATCCTTGATTATTTGCAGGCCGTCGTGATAAAACTGAAACATGCAGATGCAGGGTAACACAACATTCACTCACTTACTTATATGCTTTCATTGATGCTGTACAGAAACACATTTTACTATATCATTGTGTCTTGTATCTAAACATATCAAGTTTATTGCGTTTACCATACCATCATCAGCACTGCTGTTTCAGCTTGTCATCCGGCTCACCCGATTCACTCCTCATGCTTGTCCAAGGCATTATCCGTGATCCCAGTTCTCTGTGTCCGGTTGTATATGAGCATTTAATGCTGAAACCATCTTAAACATACTGTATTGTGCGTCCCTTGGGCATGCCAGAAACCTATGATTGTGGGTTCGAATCCCGGTTCGCCCCGATTATGTTTTTTAGGTTTGTCAGCACCATACCCGTGCTTGTGGGTGTCACGGAAGTGGTAAACGTCTGAGATCTGCATCACTTCGGGCTTTCCTCACACATTAAACTGACACGCCGCGATATAACTAGAATAATGTTAAAAATCGACGTTCAACCCATCTCACTCACTCCTAGTGTGGATTGACATGATACAAAGGAACGCTGAGGTATTTTCAGCATGGAACAGTTAAAATGAGCTTGAAAACAACAGACAACATATCTTTGTCAGTTTAATCCATGAAACATAGTCGTCAATGAGAAGAGGATGGACCTTGTAAGATGAGCTCAGGGGCCCCGTTCCACAAAGCGATTGTAGCACTATATGACTGTCGAAAGTCTATGTTAAAGTATGGGAGTTACAATCTTTGAAAGCTACGACTGCATTGTGGAAAGGGGCCCTGGAATTCGCGGTTGAGCACAAACATATGTAAATTGTATATGACCCCCTTTATCCTTCCAGAAGGGACCCTTGAAGACCCATCTTCCTGAGGCAAGAGAGTAAACAGACTTTTATAGTCAGTTAACTCCTTTGCCTCGGGGAGAGGGTGAAGACCAGGGTTAGAATTGCTCTTCAGCAACCCATGCTTGTCGTAAGAGGCGACTCGGGAACTGGTGGTCAGGCTTGTTGACTTGGTTCGTACCGTATCCCAATATTTAGTGGATCGATGAACATGATACTAATCACAGGAGTGTCAAGTACAGATTCGTTTGTGTACAGACTGCCGCCATATAGCTGGAATATTGCCGAGTGCTGCTTTAAGCAACAAACGACAAAATGAAATCCAAGCAGAAGCATGCAGGGAGCATAAACAATTTAACATATTAATTTTGTACAATCAAGAATTTCTGTGGATGAGCTAGCATCATCAGACAAGATAGGTGAGAACATGAACACAGTGAAACATTGTTAATATGGAACATACACTCCCGTGAAACAACCTATTCTCAGCGTCATTAGTCAAGGGTCACCTACGTATGCATTGTGTCAAACATGAACAAATACCAAGCGTCAGCTGGTATGAAAATGTTGACAATGTGATTAACATTTGAAAACAGTTTGTATATGCCAATGTCAAAGTGATTGGGTGTTTTCATGAAACCTGAAAAATGACTTTTTAAAACAATGAAAAGCGAAAGTGATGGAAAAAGCGACCCAAAACACAACGCAAACACTGATTTAGCCCATGCTCGTGTCAAACAACAGTCAATGTGGGACTTAGTATATAAAATGGTTCGTTCCCAATGCAACTTAACCAAACTCATGGAAGTTGAAAATGTGACATTTCATCTCTCATTTTCTCGGTAACTCCTTAATAATAACGCTGGGTATAGCTTAATATATTTTCGGATTTTCAAACCATGGGTAGGGAGTATTGTTCTGTAATGTACAAGTAGCCATTGGTATTTCTTTGGAAGACAGGGTTTTGTGACTAACAAGGTTTCACTGCACAGGAAAATGTATGGAGGATGCATTCAACAGGGGATTCACATCACTGGCATTGAGTAAAACAGGTGATATCATATCTACATATACAAGCAGCAGCATGTTGAAATACTAGGATTTCATAAAAATAGCACACCCATAATTTACTTCTGCCTGTCAACTACTTGAAAGGTTTACCATAACCTTAACCATACCATGATAAACAATGAAAACACTTATGGGTATTTTTGCATATTAATTGATTACAATTTTTTAGAATTTCAAAACAAAATCTTTCATAATATTTTCTTTAAAACAAACTCTATCACCTTAATTCATCCACATCTTACATGATTTTAGTGTCAACAATGAAGGCACCCTTGATTACCCAGTGTATTAAATATTGATTTTGATAAAAATACTGTTTTGACACTTTGACTGCCTCTGTCTAGTGGATATAATGTGTGCCCGGAGAGTAGAAGCTTGGTGGTTCGATCCAATCCATGTTACACAAAAGACATTAAAATATGGTATTGTTGTTTCCTTGTCTAGTGCTTGGCATTAAGGGGCTAAAACAAGGACTGGTTGGCGCTTGGAGTCAGTAAACTGTGCCTGAGTGGGCTAGCACTATGAAACCTGCATTAGTCCTAACTAGTACAAGCAGCCACACACAGATACAAATGTGCATTCACATCGCTATGTAAGTTCAGTGATCTTGTACGGACATTAAAAACATATTTGACCTCAGCTCCTTTTTACACCAGTTCATTAAAACAAGCAGCGATGTTACCAATTCTTTAAAAGTCTTTTTGCCTAATGTCTCCCATCGTCTTCTGATTCAAATAGATGTTCAAAGGTTTACTCCTTTATGGCAGTAGTTTTGAATAAGATCCATGTTGAAGAGTCCTTTTGATTGCTTGTTGATTTTCAAGCTCAAGAGTTCTGTTCTGTGATGATGAAGGGAATGGTGAGGAGGGGAAAAGGGGTTTAATGACTCATCCAAGATCATTGCACTTATATAGCAACATGCATATATGTGTGTGTGTGTGTGTGTGTGGATGCTTGTACTAGTCTGGACTGATGCCGATTTTATAGTGCTAGCCCACTGAGATACCATGCCGCAGTTTAACATGAATATCCCACTTAGACACAGTATACTGACCACACACAAGCCGACCAGTTTTAGTCCCTTAATGGCAAGTGCCAGGCAGGGTAACAACAAGTACCATCTTTTAATGTCTTTTGGTATGACGTGGTCGTACAATACACAGGTAAACTGAGGATGCAGTGATAGCTGCACATGGTCAAGGGAGGTACATTGCAGAGTGTGTTGAGTCCCATACAGTAAACTCCATAAATAAGCAACTATAGGCACCATCTGTTGTTTAACACCCCACTCAGCAATATTTCAGCTATATGACGGTGGTCTGTAAATAGTCGAGTCTGGACCAGACAATTCAGTGATTAATATCATAAGCATTGATCTACGTAATTGGGATCGATGACATGCATCAACCAAGTCAGCAAGTCTGACCACCCAATCCCATTAGTCGCCGCTTACTACAAGCATAGTCGCCTTTTACAGCAAGCATGGGTTGCTGAAGACCTATTCTACCCCGGATCTTCACGGGTCTATAAGCACCATGACTAAATGTGTCTGATGTATCTACAGTCATGTTATTCCTAAACAATAGTACTTCTTACGTCACACGGTGTGGCTGAAAAACTATTTGCCATATCCTACTTCCATCATATCTGCACTGGTTAGATTGTGCTCAATTTGGTAGCACTATGACACTGTTGCCAATCAATCTTTAGCCATCAACACCTTTCGAGACATCCCATGGAGGAGGTATCCTCAGATTTTCACGCGGAGAGGTATCACAGAAGTCAGAGTAAATGGACAGATGATCCTGGTGTCCGAGTTAAAAACCCAAACTGTCTTGTCCCAGAAAAACTTAAATATGCAGGATAAAAAGATAACAACTTCCAGATGAAATAAAAAATATACTACAGGAACTCTAGTGTACAAGAACAAAACTTAATATTCATCACCTATACCCTGACCATGGCTAAACACGAAGAAACCATTAATATCAAAAGCAGCTCTAACATACTGTGACCTTGACCTATCCCTATAGAACCACCCCAAAGGCCAGGCCCGAAACATGCTTAGCATGCATTGGAAGACATATTAAGTAACTAAACATGCTTAAACATGACAAACAAGGGGGACATATAATATATCAGATATAAAAATATCATAACCTTGAACACTAACGTGCACTTCACAGAACACATACTATTTTCATGACTCCAACCTCTCAAAAAGGATGAACTTAATTCTCATTAACATTGATTGATCAGGACTCTCCTTCATCAAAATATATTTCATTCCTATTTCGGAGAAAAATAAGTAGATTATTAAAATAAATTATTACATGGCAGTGTATTTTTGTGTGTAATAATGATTGCAACTGTGTTACATAGTTTCTGTTGAGATTTTGTAGACACTCGTTGCATTGTGTTTGGACAGTGATCAGTCGTCAGGATGCTAGTGTGGTGTGTAAACTTCTGGTCCGTATACTGCAGACGGTTATAGTATGTTATAGAAACATACAGAAATTTCTGTAATGTTCCAAGTTATGAGAGCACTGTCTGGAACTTTCCAGTGGCTGGGTAGGTTGTATATAAGGGGACAGTGGCTTTTTTGCATATCTCTAACACATATCATCTCTCCCATGCATTTTCATCATATCAAGACCAGCTTTCATGTGAGGATTGCTCATCATCACTGAATTCCTGCCTAGCCCATCACCGACTTTATTACTGACTTTTGCTATCACCACAGTTTTTTCTGTATTTGCTACTGACCACTGCCATCATATTATATGTTGCCATTATTGTACTTTCACTCTAATGTGTACTGCCATTGTTATTACTGTGCAGTAATTTGTATTGATTTGTAAACTTAGCGAATTTTGTAATAACATCTGTTAATTGTATACCATTTGTTGGTTGTTTGTTGGTTTCACACTAAATGCTTTTATATACAGATTTTTGGATTAACATACTGTTTTAATTTGGGAACCGACACATAATAAAATCAGGAATAATTTACCCATGAAACTTCAGGAAGTCTATCAACATTATGCTTTTGCTCAACATGCACTTCACATAGCTGTTACACTGTTCAAATCACAACTATTTGAGACGGAAACAGATCCACAATAATATGCAACCAGAAGGACAGATGTCCTGAAGTGTCTACATCCCCAGGTTCTGGTGACCTCATCCCCAGGTTCTGGTGACCTCATCCCCAGGTTCTGGTGACCTCATCCCCAGGTTCTGGTGACTACATCCCCAGGTTCTGATGACCTCATCCCCAGGTTCTGGTGACCTCATCCCCAGGTTCTGGTGGCCTCATCCCCAGGTTCTGGTGACCTCATCCCCAGGCTCTGGTGACTTCATCCCCAGGTTCTGGTGACCTCATCCCCAGGCTCTGGTGACCTCATCCCCAGGTTCTGGTGACCTCATCCCCAGGTTCTGGTGACTTCATCTCTAGGCTCTGGTGACCTATCCCCAGGTTCTGGTGACATCTCTAGGCTCTGGTGACCTCATCCCCAGGCTCTGGTGACTTCATCTCTAGGCTCTGGTGACCTCATCCCCAGGCTCTGGTGACTACATCTCTAGGCTCTGGTGACCTCATCCCCAGGCTCTGGTGACTACATCTCTAGGCTCTGGTGACCTCATCTCCAGGTTCTGGTGACTTCATCCCCAGGTTCTGGTGACGTCATCCCAGGTTCTGGTGCTCCCACTGAATAATGTCCTAGTCTTTGTCATGAGATAAGCTTGACACCAGCATGAGACAGGCAAGTAAAATGTTTTATGTCAAGGATTGGTAGCTGGACATAAAGTATCAATTTTCATAGGCAACATGGTAAATGGCTAGTTTATGTACAGCTACAAGTTCCAAAAGGATGTGAACACCATTAAACAATCATGGACCTTTCAATGCCATCCAGACAGACAGATAGCAGACTTTCTGTATTTCTTTTTCTAGTATTCTTCCATAACATAATCCACTTTTTCGGCTACCCTTTTGCAGCCAGTTACAGAGAAAACCTGTTCACTTTCAGGCCAGAATGTGAGTTCTTCCACAACACTTTCAACTCTGTCATCAGTCAATACATAACCCTTAGCAACCATGCTGTCCTTGATGCATCTCCTTACATGGGATTTCTCCAGTGGTAGGAAGGGGATGTATGCTGTTATCATGTGCTTGGAGATCAACTCACTGTGCCAAAGTCCAGCTGAAACATATTTCAACAGTTAATACTAGGATTTTATTTACTATGTTGACTGAATATTCAGACTTGTTTTCAGTTTTATCAAGAAATGCATGTCCATCAGGGGTGTGGAAATATAAACATTGCGAACTTGTCCCTGCACAAATAAACAATAAAAATTGATTTGTCTGGAGACAAAACATATGTGTCCATTTAAAGGGACGCAACTCTGCACAGCAAATTGTGGCACCTCCGACGACTGGACCACCGGTGTCCCCTCATGCCTCAAGTAGGCCAGTAACTTGTAATATACTGATGATCGGTTACATAACAGTTCAACATATCCCAGAAAGCTTGTTGACAGCATAATTCAACTGTGACTTTAGATATGTGAGACAATGAAAATTTGAATAAAATCAATAATTAAATGATTTTACTTTTTGAGTTGAGTGCAGCACGGGAAATTATTTTTTCAACATCTGCCATTTTGATATCTTTCCGGGGGTAGCCGTTTGACCAATGTTGATACACATATTGCGTGATGTCCCCTCCGGCTGTGTTGCTGTCAACAGAGAACATACCAACATGGACATGGTGAAGGTAAAAACACAACAATATGTACCTGCCCTGCTTTGTCTTCTGTTGTCTCTGGAATATTTCCAACATTACATTGTAGGTGTCATAATAAAAAGCACATTGACATTTCAAAATAACAGAGCAACACAAATTTTCATAATGACAGATTCATAATGAAAATACTCCAAAACATGTATTGTAATTGTAATTCCACAAACCACATGATTACGGCAAATCAAATATGAACTTGAAAAAGGCTTAAATGGCTGAATAAGGGGCAGCTACCAATACTATACAGGTGTCATGCACAGACATCAAGCCAGGACATGAGCTAACTTGAACATTCAAGTTCAGGTGAGCTAAGAAGTCAATTAAATTGCATATTGACAGATTTTCTTGTGTCATTTTGTTGTTGAGAAAAGTATGAGTAAAGAAGGCAAAAGGTGATCAGGGCTCACCAATGCTGCACCTCTCCTGTTGGTATAGAAACTGTACCCCCAATTGGAAAAGAATCCATGAAGTAGTTTTCAAAAATATTTCGCATAAATGTTGAAGTATTTTCAAAGAATTCTAAGCAAAACATGAAAGAAATATTTATTTCTGATAATGGCTGACCTGAGGAAAAGGAATATTGCTTTGCGGTAATTGACACCTCCCAGATTTTCGTAGTAGTCGAGATACGGCTTGATGGTGTCAATGAGACCTGACGGCATCTTGTCCATCTCGTCAAATATAAACAGCGAGCGAGAACAGCGGGTGATGTTGCCCTCAATCCAAGCTCGCAGCTGGTCCTGTAAGATTGATGTAAGCTGTGTCAGTGGTCACCATCATAACGATAAACGCAAACATTTGATGTATTCAACATACAATGATCATTTCTGATACATGGTGGCCATGTGGTCTAAGGCACCATGCGCTGTGTCGAATTGCATCCCTTGGCCATGGCAGGATCTGCTTATCGTGGGTTTGAATTGAAAATCCTTCTGATTATGATTCTGGATTGTCAGCACATTTCACCTTCCTCATAGATGTCACCAAGCTGGTACCCATAGCGTTAATCTGACCATGGTTGCTGTTAATAACGGTGAGTTGAGCAATCTTTTGATTGCTTCAAACACGATTTCGCCGAAATTAATTAAAACAATATTAAAAGGAATTTTGAAATTTTATTAAAGAAATAAGTTACAAACATAAGTCCAGATATACAATGAACACTTTTTATAACCAGACAGTGTAATCACAAGATTACATTGTGTATTCCAGTACAGATTTGCTGACATGGTATTTCCGGTGTTACGTGCTCATGGTAATGTCTTTGTGTTGGGGGAAAAAAACATCAAAACTCAATATGGCGTGTATAATGCGCACCCCCTTCTACACAGCTGTGTTTTTTTTGGGAAAAAGTGCACACTTTACTCAAGAACATAGAGTAAATGTCTCCATCCTGTGCAGGCATTGCGACATGATCACAAACACTGATGGGTATTAGCAGAAAATTCTGTATTGCAACATGGATGATTTTTATCCTGGGAAGTGGAATACATAAACATGATAAAGACTACTACCACACAAACCCAATAACCATGTACCTTATAGAATGGCACCATTCCTTCATGTGGAAACTCTTTGGTTGCAGAGATGAGATGAACAAACTTGCTGTGCATCCCTTCCTTATAAAGGTGCTCTGCTACAATGCGGCTCACGTAGTTCTTCCCAGTGCCAGTCCAGCCATGGAAGGAAAGAGCCAGAGCCTTGGCTGGTTCAGCAGACTTAAGGTGTCCTCGAATGTGATTGTTCACAGCTCTTAGTACAAGATGTTGTCCATACAGCTTTTCATTCAGCTGCTTTGGCAGTCCTGAAGTATATATATTTTTAATGAGATGAATTTAATCATAAACATGTTGCAAAAACACTGCAGCGGTTCCTCCATCGCCAATTTTAGAGGGCCCCAGAAATCATAACACACCACTATGCATTTCCAGTATTATATCATTAGATTCATATACGATTCAATTCGAATCAATTGGTATTCGAGTTTGTTTGTTTCACAACTTTATATCCGAATGTAACTGTTGGTAGTTGAATTTTGCGATTGGTGATACACAATCGTTGTATCTAACAGTTGTAATATACACATTAGTTTTATTTTAATCACAAATTTATAGTTTTTGTTGTGTATTTCATACACCATGGACACTAAATATGTCTATATTTAGGGTCCATGGATATGCTAGGATTTAACTTGTCTGTGTAGATCTATTTCAATTTATTTAATGCATATGTTAAGTAAAAATGCAGCTTGTCTTGAGCTTTGCCTGTCTATTCAAGTATGGTAAAATGTGAAGTCCCATGCCTCTAGCTAGCTAGAAAAGCAATTATAGGTGTAACATGTTTAATGATTTCGACCTATTGTCAACACATGATCCCATGCTTGATAATTTCTACTAGGAAACATGGATGCTCGCTCCTTCAAACATATCATACCAACACAGTGGTTGATTCAGAAGACAAAGAACCAGAAATAACTCGCAAACCAGAGGGGCAATACATAAGCAAATATGGTTTGAAATCAGGTTTGAAGAGAATAATAAATTGAGGAGTAGATTGGGGAGTACTGCACTTTACCGGGCTAACTTTTCAAATCCAATTAGCGCTGTGGGGGCTTCACCGTCTCTGCTAATTAATGTGTTAATTAGCCGACGCTCTACCACTGGACCACAGGCGCTATCACATGTAATCAGTGCTCGTTTAACGGGTCATTAGAATCCCCATTGACATGCATGCGTAATTCAGTAAGCGATGAATTGCGCATGTGTGTGACGTCACGGTCCGCTCTCCCATTCATCTTTTCTTGAAACCACACCCGCAATTGTTTATGTCAACATAACCGACCAATAGGATTAACCAAATTAACGCTTGAAAAGGTAAGAATTTACGGCTAACCCTTGCCCAAAGCAAGCTAACCCTAATGACTGAAAAGGGGTTTTGGATCGTAAAGACGTGTAAGTTTCCCTAAGACCGAAAACGGGTGTTGGATCGTAAAGACGTGTAAGTTTCCCTACGACCGAAAAACGGGTGTTGGATCGTTAAGACGTGTAAGTTTCACTAAGACCGAGAACGGGTGTTTGATCGTAAAGATGTGTAAGTTTCCCTTAGACCGAGAACGGGTGTTTGATCGTAAAGATGTGTAAGTTTCCCTAAGACCAAATACGGGTGTTGGATCGTGAAGCGAGAGTCACCAGAGCGTGAGCCACGGTAACGGTATACATAACGAGACGGCGGTGGCACTACAGCGCGGTAATTGAGCGGATGGTAGAGCTCGGGCTGCGCCCGGTAAACTGCATTGTTGCCGTAACGGATTACAAAAGGTAAAATGTGACTGTAAGTCATGTGGAGAATCGCATTGTCGCCAATACCTGTGTAGTTGTTGTGTATCCATCGGTCTCCACATGTTTCAGTAACGTAGCTTTTTAAGACATCGTACCCAGACAGGAAGGCGGCAGCTACCAGTGCGGCGGCAGCGGAAATGCCAGAAATTGGTTCAATACACACAACTAAATGCAAAAAACATGTACTACTGAGAAAATATGCCGTAAATATTACACAGCCTCGCATTTTTACAAAATCCACACATCGAATGAATAAGGTTGTTTCGCTTTCGCTTTCGACGCGGAAGTTACTTATCTCCCCTTACTTGCAGCTCCACACTGTACGGTAGTGTGCGGAGTTCAACGAAGGGGCGCCACTCTAACAACTCATCACATGACAGCTTTGTGTTGACACTCACTTGTAGAGAGATGAACCTCAACTCTGTTTCCTGAAGATGTAATGAAACGATCGTGGGAATAAAGAAAAGGTATGTTGATAGAAAATAATGTACACGTCACTGGTTCTAATCATACATTAAATCTTTATCGGTAGAATTGTGAAACGCAGGCCTGCAGTTGTGAGAACACTGAGTGGTTGTGTGGTTTCCTTGGGAGACGAAACCAGTTCAATCACGATATTGGGATGTTGTTTCAATTACCAAATCATAGGGTGTCACATAAGATAGGCGTAGGTGCTGAATGCTTGAAGAAAATGGACACTGACTTGAGTCATGGTGCTACTTGATACTAACGACTTGGTCCCGTGGATACTCGTGTGTTAAACAGCGAGAAGTGCAGCTGTTCGTGACTAACACCCGTCACGTACCACATTAGTCACATACAGATCAAGATGGGGAAGGAACTGCACAATCTGTATCCATACCTCGTCGTATAACCCATAGCCCTTGGACGGGTAACTCAGGTACTCGGTTAGGGTGGGTCCTAAGTAGGATCGACAGGACTACCCGGACCCGTGCTTAGTCACAGGATATATTGTTTAATAACAATAAAATGAAAACTTGCTATTGTTCGCATTTCTTCCTGACTGCACGCATTCCTTCTAACTTTCATCTTTGAGTTTTGACTTTTATCTTTAAGTAAAGATATATAGCTTTAGTCAACTTCAGTGTATGAATGAACAGACCATTTTAAACATGTTTCTAAGTAGTCATTTTTTCCCCCAACTCGTGAGACCTACAGTGGGTGTCCGGGTAGGGGTTTAGTGTAGCCTTATTATTCCACATACAAAACTAGATGGAGATCGAGGGATGGGGAGGGGTTGGGAAGCATACCAAACATTATTATGATTACATGTGGAAGTTTGATAGTTGTCATTGTCATGTTTTCAGCAATAGAACTACCAACGCAAAACCTTTCGCAAAGTTGTTGCATTCAGAAAGAAATCTCTTTCATTTTCACCTTGTCACTGGGGAAACTGTCATTGCATCATTATGTTCAATATCATGTTCAGTTTGGGAGATTTTTATGCTCTGATACACTAATCATGCTACTTGTATTTTATAATCTTAGGCTAATTTTTCAATAATAAACACACCCTACCCAAGCTCAGTTAATCATGTTAATATATTGGAAATGATAGAAAAATGTAATTAAATACATGTAACAGTGTAAGTGAAATAATCATAAAGATTGATGTTTTGACTTTTCAATTTTCAGAATTAACAGTTAACATGGTAAATGAACTGTAGAAGTAGTGTCCCACATTTGAGATAGGCATTCATTGTTTGACAAAGAACAATGCAAGATGTATCAGTGGTCGCATGGTGGTGATTACCTTGACCCAGTGACCGACATTAACTAATACATCAGGAGATAACAAATATTTCAGAAGATGGCATTGATAACAGATATCTCCATTATGAAGTTACCTATATCATATATCCCAGCCAGGCACAGTGGTTATATCACACAAACCTTAATCAGCTGTCCACGCATACTGGGAGTGCAGTGTGGCACAGTTGGCGACATCCTTTTGATCTTGATCTAAGAGTATTTACCTTGAACCTGTTATATAAAAGATAGTACATGTACCATCAAGTACTCAGTTAACATATTAACTGTGGAAATTACTGTGTCTGTTTAACTATAATAATGTTAATAATGCATTTATGATTCATCAGATTCCATACACCGAGTAAATACTCACGGCGCTATGTTATTACCCCAGGGGCGGTCGGGTAGCCAAGTGGGTAAAGCGTTTGCTTGTCACTACTAAGACCCTGGTTCTATTCCTGACATGGGTACAATCTGTGAAGCCTATTTCTGGTGTTCCATGCCATGATATTGCTGGAATATTGCTAAATGCAGCGTAAAACCAAACTCACTCACTATTATTACCCCAGATCCCGTGGAGATTCTGGTTAGAATTGGTCTTCAACAACCCATGCTTGTCGTAAGAGGAGAATTGCAGGATCGGGTGGTCAGACTCGCTGACTTGGCTGTTGCATGTCATTGTATCCCTATTGCGTAGATCAATGCTCATGATGTCAATCGCTGAATTGTCTGGTCCAGACACGATTATTTACAGAATGCCGTCATATAGCTGGAATATTGCTGAGTGCGGTGTTAAACAACAAACAAACATTATTACCCTAGACTTATGATCAGTGTGCACTCAAATTTCATTCTCAGCCAACTCTGGAATATTCAAATGGGTTGGGTGATGGATGTTGTGACATTAGAGCATAACTGTATGTCTGCGACACATATGTGGTTGGTATTGTTATACTTGTTGCCATGGTTACTAGTGTTACTCTTGAAACTGTGTGTGTATTTTAGGCCCATTCTCCTCTCTTGCATCCCATTTTTGCCTGTTAAGAAGAGACTATTGTTCCTTATCTGGAGTGTATTATTGTTACCATGGTTACTGAACCTGACTCCTTATTTTTGGGGCTATATGTGAGTCTAGTTAGTGGGATACTAAAGCAGTGCTGGATGGAACTTTTGAATTTATTGCCTTTCAATTTTCATGTGCATTATCATGTCCCTTCTGTTATTTATTGACTGTTCAATCAATCTGTGTAATCAAGATCATGTGTTGTTGTTGTTGTTGTTGTTATGGAATGTTGCAAGCTTCTTTACCTGCATCAACATAAGTTTCATCGACGTTTGTGGCTTTGTTCTTTTTGCAGTTTATACAGAACAAGATCATTGAAGATGGCGTCCCTTATTGATTTTAATCATGGCCTTCTGTTTGCTAACCATACAAATGGCTCCACTCCAGAAATTCCTCAATACCTGGGATTCATCAGTTGTGCTGTGTCAGCAACGTTTTATGGCACAAACTTTATCCCAGTCAAGAAGTTTGAAACAGGAGATGGTAAGAAAGGAAACTTCCAACTGATCATGTTTATATGTTTATCATTGTTTGTACAAATTATAGACATACCTAGATGGAAATAGACATTTGTTATGTGAAACTTCGTCTATTCTATGTTTGCATGCATTGACAAGTTTTATAGTCTACTTTCTCTTCAGCTTAGATTGACAGAGGAAACCATTTTTAGTTGATAAATATCTTTGTGGCTCTATTTTTTTCATGTTTTGAACTCAGAATAAATTTAACTGTTTGATGGGCTTCTAGAAATGGCAAATTTGAAATAAGTAAGAGAAACATACAACTTTATGGATAACAACTTCTGGTTTATTGCATATAGCTACGTTTTGATGTAGATTCTTACACCGTTATCAAGTTGTATGTATTTATTACCTAGAACTAATGTATTACTACTTCACCTTCATTGTACCGGGGGCGGTCGGGCAGCCTAGTGGTTAAAGCGTTCACCCGTCACGTTGAAGACCCGGGTTCGATTCTCGGCGTTGGTACAATGTGTGAAGCACCTTTCTGGTGTCCTCCGTCGTGTAATTGCTGGAATTTTGCTAAAAGCAGCGTAAAACTATACTCACTCACTCATTGTACCATGTTTCAGGCATGTTTTTCCAGTGGGTGTTATGTAGTGCCATCTTCATCGTGGGGCTGGTAATTCAGATGGTCCGCATGTCGAGCTTCTACTCGTTTGTGATGGTTGGAGGAGCTATCTGGGCTACAGGTAGGCACTCACAGTCCATGGAGCATCTTTGCTCTAACATTTCAAGGTCAAGTTCACTTGCTATATGATTTTGCTTTTGGATGAGGGATGTCAAAAAACTGCAAAAGGTGATTTCATAAGCGTAAGAATGACTTAATTTGTTTGGTATTATAAGCAACGATCCAGGCCATTGGGGTACGATGACATGCAATCAGCCAAGTCATTGACCCAAACCACCCAGTCCATTTTAATTTCCTGGGGTCATATTCTAATGTGGACTCTCCATTGCACACTTGGAGGCGGTTGTAATCTTGAATATTATATGAACGTTAAAGCAAACTCAAACTTTCTACAGTTTGAGCTTCACTTTATGTATAGGATAAGAGACGTGTGAAGGTTTTTGTGATATATTAAACCCTCATTCAGTGTATTAAACAGCAGTTATCCGTAGTAGGACAATACATCGATGGATCGCGTTTATTTTACTTCTCGATAAAAGTATCGATCACAGTGGCCATGGTGGCAAACTAAATAAAAAATATTAATACATACCTTAAATGTTTTCTTTAATAACTGTTACCCCAAACATTAATTATTAATGAAAATTATTAGTGAAAGCATAATATATTATGCCATTATGCTAAACTTGAAATTGCCATATGTAAATCATCAGTGTGACAGGTATTTGGCCATCCTGTCTGAAAAAGATGGCCTATGCAACACATAAGAGCACATGCAAGTATTGTGATATGTATCGGATCGTGTACAGTGTATCGTGATACATATCAGATCACACAGTTGGCGTATCATCCCAGCCCTAGCAGCTATCAACAATTTTGTTTCAAACATACTTTCCCTGAGCCTTAGGACATGGGCATTAACTATCTCTTGCAGGCGTCCATGTACTTGTAAATTGGATTCTGAAAGGCAATGCGGTTTATCAGTGCCTCTGTAGTCTAGTTGATCACTCACAAGAGCACAGAAATGAAGGTGGTCACTGAAATATAAAGAAGACATTTGTCATTTGATTTTACACCATTGTGACATTTCCTTATGTAGATTGTGTTCATATGAAAAATATATCTCCAGCAGGGTACACTCACATGTTACAATATCACCGGAATGTGTATGTATAAAAGTCCAGGGATGTTGTAACATTCCTGTATGTGAGATTTAACCTTATTGAAGAATAATAACATAAAGTCACTGGAGGTCTATAGTAATGTTAATTGCCCAATGCACTTACACAAAGTGAAAGTAAATTCAGAAATGATTATTATCCAATATGTTCATGCAATCGGATTGTTGTAATTTATTATTGTAGAATCAATGATAACTATTCATATGAGGTTTGTTTACCTGATATAAAGATTATTATTTAGCATGTATAACATTTCCTGCAGATATGTTGATAACTGTTCCAACGGACACATAGGGGATAATGAGGTTAACTAGTTTACCATGTTTACCCTAATGGTTTTATCAGCTCACCTTGTCTGAAACATTTGTGTAAGCTGATTCATTATCATTGCTAGTCTGTCATGAGCTTTTACGTTTACAAAATCTCATTTATAACCACAAGGGTGACAGTGCTGTACCTTTCTATGCCTCTAAAATGCTTCCTGAATTCTGATAAACATGGCCCCATGGCAGCCATATTGAAATTTTGTATTTTGGTCCTTTACTTTTTTGTATTAATTTATTAATTGCCTTTGTGATCATCAGAAATGTTTTGTTTTTGTCACCAGGCAATATATGTGTTGTACCCATCATCAAGACGATAGGTCTTGGACTGGGGCTGTGTGTCTGGGGCTCCATTAACCTCCTGGTTGGATGGGCAACTGGCAGGTGGGTTGCTTCTTCATCTCTACATGTCGGTTGTCCATGTGTGTAGTGTAAACCCACCTATCCATATAATTATATCTACACCTGATGCTGATGAATAAGGTAGTGTCCTAGGGTCAGTTCCACAAAGCGATCTTAGCGCTAAGATGATCGTAACTCCCATACTTTAACACAGGCTTACGACAATCCTAGCACTAAGATCGCTTTGTGGAACAGGCCCCTTGGCTCTATAATCTGTTGCTTGAATTTTAAGGTAATATTAATGCTGTTTTGTTAGGAGGTAGTCTAGTGGTTAAAGCATTCACTTGTCACACCAAAGACCCGGGTTTGGTTCACCTCATTGGTACAATGTGTGAAGCCCTTTTCTGGTGCCCCTGCCAGGACATTGCTGGAATATTGCTAAAAGCAACGTAAAACCATACTCACTCACATGCACACTTCTGTTACAGGTTTGGCCTTTTTGGGTTGACAGCGTCGATCCCTAGTGATATCGGGATGAACTATGCTGGTGTTTCCATAGCTGTCTTCAGGTAGGTTATCATTTTTCCCCAGCAGGTCTCTGCTACTGTACTTCCACCAATGTAGGCTTAGCTCAGATGGCATTTTGTTTATTTCGTGGCTTTAAAGATTCGACCAACTGTAGTGTCACCAAAAGCCGTTATCAGAAAATAAAATGAAAATAGTTGGAAATGTATATGTATGTAAATGGAATATATATAACTGTACTTATTCACCTCACATTATTCTTGATAATTGACAAAATTATGTGTGGTTGTTGATAACTGAAGAAAAACTATCTTTACAAGAGACTCTGACCGTTTCCGCGTCAAGTTGACAGAACGTCTGATTGGAGAGTGGAAGGTTGGTGGTTTGATCACCGGCCGCGTCATACCAAAAGATGTTAAAAGATGGTACCGTATTCAACGTAATAAGCACCCCGGGCGCTCTCAAAATTAGAAATAGGGGGCGCTTATTAGAATATTATTTTGAGTTGAAAGATCGTATATTTCGTGGTTTTATGCTAACAGCCTGAAGTGTTTACATACGACAGATATATTTTTCAAGAATTTAATTGCCCATAATTAAGGGTGATATAACACACGAGTGTGTATTATACACGAATAAATAAGTCTTGTGTACATTGATCAATCGGACGGGGTGCTGATTGGGATTGTTCACTAGCCAATATATTAGCAAATATCGTCATGGGCGCTTATTAGAGCGGAGCGCTTATTACGTCAAATACGGTACTTGTTGTTACCCTGAATGGCGCTTGGCATCAAGGGGGAAAAACAAGCACTTTTTGGCTTGGCGCATGCTTATCACTTCAGAAATGCAACAATGTTGAATGCGACGTAAAACCCTATTTCCCCACACCTCACTTCACACGAGAAACTAATTCATTTAGTTGACCTTTTTAACTTTACAATTTGATGTTTAGGTGTGTCTGTAACAAAACACTGACCACTCTAGTGGTGTTTCAGCTCTGTGATATATTCACTGGTCAAGCCGGAAATCTCGCCAACACGCCTGGAGATGACGGTATCGGTATCTGAGGACACAGAGCCGTTGCTCAACGAGGTTAGTACTGTGTTTGTGTTACACTGTTACCATGGTCACAGTAGGAGTCAGCTGAGGTTCTGCAGCTCGCCTTTCTTGTTTCCTGTCACTTCTGGAATCTTTGTCACAAACATTTATGAAGGCCGTGTGGCATGGTGTCGTAGTGGGCTAGCACTATAAAACTGGCATAAGCATATTTTCTTGAGTATAGTGCACACTTATTTTCCCCAAAAACACAGCTGTGTGGACCATGTAGAAGGGGGTGCGCATTATACACACCATAATAAGTTTTGATGTTTTTTTCCCCCAACGCAAAGACATTACCGTGAGCATGTAACACCGGAAATACCATGTCAACAAATCCATACTGAAGTATGCAATTAATCGTGTGATTACACTGTCTTGTTACTGGTTATAAAAAGTGTTTATGTATATCTGAACTTATGTTTGTAACTTATTGCAATCATTTTATTCAAAATTCCTTTTAATATTGTTTTAATTAATTTTGGCGAGATTGTGTGTGAAGTGATTGCACAACTCACCGTTATTAACAGCAACCACGGTCAGATTATCGCTATTATGCCTTGAAACAAACTTTAGTTGACAGAGAATGGATACATATATCCAATGGATACATAAATGCCATACTTTGACTCATTAAAAGTCATATTTGTTGTAGTTTGACGATTCTATGTCAACATGTAGTTCTCACGACCACGTGCATGGGAGCCTCATTGGTGACTGGTCAAATTGTTTCTATTGAAAAAAATAACCGGCAATAGCGATCAGCTGCACTGAAGTGCTATGCTTAGGGTTATTAATATTTTAAATATATTTAGTAAAAGCTGCAACTAAAATAACAAGATACTGGAATATATTATTCCTGATAAAAAAAATAGTTTCAGATACAATTTTCCCCGATCCTTGCATCAAAATCCTGTAAAGTTTTATCAAGTTTTAACCGAATCACCGGTAGATTCCAAGAAAACGTGTGTACAGCTGATTGCTGTTTCCGGCTTAGTTTACGAGAAAATACACAAGGTATTCTTTATTGCTGGATGTAAAACACTCCTCAGCAGAACAAAACATACATTTTAAACGGTGAATCAACATGTCTAGTGATTTTCTATCCCAAATTTCAAATTTGTTCTGTCCAAGTTTCTTATCACCAATTCATTTACCAGAATTTGCTAAAGGGGTACGGTGTAATATTTTTCTGCGCGTAATATTTGAAATATTTTTTTTCAAAAACACTGAATCCGCCAGAGGGGGATGTGCATTATGCTTGGGTGCACAATATACTCAAGGAAATATGGTAGTTTGGACTAGTACAAGCAGCCACACACATGCATGCACATTGCTATGTACCGTATTCGATGTAATAAGCGCTCGGGGCGCTATCAAAATTAGAAATTGGGGGCACTTATTAGAATATTATTTTGGTGAAACAAACAGAATTAAAGGATAAATTTCGTGGTTTATATGAAATGTTTATAAACAACAGATACAATTTTCCAGAATTTAATTGCCCATAATTAAGAGTGCATATAACACACAAGTGCGTATTATACGTGAATAAATAAGTCTTGTGTACATTGATCAATCGGAAGATTGTTCACTAGCCAATATGTTAGCAAATATTGCTGTGGGCGCTCATTAGAGTGGGGCGCTTATTATGTCGAATACGGTAAGTGCAATTTTACTTCTCCTCACTTCTAAGATCAACCTTTTTGACACATTTTATCATTTATTATTGTCATTTTTTGAGGCATGCTTACATCTACAGACTTTATAATATGCAAATGTTTCTTAACAAATATTACCACATCAAATGTCAATTTCATTTATGTAACTGGTCAACATCACTTTTGATGTCTTTGTGAAAAGTAGTTGTATTATACTTATCTTGACTACATCACGGAGTTTATTGAGAACAGAGGACTTCCTACAATGTACAAATGATGTACTGGGTGGTGGGGTAGCCTAATGGTTATTGCGTTCGCTCAGCATGGCGAAGACCCGGGTTTGATTCCCCACATGGGTACAATGTGTGAAGCCCAATACTGGTGTCCCCCGCTGTGATATTGCTGGAATATTGCTAAAAGTGGAGTAAGACTATACTCACTCACTCACTCACTCACTCCTGGAGTGTGCTATGATGGACATAAGATACTTTTGGCACATGCAATTGAAAGTCACACATAGTTCATGTGGTCAACTTGAGGTTATTGTGGAACAAGGTCACATTATTCTATGCCAAATACTGCTGCACTTTTACTTGGACACTTAGTAAATGTTGAATCTTGGGAAGTTGTCTTGATTATTGTCAGTTTGGAAGTAATGTTTTCGGACTGATTTTCTTGATTTGTGGAAATACAACTTGCAACTAAAGTTTGTTTCAAGGCGTCAATAGCGGTAATCTGACCATGGTTGCTGTTAATAACAGTGAGTTGTGCGATCTACCGATCACTTCGCATACGATTTCGCCGAAATTATTATAAACATTATTATATTAATATATAATTAAAAAAATAAATTTCAAACATTAGTCTGGTTAAACAATGAACATTTTTTTTATTACAAGATATTATAATAATAGAATTAAATAATATACTTCAGTTCGGATTTGTTGACTGGTATTTCCGGTGTTACATGATTGCAGTGATCAGCTGATAATGTTTTCTGAGACGGGGGAAAACATTGTGTCTTTGGAAAACTTGAGTTTATTGAAAATGTTAGTAAATTTTGGGAGCCATGCTTTACCGCTTGCTATACTGAAGCGCTATATTGAAGGGCGCAATAACGAGGGAACTCTGTAGTGGCGAAGGGGTGCTTTGCTTTCTGTCCTTGTCTGTGTCTGTCCTCCTTTGCGCCAGCTTTTGTGCCTGTCCTTGTTTGTGTGTTCGACAACATGTACAAAATCAATGAAGAAAATCTCAATTTTTTGACAATTTTGGTTGATGGTGTACATTTTGTTCACCTGGTTGTTTTGCTCATTATGTTCAGAACCAGGAGAATATCCAGACTCGGCGACACAGTGGCTCCCTCTATGGGTCAAATTCAGAAGATATCCTTGTCTTCAACAAGCGACGGGTGAGGGATGGTCTCTTATGTTTTGCATGGCGAAGGTTTGGTGTGGGACTGTGCACAAATTCTACTCCAGTAATCTAACATTCAATTCAAAGCCTAACCATCTTCTAACACACTATGGACTGCCTCCGTTGTCTAATGGTAGAGTGTCCGCCCGGAGAGCGGAAGGTCTGGGGTTCGATCCCCAGCAGCGTCATACCAAAAGACGTTAAAAGATGGTACTTGTTGTTACCCTGTCTGGCGCTCGGCATCAAGGGGCTAAAACAAGGACTGGTCGGCTCGGAGTCAGTATACTGTGTCTGAGTGGGGTATTCATGTTAAACTGCGGCATGTTATCTCAGTGGGCTAGCACTATAAATCGGCATCAGTCCGGACTAGTACAAGCAGCCACATACACACATATACACGTGCATGCACGTCGCTATATAAGTGCAATAATCTTGGACGAGACGTTAAACCCCATTTCACCTCACCTCACCTCTAACACACTATGAGGACATATTATATTTTGATTCTATTAGCTATGAGTGTTTATGTTATTGTATAATTTATACTGTTACCATGGTTACTTTTACATATCAGCAAAAAGGAAAATGAAACCTGATTAAATTAAGATAAAAGCTTGTGGTATTTGTTCTTGCATATCTGTTCACCAGATCTGTCGGTCACTGCAATGTAATATGGTTGCTTGAACACTCCTGAGCATATATCTAGAAAGGTCTGGAAAAACAGTAGACATTGTAGAGCTGGCACCTGAGATTTGTTTCCCTGTGTTTGCAGTCTAGCAGCAGTATGAGCAAATCAAACGATAATGGGGGAGAATCCAAGATGGAGGACGACACATTACTGGATAAAATGTCCCCGGTAACAAAGAAGATTGTGTGAGTATTCATATAGGCCATATATTTTTTAGTGGCTAGTGAGACTGGTCGACAACCCACCCCCCCCGACTGCATTGGCAAAAACAAAAAAATATCTTTTGAACCAAAAATGGTTTAGGCAAAAATAAAAGGCCTAAGTCAACTACTAAGATCATGGTGATGTCATTATGCGGTTGCTGTAGTTGCAGCAGAGGTAAAAAGCATGTTGGCATGTGGTCATGTGTACAGCACACAGGTCACAAATCAGGTGAATTTAACAGCATTCATCACTGAGAGTCCTTGAATGGGTGACCGTGTTTGGCAGCTTGGCATCTGAGAGTGTCGTTGGCATTTGGTCACACAGAAGCACACACATTAAGGGTCTGGCTTTGTTTCAAGCTTTGCCTCTGTTCACCCAGCATTGAATGGGTACCGAGTAGGATGAGATGGTAATGTGACTGTTAACCTTCTTGTGCCTTACAGGCAGCTTGGGTTGTATATACGCCCTAGGGAGCTGAGAATTAAAATTCAGTGCATTTTGCTGTTGACTGACGCAATAATTCTCTGTGGGCTTTGAGATTGATATACATCAAAGGAAAGCACCATAGAATTGGACTATTATTGTTGTTGTTGTTGTTATTATTATTATTAAAACCAACAAACAATATGTTGATTTAACTGTGTAAGGCGTCTATATCATCCATAAAAATATTTTGGTCTGTAGCCTGCTGCAGGGCTTGTAGTGTAAGTAAATTATCACGGAAATTGTCACAAAGTTTAACTTGTCAAGTTAACAGATTTGATAGAGTGTGTGTGATGTGTGATGTAATGTGTAAGATGCTTTATTTTTTACAAAGGAATCATTAACTGATTGTGGTAATTATTTTGTTTTAAATTACTGATTTTAGACCCCAGTATCCCAGTTATTCCTAATTTCCACAAACTTTTGTTTGTCATCTCTGTAATGGCACAATAGCAAATAGGGAATGAACTTTGCTCATCATGCTCTTTGTTAGAGTGAGTGAGTGAGTATGGTTTTACGCCGCTCTTAGCAATATTCCAGCAATATCACGGCGGGGGACACCAGAAATGGGCTTCACATATTGTACCCATGTCGGGAATCGAACCCGGGTCTTCGGCGTGACGAGCGAATGCTTTAACCACTAGGCTACCCGACCGCCCTCTTTGTTAGACATGTTAGATATTACCATAGTTACTGACACTTGTGTTTTTGGGGGGTCAGCCTGTCAACCGTTGCCATGTCTATCTCCCCAGGGGGTTGTCGCTGTCCGTCTTCTCTGGCGTGATGTACGGAGCGCAGTTCATGCCAGCCATCTACGTGCAGGATCACCATGAACACTATCGGGCAAGTCAGAACTGTAAGTGGATGTGTCACTGATGAGGGATCCCGTGAATATCTGCGTTACAATTGATCTGCAGCAACTTGTGCTTGTCGTAAGCATCTTCCCGAGGCAAGAGAGTTAACTGACTTTGAAAGTCCAGTTTCCACCCTTGCCGAACTAGCCTGGAATTCCTGGGCTCGATCGTAGCGCCACCAGTGGCTATTACGAGTTATGTCCCTTCTAAGCCTCCCCTATGGACCAATCAGATTCCACCTCTCGTATCACTTGCATTTACTTCAAACGAAATGGCGGCACCCAGTCAAGAAGATCTGGTCGATAGTCAAGATCTATATTGTGATAAAACGGGTCTTACATGGCGAATTGCATCAAATTACGTGGGTACCTTGATTAAAAACCTGAAGAGATTTTGAAAATATTTGTTGACAACGAGTTGGTGGTGCACATGCTTTGCAAATCCTGCAATCGACCCAAATCTGCATGACAGTGTACAACCGGATTTCGATTTCATTGCGCGATTTTGATTGGACTATGCCTAGACTCGTTAGTCCAGCCAAAATGTAACTCCATAATCCAGGCTAGTTCGGCAAGGGTGGAAACTGGACTTTTATAGTCAGTTAACTCCCTTGCCTCGGGGAGATGGTCGTAAGAGGCTACTAACAGGATTTGGTGGTCAGGCTTGCTAGCTTGGGCTTCCCAGTTGCATAGATCCATGTTCATGATGTCAGTCTCTGGATTGTCTGGCCCGGACTGAATTATTTACAGACTGTCGCCATATAGCTGTAAAATTGCTGAGTGCAGTGTTAAACAACAAACAAACAAACTGCTGATGAAGTGTTGTTTGTTGGTTCAATGACAGGTTGATATCTTGAAAGTTTTGTGTGTAAAAATGCGCTCCAATTGGGTCCAGGGAGCCTATTGTCTGTACCGGACAGGATTAGGTTCTTGCTTGTCTTATTATTTAATTGTGGGTTATTGGATAAGGATTAATTACTGTGTAGACTGTAGAGGGTTTTACGTGATGCACAAATGGTGAAATTGGATGCAGAAATAGAATGTACGACGTCCTGAAGGATGCACAATAATATTCATTGTACCTACAGCGCATCAACAGCAGTTAAGGGCATGTCATTTCATTCATCACTCCACCCCTGTCCTCATGATTATTGATTCTTTCCAGGCATTTAAGTAATTATCTAATTGTACAGTACACTAGACCATATCATTACTTTACAGGACCCTCATATTGCCTGCAAGGACCTTTACATTAATTATTGACGGTCCCCTGGACCCCCATATTTGTAGGTCAGGGTAAAACCCTGCTGTACATGCAGTGGCCATCGTGGCTGTATGTCCTATTTCTGTTGAGCTGTATTTTTACATGATGAGGTGAGGTAAAATTGGGTTTAACATCTCCTCCAAGATTATTGCACTTATATAGCGACGTGCATACATACATGTATGTGTGTGTGTTTGTGTGGCTGCTTGTACTAGTCCGGACTGATGCCGAATTATAGTGCTAGCCCACTGAGATACCATGCAGCAGTTTAACATGAATACCCCACTCAGACACAGTATACTAGCCGACCAGTCCTTGTTTTAGCCCCTTAATGCCAAGCGCGTCTTTTGGTATGACGCGGCCGGGGTTCGAACCCCGGACCTTCCACTCTTTTACATGATGAAGGGTCATAAGTTGTAACTTTTTTATTTAAAAAAAAAATGGAAGCGTGTTATTTTATCATGGTCCTCCAAAAACATTTTCCTATGACACCCCCTCTCTATAATGAATGACCAGTCTTTAAATGATGTTCAGATTTGTAACTTTTTTACCACATTTACTTTAAAAAATAGAACTGTGATAGTTTCCCATGCTAAGTTTTGGTTTTGCGTTTTCCATGTGAGGAGTGCGTTGGCTATTGTTGGGCGGGTTGAGATAAGTGACTGGCGTAGAAGTATGGGTAGTATGATAATACATATATGTTGGTCATTTCAGCCTTGGATTACGTGTTTGCCCACTTCTGTGGCATCTACCTCACCAGTACATTCTACTTCGTGGTGTACATCATCTACAAGCGCAACCAGCCACTAGTCTACCCCAAAGTTATCCTGCCTGGCTTGGTGTCGGGGGCCATGTGGGGCATTGCCACGGCAGGATGGTTCATCGCTAATGCAGCACTGTCAGAGCCTGTGTCCTTCCCCATCATCTCAACCATTCCTGGAGGAATAGCATTGGCACTTGGAATAATTGTGTTTAGAGAAATTAGGGTGAGTTACAGGTTAATCTAGAGCACTTCATCTCTGTTGGGATTCAAGTACAGGTGTCTCCAAGAATCAAAGATTCACATCAACTGCGACCATGGTGATCCTTGATTAATTAGCCCCATTTCTGTGCTAGGTTTTACCACAGTAAACTTGCTTCTCTCAGGGCATTAGATCAAGGGACCACAAGTCTGCGGGCATCACCATGGTAACAGGACCAATAAAGAGGATCAAAGAGGATTTTATGTCTGGTTTTACAGCATTGCATTGAACATGTTCATTACAAAGTTATGATATCTCCAAATTTTACGAAAATACAAAATTTAAGAAAAACAATAATTCAGATATGATGATTTTCCCAATTTGTCTTCTAAGGGCACTTAGTTTGGAACCCCAGATAAATCCTTGAGGTCGTTCAGTAGCAGTTGTCTCCCTTTGATCAGGACGACATTGTTGAGCTCCTAGATTCACGTAATTATATTTTGTAGGGAGCAACTATTTAGTACCTTGGACATGTTGGAGGGTTGGTTGGCTGTGATTATGTTTTGGAGACATGCTAATGAGTCTCCTGTCACTGTTTCAAGACAGACATGTATCCTTCTTTGGAAGGAGTCAAAGGATTATTTTTTATCATCTACACATCTTTTTTCAGGAGATCCAGCATGTCCAGTTCACAGGTTTTTTGTCTGTATAAAAACCTGAGGCAAATTTGTTTTTTTATTATTTTTGGGAACAAATTCATTTCTTTCAAAATATTACCATCCAGGCATCTTATGTTTGTCTTGTATATTGTTTACAGTACATAATAGGGCTGGGATGAGTCCAAATTTACTACCCGGGTACCCACACCCCTTTTACCCGACCCGCTGTTGGTGTCAAGAGATAGGTACAAAATGTCCGATTGGGAATAGTTTGACAGTAGCCCTGGCAGAATGTTTTTAGATACACACGTATAAAAATGATGTGGTCATGCATACACTGAAGTTGACTGAAGTTTTAGCTTTGTTCAAACATATTTAAGTCAGAAGGAACGTGTTCAAAGTCATGATGAAATGCGAACATTAGAGATTTAAAATTGTTGTGTAACCATGTAGTTATAATTATAGTGATTTTTTGTCATGAAACAATATATCACGTGACTAACCACAGGTCCGGGTAGTCCTGTGGGTACCCGGGTCCTACTCAGTACCCACCCGACCCGGGTACCCGATTTACCCGTCCCAGCCCTAGTACATAACACAATGCTTATAACTGTACATGCTGTATGTGTTACTTACTCTGAAACATTTACTTATAGGGTCTTCGCAACATCCTCATTTCCTTGGTGGCGATGTCCTTCACAGTAACCGGAGCTGTTCTAGCTGGGATGTCCAAATCATGAAGAGGACTTAAACTGAACGTTGTTTCGGTCCACTGTTGCCACAGACATCTTTCAGAAATATTATGATAATGTGATGCTAGAGCATTGTGATGCAGCATTATATGTACTGTAAGCTCAGTTTGTTGGCGTTCAATGAAATCACATTCCGTTTGAGGCCATTATGTCTTTTCCACTATGGACAATGTGATTGTATGTGTATCACAACTACTTATAGTGCCCAATATACAGGGAAACAAAAACGTGACTTTGTCATTTGAAACCTGGGATCTGAAACCAGGATTATCTCCCTTTGGTCATTACATCTTTTTTCCTAATACCGTATTTTCTTGAGTATAGTGCGCACCCATGTATAATGCGCACCCCCCTCTAGCGGGTTCAATATTTTGGAAAAAAAGAAATTTGAATATTATGCGCAGAAATTTTTTACACCGTACCCTTTCAGCGAAGTCCGGGAAACGAACGGGTGCTGAGAAACTTCGTTAGTACAAATTCGAAATTTGAGATAAAAAATCACCAGACATGTTTATTTACCGTTTAAATAGTATTTATTGTTCTGCTAGGCATTGTTTTATATTTAGGGATTAAGATTACCTTGCGTATTTTCTCGTAAACTAAGCTGGAAACAGCAATCAGCTGTACACACGTTTTCTTGGAATCGACCGGTGATTCGGTCAAGACACACCCAATGATACAACTTTATAAGATTTTTAATGCAAGGATCGGCAACAATTGTATCTGAAACTATTTTATTTATCAGGAATAATATATTCCATTATTTTCTTAATTATATGCAACCTTTACAAAATATATTTAAAATAATAATAACCCTAAGCGAAGCAGCTGATCGCTATTCCCGGGTATTATTTTTTTACATGGAACATGTCTGACCAGTCACCGTCAAGGCTCACGCGCACGTGATCGCGTGATCGCGAGAATTTCATGTTGACATAGAATCGTCAAACAAAAACAAATATGACTTTTAACGAGTCAAAGTATGTCATTTATGATATATGTATCCATTCTCTGTCAACTAAAGTTTGTTTCAAGGCGTCAATAGCGGTATTCTGACCGTGGTTGCTGTTAATAACGGTGAGTTGTGCGATCTTCCGATCGCTTCACACGCGATTTCGCCGAAATTAATTAAAACAATATTAAAAGGAATTTTGAATAAAATCAATGAAATAAGTTACAAACATAAGTCCAGATATACAAAGAACACTTTTTATAGCCAGACAGTGTAATACATAATTATTTTGCGTACTTCAGTATGGATTTGTTGACATGGTATTTCCGGTGTTTCGTGCTCACGGTAATGTCTTTCCATGAGGGGAAAAAACATCCAAAGTCATAATTCGTGTATAATGCGCACCCCCTTCTACACAGCTGTGTTTTTTCGAAAAAAAGTGCGCACTATACTCAAGAAAATACGGTATATGTTTTCAGTGATGTTAATTCTAATGGTCATTATTATGATTATTGGAGAAAAAAGAGGCATTTTATTGAAGATGGGAGCCATTTTTTTCCTCTTATGTTTGATATTTGTTATATCACCTCATATGATTGACATGTCACAGATTTTATGATTGATACGTCATATCATATATGATCGGTATGTTATATCATAGATGATTGATGCATTGTGTCAAATTTTGTAACTGATAAAATATACCGTATTCAACGTAATTAGCACCCCACTCTAATAAGCGCCCACGGCGATATTTGTCAATATATTGGCTAGTGAACAATCCTAATTAAGACTTCTTCTGATTGATCAATGTACACAAGACTTATTTATTCGCGTAGAATACACACTCGTGTGTTATGTGCACCCTTAATTATGGGCAATTAAATTCTGGAAAATATATCTGTTGTATGTAAACATTTCAGTCTGTCAGCATAAACCACGAAATTTACGATCTTTCAACTGTTTTTTTCACCAAAATAATATTCCAATAAGAGCCCCCTATTTCTAATTTTGAGAGCGCCCTGGGCGTTTATTACGTTGAATACGGTACATGTGAAAAAGAAGTTTGTAATATAAGCAGTAGGGTATGTGTATGTTTCCTGTACCATATTTATTTTGTTAGGGCAAACTTGTCACCTCATCTGAAATCATCTTCAATTAATCTGTGTATTATATTATGGAGAGGGACCTTTCATTACCATAGCTTTGTTTTGAGCCCAATTCAAATGGCATCTAGTTAAACATGCTAACAATAGCCATGAAATTAATTGACTCGCATGGGAGAGAGCAATTGTGTAGTGAGTTTTGACTGCTGAGATGGATGTGGTGATGTCACTTCCCAAACAATGCAAGGAGCGGTGGGGTAGCCTGATGGTTAAAGCGTTCGCTCATCACACCAAAGACCCAGGTTTGATCCCCCACATGGGTACAATATGTGAAGCTATTCCTGGTGTCTCTCTCCCTCCCCCCGCCCCCCCCTCCAGCCGCAATATTGCTGGAATATTGCTAAAAGCGGCGTAAAGCCATACTCACTCTCACTTATCCAGACAAAGCTGGGGTGGTGATAAGGAGGGTCCAGGGTATTTATCTGGATAGAAGGATATATAGTACCCTGGATAATCGAGGATGATCAGTTGCAAGGCACTTCCGTCTAACATGTACATTACATTGAAAGATGATGATGTTTATGTTGTATGTTGATGATGTAAACTTATCTATGGCTATGAAATGATGACTGTATGTTGAGCAGACACTTAACACTGCCAGGGTTCTGTCTCCCTGCACAAGAATATAAACAATAAAGAAAGACACTTGCATGATAAGAAACTGCTGTTATGTACCCATGTGCCAACTGATTGTTGATCATGTTGACATATTGGTATGACTTGCACAAAGCAATCTTAGCGCTAAGACTATCATAAGCCTATGTGAAAGTATGGGAGTTACGATCATCTTAGGGTAAAGACTATCATAAGCCTATGTTAAAGTATGAGTTACGATCATCTTAGCGCTAAGACTATCATTAGCCTATGTTAAAGTATGGGAGTTACGATCGTCTTAGCGCTAAGATCGCTTAGTACAACAGCACCAAGGTCAGGTGAACTAGCTCAGGTTATGTGACATTTTATTGGTTTCATGTTTCATGTTTTTTTGTGAACATTTTTAGTTGTTAGTGATTTTGTTGGATTGTTTTTTTAAAGAGAAAGTTAGGTGACTTTAATATTGTTTTTATTTTTGTTTTAATATGGATTGATATGTGATATATTCTAGATTATTCAGGATCATCAGATAAAATCCTTTTCTGTTCATCCTCTGTTACCATGGTTACACAGTAAACATGTTTTTAATCAACACGATCAAGTAGCATCTTAAGATAAATTTTTCAGGTTTTGAAATGTAACCATCTTTCAGCATGTTCAGATAAGGTAATATATCGATTTGGTCTGACATTACATTATTTTATCCATGTGCCAATGGAAAAAAACCCAGGTTAATAAATCTTAAAGTAGTGTGTTTATTGAAAATATGTTTTTTAACATCTTTTTGTTTGCATTGTTCTTTTAAAGATTTGTTCAGTAAATATACTTCAAACCAACCCCGATAAAGGTGTTAATTTTCTCTTTTGTGGCTCATGTCTTGTGATCTAAACAACAAGAGAAGCCTTGGGTAGGCAGACTATGTGCCATCATGTTCAACTCTACTTATAGTTTACAACCATATTAATACAGTTTAAAATTATATTGCAGGTATATATGTTTAAATAGGATAAGAAATAGACACATAGCTTTATTTTACTATAGATGTTTTACACAATGATCAAATGATGGTGTACTGTAGATTTTAGTAAATATCCTATTGTTTTTGGATGTAGCTGTTGGTAAAGTTAACTGTAGAGTTAACTGTTGTAAAGTTAACTGTAGAGTTAACTGTTGTAAAGTTAACTGTAGAGTTAACTGTTGTAAAGTTAACTGTATGTAGAGTTAACTGTTGGTAAAGTTAACTGTAGAGTTAACTGTTGTAAAGTTAACTGTAGAGTTAACTGTTGTAAAGTTAACTGTATGTAGAGTTAACTGTTGTAAAGTTAACTGTAGAGTTAACTGTTGTAAAGTTAACTGTTTGTAGAGTTAACTGTTTGTAGAGTTAACTGTTGTAAAGTTACCTGACTGCACCGCGGTATAGTTGTTGTGGGTTGCCATATTTAAAGGGCAATTTTACATTTTGAATTATATAATGTAATCATATTTTTCACCCAAAATGGTCATCATGTTAAATTGTTCATGTAAATATTTGGCTTTGATATTCATAACATTGCAATGCAATGGTCTGTGTACAGACCAAGTTGTACTAAACAGTAAATATGGACTCAATGCTCAGGAATGGGAAATTCAGATTGGGAGGTCAGGTGTGGAATAATGACTTCTAGTCCCTACCTACAAACATAATGTAGTGTACAGGTGGGAAAGACCCGTGAAGATTCCGGGGTAGAAAAGGTCTTCAGCAACCCATGCTTGCTGTAAAAGGTGACTATGCTTGTCGTAAGAGGCGACTAATGGGATCGGGTGGTCAGGCTCGCTGACTTGGTTGATGCATGTCATCGATCCCAGGTGCGTGGATCGATGCTTATGATATCAATCACTGGATTGTCTGGTCCAGACTCGATTATTTACAGACCGCCGTCATATAGCTGGAATATTGCTGAGTGCGGCGTTAAACAACAAACCAACAACAACAGGTAGGACAAAAAGCCAAAGTAACTGCAATCTCAAATTCTTCTTGATTTGTGGCAAGAATATAATGGAGTACATACTTAGAGTTATATTATTAAATAGGGGTGCTTGGGTAGCCTAGTGGTTAATGCGTTTGCTCTTCACACCGAAGACCCGGGTTCAATTCCTCACATGGGGGTGTACCCCGCATAATATTGCTGGAATATTGCCAAAAGTGGCGTAAAAACATACTCACTGACTCAATTATTACTTAATACAAACTCACTCATTTCCAATTCGAAACTGGTAGATGGATATTTGATATATTTGTATGTAACAGTAACATCATTTTACCATTGTGACATGCCCCAGGTAGTGGGTGATATGATTTTTTTACCCCCTTTTTAGTTGAAACTGTATGCAAAATAATATATTTTCCTGTAAATCGTTGGTAGGGAAAAGATATTTCTCAGTATCAGACAATAATGAAACCCAGTAACTTGGAACAAATCATTTACTGATAATACTTGCATTACCGTATTCGACGTAATAAGCGCCCTGCTCTAATAAGCGCCCACGGCGATATTTGCTAATATATTGGCTAGTGAACAATCTCAGTTAGCATCCCTTCCAATTGATTAATGTACACAAGACTTATTTACTTGTGTATAATACGCACTCGTATGTCATATGCATCCTTAATTTATGGGCAATTAAATCCTGGAAAAATATATCGGTCGTATATAAA